TTAGACTTTTTTCTCTCTCATTTCTTGCTTAATGAATATGAGTGTATGTGTTGAAAAGGAGTAAGCTCGAGGAAGACGCTTTATTTCCATTAAAATCATTGTCTTTATATTATTTTGTGCCGATGAAAAACTTTCTAATTGCTCTCTTCTTTGAAAGAATCCGAGTCTTTTTAAAATGAGTAATTTCCATTTTAAAAGTAATCGTCCAGCGACCAATGTCTTTCTATTTCTCCTTGTAGTTATTCAAACTAAGACAGCATTATCACTCTACTTAAGTCCAATTATCTGTCTGTACAATCATCCTCAATAAAACTCTTTCCGACCTGGACCATACTTTCGATTTTTCGACTTTGTAAAAATATTTGAATTAGAAGTTTTGTCCTAACGCAAAATGTTTGTAAAGCCCGGAGGGACTTAGTTCTGTTTTAATTTATATCAATTTTTTGTTGTATGCCCAGATCATTAAATGTCACCTTATTTTGTTGGCTCTTAACTAATCCTAAAAAATACCATGCAGAAAACTGCTCCCTTCCTATGCCATCCTTACTACTTTTTAATTTCTGTTGCATTTTCCATCTCTGTATAATTTATAACTTTAAATGCATAGTTTAATTTTTTTATTACATCATCTCGATACTATTGTTCTACACACGTTTGCGTTCCTTAGATCCACTAAAGCAGTAGAGATGTACTTCAGAATCAAGTGGTCGGGTATACGGATGGCTCGAGATACACTTTGCTGTTTTGAAAAGTTCTGGAAGCATTTGGGTATAGATTAGATGAAAAACAAAACTGAATAGAGTAATGAATTCTCTGTCATGGAGAAATAAAATTTATCCATTCTGCAACTCAGATCGAAAGTTGGACTTCTATCGAATTCCAATTTTAAATTCTGATCTTCAGTTAACATTTGCACACTAATGTTTGCAAGTGATTATTTAAGGCAGAAATAGTTAAGTGAGTTTGCTTAATTTAGAAATATTTCGAAAACACAAATTTCGGTATGTCAAAATCGGTTTATCACAAAAATTATAAGTCTAACTGGAACCAATAGTTTATGTCCAAATTTCTCTGACTTGATGTAGCAGGAAGTGATATGACTGATCATGAAATACTGGTAATCGAAAAGATTTCAAATTATAATTTGTTAAATTTGTAGCAGTATGCTTCCAGAATTTTCATTACAAACAAAGAAAAGCTCAGATCTTTTGCAGCACACAATTTGTTTGCTCTCCCGTACGGGTTTTGTTTTTTTCCAGGCAATGGTATTTTTTTTTTTATTTTTTGGAAAAAGTCTGAATTAAGCAGTTAGATTTCATTACTTGGGTTGTTGTTTTTGTTGCTTTGTGTGCATGTGTGTTTAGCTTGAAACTGTGCGTGTACAAGAGTATTTTCCTGACTTCTTCTCTACTCTAGGCACATATTATTGACGAAGACGGGTTGTATGAAAGGAAAGAAGCTTTTTCATTAATATATGTGTTTTTAATTTAAAATTGAATTTCAAAGTTGGGCTTTAAGCCTCCTGAACTGTCATTGTATTGTCGATAATCATTTTTTTTTTTTTGTTGTTGTGTGTTGTTCATATGAGTAGCCTATTGTTCTCACTCATTTTTGAAATCCTGAAAAATTGAGATGTTTCTATCTGATACTAAATTGAAAACTTTAGGCCACCTGAACTGTTCTTAACGCTTTCATTAGAGTATAACGTAGTACGGTACGACCTTATCGAGTCAATAACGTTCAGTTCAATTCACCTTTGACTGACATACGTGGCACAATTCTGTGTTTTAAATGTCTTGAAAATCATTACTTTTTGAAATATAGCATTACTGTGACAGATTATTGACAGATTTTGTAGATTTCGTACCAAACATTCTCTAAAAAATACGATAAAAATGATGAATTTCAAACCGGTTGCAAAATTGAGGTGACGAAATGGAAAGGCATAGGTTCAGCAGCTAGGCTACTCATGCATATACCTCCAAGAGATAAAAACAACACTCACTTCGAATTGCGCGGTCAGTATAAATCAGTGTATAATTACAACAAATACTGCTTTGCATTATCGCATTCAAAGCGCATCTCCTTTTGTTTGTAAATCTTCATCAAATTACTGAAATGGTTTTTAAAACATCTAAATTTTTGTTCTTGTTTTTGAATCTGTTAAAGTCTTGTAGTGTATCCGTTGTTCTTATCCTCATCTGCACCGCCAATTCATAAACCACTTAATCCTGTTTAGCTAGAGAGAATTTTTGTCATGAAGATAGCAATCGTTCCTTTTTGCTAACAGAATGATTAAATATAAACTTAAGATATCTATATAGTACTAGATCAGGTCCAACTATTGCTAGCTTAAAGCTCTGTACCTATAATCACGAAAATCGCATATGATTTATCGATTAAAGAAATTGAATGCTAATACCATCTAGTTATGTGAGCTTTCACAATACTGAAATTATAGCGTATGGTCCAAAAATCGAGTTTCAAGGATTCTGTTACAAAGATGGTTTTTAATAAATAAAGGGTTGTTGTATAAATATTGCGTATTAGTTAGCGTAAAATCTTATGGCTGTGAAATAATTGTTTCCTTCAGTGTTTAAAAAATGTTGGGGGGGAACAGTGATTTCAAATAAAAGACTTGCAGATAACTTCTTTTCGTCCAAATAGTAATCCGAAGAGAAGAATTCAGGAAACTCTTTGATCATAATAACTATGTAAAAAAGATGGCACGTGCAGGAGGAGATATACTACTCTAATCCTCTGATTGAGAAGTGTATTATGTATGAAATACAGTTCATGTGTATTAAAGCTTCACCAATCCGGCCTTTCCTCATGTTTTTTTTTCTTGTTCCCTCAATTTTTTTCATCTTTATTTTCATGAAAGAAAAATCTGTTTGTGTTCACTGATATTGAACAATTGACTTGACAAATTGCAAGTATACCGTGAACATTAAATATTAAATACATGTTATGATTTGTTTTTGTGCACATTACAATGAATCTGAAATTGTTTTTTCGTAATCTGATGCTCAGATCAGTAACTTAAAGATCAGTTTCATTAAAAAAGAAGAACAAAAGAAATCTGATAGAAGAAAAAAGTGAATTGTTTATTTGGGTTAAGAAAAATCAGAAATAAATCTGCTTAATTTGTAGATATACATTTAATTTACTAGTGCCATAATGAGTAACCATCTTTTAGTTCAGTTCTGTAAATTTAAACTAAAGTAAAGAGAAGTCAGTCATTTTGATTGGGCAATTTGATAAATTCATGTAGTTTATGTGTGTCTTTGATAAATCTAATTGAATCTGTATAAATAATATGAATCCATTAATATTTCGGCATATCTCTGTAAACAATTACAGTGAGAATCAAAAACCATTCTTCTTCTCTAACACTAGAAAACGCTACTTCTAATAGATTTTATCGCTGTTGGTTGACTGTAATGATAAATTTAAAGTCTAAGACTGAAGTTGATGGCACCTTCTACGGCCTACGTTGCCGTGTCAACGGCTGTAAAGAAGGCTAATCATGATTTGAATATATGAACTATGAACGCTGTTGAGCATCTCACCAAGCGTAAATTGATATCTTTGCAATCACAAGCAACTCTTCTTACTGATGAAAGCGTTGATCTGATTAGATTGGAACTTGGAACAAATTCCACTCAGCTAAAGCTTGGGAAAATTCTGGCAACGATATTTCTTCCTAGCCCTGGCGATGACTGATGGGAATTTGAATAAGCATAAAAAAGAATTGATACTGGCAGAAGGAGTATAAAAAGAAAAAGTATAAAGGTAAAAACAAGATATCGAGAAGTGACCGATAGAAATTTTATTTTTCCGTAATTCAGAATTCATTAAAGTTTCCGTCCTTTCTAGAAATTATCTTTTCACATACAATGCCAAACATTTCCACACTCATTTAAAGCTTTAAGTAAAAATGTTTCATACAGTATGATAAAAGACTACAAATAGAGCATGGATATTAGAAATACTTTAAAAGAAACTATAAAAAAAAAGAAGATATTAAGTCAACAAATTGACAAAATCCAATCTAATTTCAAACTCAATGGTCAGTGCTAGGACAACTATTTTCATGACGCCATCAGTTAAATCTACAGTTCTGTGCCGATGATGCCATGAGACGGGAGAGATTGATATCTCGGGAAGGTAACCACTTAGGAGTCTAGAAGGACGTGGGAAGCTAGGTAGTAATAAGGAGGGACTGATAATGTTAACCTGCCAAAAAAGAAGGTGAGACCCAATAACGTCACATCACGCGTTATATTCGTATGTTAACTTGATATTAATCACAGTTTCGCCCTCTGTTAGCGCGTCATCGAAGAAATCATTTAGCGTTAAAAAATGAATAGTCAAATTCGCAATACTGTACATCTTAATGTGAAATACTGTGAATTTGTTCGGGCCACTTGTGATATAAATATATTTACATGTAGCTCATTCTATATTGAAGGATTTTTTATCGAAAATACCAAATCATTAATCACAACGATAGATTAGGAAAAAGTGATGCGAACAGTTCGTCACTATGAAAAGACAACCAGCTGTCGAAAAACTAGTGAGACGGATTATTTCTATGGTTATGGATGAACGCTGAAGTAGTTTTCAATATATATATGTATCTACTGTGTGGTAAGATAAGTTCCTTTAGGGGTGATTTCCTTATTGACTTTTATCTGTTCTACATAAAATAGAAACCATCTTGTGAATATCCACATCTTGTGACTGCGATAAAATTATCCAAAAAATTATCCTAATGTCAACACTGTTCATAGTGGAAAATGATTTGTTTGAGATGCTAAAAAACTTTAATATAGTGTTTTTCGTATTCTTAATACCTGTTTAACTTTTTTTTCATTCTAACCATGCAATCAGTTTGTGTCAGGTTGACATTCTATGGCCATCCTTGAATTTAAAATCTATTACTGGAAACTAGAATTAGGAAGCACCTCTTGGCTAATAATGTCGGTATAATTCGAATGCAAAATAATTGTTCTTCAGTTTTACAACAAGAAATTCAGGAAATATCGATCAACAGTTTATTAGCAAAGCTGAATTCTATAGAAGAACAAGCACTAGATGATATTAAGTAGTTGATTAATAAATACGTGGTATTTGGTAAGATTTCTTATGAAGATGAAACGTTCCTTATTAAAAGATAAAGGAGGTGTGAAAGTCGTCGAATAGACAATCAGAAAAAGGGAATAAGTTGGTAAATAATTATTTCCGAGAATATTTGGATTTGGTCAATTTGACTTTGACTTTACGCACCTCAATTACCACTAATTTCAAGTGCTGCTTTTTTTGTTGGCAAACGGACCATAAGTTTCCGAAATGTTCGAAAAAAGATGGCGAGATAATAGGATCGGGACTTTGTTTTAAATGCAGTTCCACTGAGCATACATCATCGCGTTATCATCAAACGTTCGTGGTATGTTTCGATATTTCATGACAGTATCCTTCTATTGCATTTGAAGTGAATAAAAGTGAATTATTTTATTCACTTTTTTTTTCTTAATATCTGATTTTGCATATTATTTTATTCACTTTTTTCCTCTAAACTTGCTATCATATTATTCATATATACTGGTTAAAAGACAAGTACAGACATTTTACGTCTTTATGTTGCCTTAAGGTTTCCCATATGCTACGTGTTTAGGCAGCAAGGACACTTCTCCAGGTGGGTGTCTTACTGCTAATTTGTATGGTTTGGCTACTTTTCCAGTATATCAGGAAAGTACTGCTTAGACAGTAAAATATAAAACGTCATATTCATTAAATTTGTAACTCAATGTTGAGATTTTGTTGTAGAGATTCATTAAAAACCAAAATAATAACAGCAGAACAATAGACAAATAACATGCTTTCAAATCAATTAGTATAGGAATGATAGGGCTGAAGATTAGTCATTAGAAATCTGTTTTCAAAAAATTTTCGGCTTCCTTAGTCTATGGTTACAATATCAAATATCAATGAAATATATAAGTCCGGCCATAGAAAATCTGCTGAATCAGGCACACGATCACTCAGAAAAATGACGGCATCCAATTGCAAATTGGAATTATGACAAACAACATCACATTGAACATTCAGACAGTGTTCTCACTTTGCTGTTTATAATGGTTTAGTTTTTCGGTACATTTCCTAAGAAGAAGGTAATGCATATTGCAGTAATGCATTAGATATTGGTTTTTCAATTTTTGTTTATATAAGCATTTATTACTTTTCAGGAGGCTCATGTAATTTATATGGTTCTTAAAAGCATTTGAAAAAAGGTTGTCCGCTCGTGAAATTGCTTATAGTAGTCAAACAGGTATGGTGTTATATCAGAATTATCGAAACTACATAAATATGAAGTAATCTATAAGTAGTAAAACTAGTCAAGATTACTGGTTTTGCTTAATCTTTGTATTTTAAGATGCAAATAAAATTTCGATTTTCCGGAAAAGGTAATTTTTGATGCCTCAGTGGCGAAAATGATACTAAAACGTTTAGAGGGATATAAGTGAAAAAAGGGAATATTTAAATTAGTTGTTAGGTAGTTAGGTTTAAATTGCTTCCATAATATGCAATTGTCTTTGCAGTATTTTAATCATTTCTTTATACTGCTGTAGTCATATCTTGTAGAGTCGTTAGCTGTTGCAAGAAATAGCGCTATTGGTGGTGATGATGATCTTCTTTACACCAGTGTTGTGAACAGCGGGGCAAAAAAGAAGAAATTAGAAAGAAAAATAATTTGCATGTAAAATGTTTTTCCCAGTGATTTGAACTTACAACAAGCCATGACAAAGACGTAATACTGGTGACGAAGTAATACCGTTGGATTTGTTCTGAAGTTTCATCGGTCAATTATGCTGCGGAATTGAATAGAGATAATTTAAGTAATTGTCTTAAAATCTTTTCAAGCAACTACGCAGTAAAGTGGTTAAGTTTTCGACTTATGATAGTCACTAATTCAAGCAGAATATAATATATATGAAGGTGATTTAGCGAAATTTTCTTGATTATTGAATCTTCTAGGCAAAATTGTTTCTGAAACCGAAGAGATGTATACTTGAATATTTCCATATATCTTGATTTGTAGCTGTAGTTATTCGAGCTGATGCTAATAGTACCAAGCTCTAATAAGCCAACACTTCCTTTTTAAGGTGCCTTGAATTTGGTCAATGAATATATAGAGTTTTACTCATCTTTGCTACTAATTCTATGAACGGTTTTTATTGACATTTGTTGATTTGCTGATAGTGATCAACAGAGTGGAATGCGCTGTAATAGACTACTGTTGGGCAGTAGTACTTCATTGATGAGACAATTTATTCTGAAGGAATTATGGGTGTATTGCCATCGACGCACAATATTTGCTTGCATATGACAGCGACTGCTGTGCACTTTTTCTTCTTTCAGATTCCATACTGTCACTTGATTATTTCGTTGGACAGATACTTACTATTACACTATACAGAAGCTATCTTACATAGGAATTCTTTTCCTTTCTTTTCAGTATCATGATTTGTTGTGTCGATACCTTTAGATAAGGTCATTAAATTTATCTTTGTTACTATGATCGTCCATGTTTTCATTACTAATGTTCTCGTCATGATAGGATGAAGCCAGATTTTGAACAGAATTATTCATATTTCATTTTTTCTTTTTTCTGAAATCCTGATTGCTAATATTTCTTACTAATATTTCTATATTTTATGAAAATTGCTAATATTTCCTTTATGACATTTAAATTTGTTAAAATCACTTTTTTACATTTTTACATAAGGTAGTTTACAAAAATTAGTAATTTGAATTTCTTAGAAAGGAATTTCTTAAAAACAATAGAGTTGTCGAATTGAAGTATACCTTTTTCTAAAGATCTGAGTAAAAAATTTCCAAAGATTTATTTTATTTTGATCAAAATGAGAAAAAAAAGAATGCTCTAAGTGGATTTTTGCTTTCCTATCTGCAAAAAAGACATCATTTTTCTGCTTTTAAATGAAGCGAAGAAATTCCACTGCTGTCAATCATTTATCGAAGAATGAAATGGCCTTGTTACTCCTTACTACTGCTACTGCTTCAGGTAACATAAGATTTGATTTGATATTTACTGAAAGCACGTACCTAGGATGCTGTGGGCTCCTTAAAAATCTGCATAATTTGAACAGCATTTCGTAAATTTATACTAGAATTTTCGTTGATTTCATTTTTCATTTGGTGAAAAGCATAATTGCATTAATAGTTTATTGTAGTTATTGTAGTCTTTTTAGTTTAAAATTAAATTCTCTACTTTCTTTTAACTTAAAATTATACTCTCTTATTAACTACTTTTTAGAAAAGAATGATATAGCTTGAAATAATAGTCTCAGTGAGATTTGGATGTGATATGGTATATATTTGAGGACTTTTAACTATAACCAAAATAATTAAAACTGAACCGGAAATTGAATATTCTTACTATAAATCTCTGAAGAATTCAGTGGAGTCACTATCATTGTGTTGAATATTTCTAGTTTTCCTAATGATTGAATATGTCTGAACTATTTCAGTTCCCTTTTAATAAATTAAAGTTACCAAACGGGACGCTATCTTTCTTTTCATTTTTGTATTGTTTTCGTTCACTGATAATCGATCTTCATGATATAAAATTAAGTAAATTCTAAGGACATTAGCTAAAATGAGCTTATTTTATTCATCTTTTTCTATTACTATGGATCCTTAGTCTTAGTCGAAATTTGTACGCTTTTTATTTGAGAAATGATTATGCTGGGACGAACTTCTAAAAATGAATCTTCTCTCATTAAGAATGAAACTGGCTGTTAACCACTAAATTCGACGCAGTGAACACAATTCCGGTAACGCTGATCGCATATTGCTATTAAATAAATATAGAGGTGAAGAGACCGCCATCACATCACATAGTTGTAGTCGCGGGGATCTAGTGACCAGTTTAGATTTTTATCGTCATTTCTATTACCCACGTTGTAAATTTTATCGTTAACCAAAATGTATAATATTTCAAGGTGATAGGAACTGGGGACTTTTTTTTTTACTTTTCATTATCGCAATTATCACACAAGCGTTGTTTCTGTTATTTTTAAATGACTGGTGATTTAACAAGTTAAGTAAAGATTTTCAATAACTGTCCATTGTGCTCTTTCCCATTTCATCTTTTTGTGTCATATAGTAGATTTGAACAATAAATCGTAAATTTTAAGAGCATTTGTGGATACCCTTGAGTGCATCGTTTATATACTAAAAGGTTTCACATTTTCAAAAATAGTAGTTCCACTTGCGCTTTGAGCGACTGTCACGTTGAAAAAAGGGCAGAAAAGAGTTTTTTTTTTTTTTTGAAAATAACGTCATCAAACTTTAATATACATACATAGTCGTGACCTTGAATTATGGTGACCAAATTATAAGTTCATACCACAATTAAATTTATTTTGATAAAGTAATTTATGAAATATAGTATACTGCTAAATTGTTTTATTGAATTAAACTTATCAAAATTTTTGATCGTTCTTCATCTTTAGAACACTTTCTCGCTCCAATATTTTTTGTTTTGTTTCCAGTTGTATTGAAGTAAAATTCATTTGCAGAGTTTGTAACTAAGTCTAACTTGATTTTAACTTTTACTGAAAATAAATTATAATACTATATAAATGGTCATTTCCATTGTTAAATCTCAAATCTTTTTTTGTGAAAAGGGCATTTATAATAATATTATATCAAATTGATAATTTTTTAATTTACAATTCATATTCAATAAGTCATATTTTGAAGTTTGCTTTCTTCATATTGTTTTTAAGTTACTGAAAATGTTGTTGTTCAGTTCGAAAATTATTCGATATTCAGATTTGAAGAAATTGCTGAAAAACTGTGAAAAATAAATGAATAAATGAACTATGCGTGAGTTATATTGACTATCGATCAATTTCCCATCCGCCACTCATTTCGGATCTATCGAAAATGATCCAATATTGATCTTTTCCACACAGCTGCTTCAAATCCGCTCTTAACTAAAGGTATATGAGAGAAACAAAAGAAAAAAGTACTTCCAGGTGTTTCAGAGTTTGAACAAGCTGATACTTCAAGATTCTATAATCACTCATCCTTTGCTTTCGAATTATATTTACAACTTTATTTTCCTCGTATTGTTTTTAAGTTACTAAGAATTGTTCTTATTTAGCTCGGAAATAGTAACTTCCCGTTAAAGTAATAAAACTTAGGTAAGGATTGAAATTTATGAAAAACTTTTTTGTGAAAAACATATTTGAAGCGATGATGAATAGAATCTTAGAAGTTGCGAAACCTCACAATTCCTTTAAGTTAATCTTTCAGAATAGAAGGTCTGGCACAACTTTTGAACAATTTTAAAATGCAATGTACAAAATTAAAATGGTTTTTAATCCAACACATCTTCAGTTTCTGTCACTTTTCAGAAAGTAATTGTTTAGTAACAATTGCTCTTATTCAGTTCAAGGATTGTAATTCTTTTCATTGTAATAGAAATTTATTATCGTAGAATTTAATCCAGTTCCATAACCATTTTAATCTCAATCGACTCAAGGTCATACGTACTTTCTTTCAAAAGCACACAAAATTAAATTCTCTTTCCATTCTTCTATTCATTGCTTTCATTAGATTACAGCTCATATTAATTATTTAGGACGCTTTAACACAGCAACAACAGCACAACAGACATAGTATAGAATTAATGAAAAATAATTTTTGTCTAAAATAACTTAAGTGTTCTGAATTTTCACTGTGAATAACGAAAAGGAGTTTATTCCATTATTAATTTATACTTCTCTAATAATTTCCTGTATTTTCATTTTTTAAAAATATTCGCAGGTGTTAATAGCTGAAAATTTTCCATTTTAGCAATGATTTGGACTAACAAAGCATACAAACACACACATACATACATACACACACACAGTTAGTGTTGAAAAGTTATTGATTTAATGTTTGTGAAAGTTTGCATTTTGCTAGGCGATACTTCAGTTTCCTTTCTCCAAAAGAATTTCACAACGGCTTATGCATGTTCGGTAAAGTAAGTGAACATGCAAACAAACACACAAAAAAACTTGTTTTTAGTTCTTTAGCGCTCACATGCCATGCAAATATTTCTTTTTCCATTTTCTCAAGATTGCACCAATTTTAAACAAAAAAACGTTTTTATTTCTAACATTTTCAAGTTATTGAATGAGTATATATTACTAATAAATAAATGAAAAGCTGCAAAAGGAACTCCACTTATTGATATGAATAAATTCATTGGATAAAGCTAGGAAAATTGATTAAAAGATAAAGTGAAGAAATGTTTTAAAAATAAATTCGTCAGAAACAAAATCTTAACAAATTTTATATTATCTGAGACTGAAGCTATCATTAAGTAATGACAGATAGTTGTCGTTTTACCACAAAAACCCAAAACGAATGCTTACAACTACCACAAAAAGCAGCACGAAATGTGATTCACAACTGCTGAAAAAATCATTATATTCAATTGCACAATAAAATTTTAACAAATAGGAAACTGTAATAAATTTAGACAGTTTTTTTGATTTTACTTTTTTGCATTTTTACCTTTTTCCAGGTTTAATATCAAAAAATGGATTTTATTTTTTTTGTCAAATAACGTCTATAATATATTGGTGAAGCGATTGATGACATTTCTTTGAAAATTCCAGTCGGATGGCTTTCATTATGCATTTATCGTTTTAATAGTACCAATGGGCTATTTTTTATTTTTTAGAAATATTCAAACAATTCATTGATAATATCATGCCTTTCTTATTATGTTGAGTTGTGCTTAGCATTAATGATTCGTTTTAAATTCACATCTTTTCATTTACTTAATTTCACATATGCCAAATAAGTTATGAGAAAACTGTTTATCTTAGCAATTAAAGATAAAGTAACAATGAATTTAGGAGCCTGTGCATAATCATGAAAATTTGAAAGTCCATATTTCATTTTTTTTTCTTTTTTTTTAGGATCAAAAAATGTAATTTCCGGCTATACGTTGGGAATAAGTCCTGAATTAAATTTTGAAATCGGTGTTTTATATTCATAATTACACATATATATTTGGAAATTAAGAATTTTCAAATTTCAATGATATGCAAATTTAAACATTAAGTGACTGGTCATTGAAAAATACCGTTAAATAAGCTTCTCCTTCTTCTGATCCATTTTTATCCTTCAAATCTGTCAGGATTGCCATCATTATTCAGTCTGTTTGACTTTACACTGTGTTTGTGGCCAGACGAAAAGATTTCTTCTCGATAACAGTTGTGGCTACACATATCATAAACAACATTATAATACATAGTGAGTGACCTGACTATTCATATCTTCAATTTTTCATTATATTCATTGCTCTGAATTGACCATTACCATTAACCATTAAAACCAGTAAGTAAGTACTTTGACTTACTGCAAAATATCAGATCATAGCAAATTCTTGTTAATCATACACTTTTGCTTGTACATTTTTGCTTTTTTATTTTTCTTTGAGCATTGCTTATGTTCCTTTTATTACCTTCTATTTTGCTCTTCAATTTGATGGATTAAAATAATTTGAATTTGGAGAACTTAGCATGTACTACTCAGTAACTACTTTTCAAACAAATCAAAAAATTCTCTTCCGCTTTTTACATGAAATTTTATCAAAATAAGTTTCCATGAATGTTTTCTTTTGTTTGAGCAATTCATAGGCGCTCCAAGATTATTCATATTGCAGGCGTATTGTGTCATCCGTCATTTCTACTTTTCTCCCCTCGATACTTTTCCTTGTTAACTTTGATTTCTGTCCAAAATTAATGATTATTTTGAACAATTTTTAACTTCATTACAAAATGTGCATAACTATAGATCTGTCTTTAAGTGGTAGATAAGCATGAATAAAATCAAAAGTATTATAATTCTTGAAGATTTTTGGGCTCAATAGAAGAAATAACTAAACCATTTCCTTGTCATTGTTAAAACGGTTTCCAAAATTATGTCACACAATTTGAAAAGAGAATGTATTCATATCATATGCTCACCAGTTTCTGCTCCATCTATTTTCTATCTTTACAAACAATCTCTTATATTAGTTAAAATTAAAATTCATAGAAATCACATTATCGTTTTCTTTAATTTGGAAAATTTCGACAATTAGTACAAACTATTTTATATTTTCTAGTTATCTTAAGGTTTGGTTGCTAGATTACATCATCAGTTACTGCACTAATGATCGCTTACTTGTTTCCATTTGTTTGCTATACTACTTTATTGCCTTAATCAATAAATATAACTTTGAAATGACTATTTAGTTAGTTATGAAGTGAGTTTAAAAAAAAGTGAACTAAAGTGATGTATGTTGAGTTGATGACCAAATCTTAATAACAATGCCACTTTTATTGATAACCAACTAATCATTGATAACTGATTGATCCATCTAGTGAAAAAGTAACTTATTTCTGTCTTGCTTTTAATCATGATGATTATCATAAATAAATTTAGGGTTGGATGGCTATTGATCATTTAACAGTTTGGAAGTGTTCATCAATCTGGTGCTGGTATTGGAACTAAAGTAACTAAAAAATATATAAAATATTTAAGAAGAATTTTGATAGAGATTAAATCGAGACATTGGTAATGGCTGCAACGAAGGTAAATGGTCATGTCAAAGAGACGGAAACCTCGAAATGTAACTGTTGTCCATTTGGGTTTCACATAGATCTTGGATTTGTTGATTTTGTGGAAAATGTTGCAAATGAAAACAGCCTTTTGACAGCTACGGTAGTATATTTTATTTGTTGATTTACTAGATTTATTCTTATTCAAGTAACACTGCTAACATATTTTGTTTACTTTGCAAGTTCTTTCAATTCCACAATACTCTCAAAATCTTCCAAATTGTTCATTATAAATGCAGTAAAATTATATAGATTTCTTTTGAATAGATTGCTAATGAAAATTTGGAATTTCCTAATTTGAAGTCAAACAAATTAAAATAAATTTACACGGTTATATAGCTTGAAGAGTTGAATTTAGAATGTTCCCAATATTTTCAGAACGATGAAAATGGCCCACGAAAAAATTCATTGAAGCACATTAGTGATCAGAATGACACCTCCGAAAGATGTTACCTAACTACAAAGCAATTGATTGAAAAGTCTTCGTTTAGCCCGTTAGATTCTATTTTTAGGTCAGTTTTTGAATCTAAGGAATTTTGGTTAACAAAAAAATAAACAAAAACTTGGCAAATGCTGAAATGCTATTCTTATTTTGTTACGTGGTTTATAAGATTGTCTACATCCTCTTTTCAGTGTTCTTTGAGAAAGAATTTGTTTGAAATGAGAAATGAAGCTGATTCATTCATCAAAGATAAAGATGGAATTTTGACACGAATTTCATTTCCTGTTACTGACCAACAAACAGATATTAAGTTATTAAAGACGTTGGAGCTATTCAAATTAGTCGAAATTTGATAATTGATGTCAAACATTATCGTTGAAAAATTTCAGTGACTCACTGGAAAACGTAGTAAGCGACTTTGAAGAAACACTGAATTTGCGAAAAAGCAATTCAAAACGAGAATCACGAGATCTGCTAAATAATGCACTAAAAAATGTACGATGCAATGGTTACTTTTCAGATTATGGTACAACGCAAAGTAAGAATCGGCTGTTGCCACCAAAGATGTGTTAGTTTTTTTAATCTTTCAAAATGATGAATGTTATAAAGACGTGCTTTTATTGCAGTAACCATGAAATTTTCTGTGTAACTGAATAGATTACACATTTACTTGAAAAATAGCGAAATATGATAATTAAAATGACTAGTGCGAAAAGTAAAAATGAGGGATCGAAATTCTTAATTGAATTTCCCTGCCTTAGTTTGAATATTGGAAGTTATGTGGAGAAACTTTTTTAATGAGAGAAAGATTTTAAGCTTAAGACTCTTTCCACTAATCAGAAACTCTTTTTACTAATTCATTTCCTTTGAACATTGAAAAGGAGCAAAATAGTAAGTAAAAATCTAAAAGTTCAAGGAACTCGAAACAAAATGATAGAAATAACTGAAGTGATGAGTAATTAAACTAATCATTTCAATCTCTCAGGTATTCCTTCAAATGCTTACAGAAAGATGATAAAATGTTGTTAAATTCTTGTTCTCAGTTTAAAAGCAGATAACCAAATGAACTGTAAGTTAGCCAATATGTTGAAAACGATTGAAAATTGCAAAAAAAAAGTCATCATTCTACAATCTTAAAAATGTTGAAATTTTTTCAGCACCGCTAATATCACATGAGATAGTGAAGCGAAAACATATTAGCCGCTCACAGACTTTTATAAATTCACACAACGGTTTGTTTAGGATTCAAATTAAACTTTTAATACAATTTATACGTCTTAATTAAAGCCAATTTTATATGATAGCTTTTTTTCAACCACAAAGTTATATCAAAAAAATTAATCTAGTAGTGGTGAAGCCTTCATTTTTAGGCATTGTGCCATAACCGAAATAAAGTATTTTTCAGATGCTGCGTCATCATCGGGGAAACCTGTACTTGTGCCTGAAGTGCAGCAACACGGTAACTTAAATTATTGTTACTTGCTTAGGTGACTGATATGTCACTATGTTTTTGCTCAAATTTAATGAAGACTGATGTAGAGCATCACTGTATATCTGATTGCATTCAATGTAGATTTTAAGATACTTTTCAATTATTAGCAAAGGAAGAGGTAATAACTGAAAATAGGTATATACTAATTACTCCCCACAGAATGTCTATATATATATTATTGAGAGGAATAATGATTTGAAGGGAGAAATTTGATTCATTTCTTAATAAAATGATTACTAAGGGTGAAATGTCATAAAGATCAAGAAGGATCAAGCAATTATAATAATATAATCATTCGCCTGCAAAATTTACTCCATTTATTCATTCCTCAATTATTATCATTTATATATGTTATGGGTTTGATAAGCAGTCATAATCCGTTGATATACTTTCCACTTTCCGATCAACTTTACGCATCTTTTTTTAGATCAATTCTAATTGCACTTACATTCATTTTTTTAGTATAGTATTGTTTCTTTTATTAAGTAGTTAACGAATATAATTTGCTTTTAATATGTACCAAATGTCTGATGAAAAAATATATCTAAGTTGTCGAAAAGTCCCAAAATTCAAAATGATGAAAATAGTTAATAGCCATTAATGAATTCAAAAGTAATGCTTTTCCTTTAAATATGCCTCATAATTTCTCTCTGCAATGAAATTAAAAAAGAAAATAATTGACTACTTCCGATTTATTTTGATCAAATCATTGAAATTATTGAAACTGTGCAATTCCATTCCCTTCCTTCTTAATGCATAAAAATCTATAGAATATCATACTGCTTTGGGAAGAGCAATATCAAAAATCAAATCAAATTATCAAAACAATGAACCTAATGATCACATCCAAAAAACCTTATTTACAACAAACAGCTCTCAGGCATCAGATTTTTGGAATATGGAAAGTCGAAATTACAACATCGGTTTATCCCAAGAAGTTTCTTTCACTTCATAGCTTTCTTTTAGCGAAATTAATGTTGTGAGGGCCAGTGCTTTCGAGATGATCATTTTCGTGTAAAATGCGCTTAGCTGAAATTAATCGGACTTGAGGAAAACAACTTTCATGGCCTCTTCTTTGCAACTTTTTTTCTAAATCCTAAACTTAAACATGATGTTTATTTTTTCAACTTTTCGAGATACACAACTCACTTTTTTTTATTCATTCTTTTTTGGCAGTTGGAACATAATCGTTCATTGTACGAGCAGGGTAAGATGCATTATTTGGGCAGCAGAACTCCAGATGCGCCACGACGTTCACTCACCCTCGCTTCATCATATCAGTACCCGAGTGACACAGAGTCAGTGCAGCAACCGCACTGGAGGATACGTCGTTCACTGGTCGAAAGATCATCCAGTGCTGTGGACGTCGACGGGTTCGTTAGTATGAGACGTCATAAAGCAGATGATAATGCTTTCAGAATGGGTTCTAAACAGATACTTGTCCCACCCATGCCTTATCTAAGAAATTGCTCACCGTTCTCAGTAAGTTTATTTAACAATTTGTTTTCTTTTTCCTTCCAAATATATATGCAATTTTTTTAATATACAATTGGTATACAAATTTTCATATGAAAATATTAATTGAAACTTTATCAACAATTAATCTTGATAAGGCATTGCTGAGAAATGCTTCTATAGTTTTAGCTTTTCCTAAGAAATCAATTCATAATTGCGCTAGTTATATTCATTATTCTCAAAACCGATGTTAAAACAATGCCTTATCTCATTTGATTGGTTGTTTTTGTGAAGGAAATTTTAAAATCTACTAATTTCATACTGATAGTTGCAGGAACGATTAATACGTGATCGAAGTTCACCATCTTATTTATCACTAAATTTTTCAATAGCCGAAAAATGTTCGATCCCAAGCAGTATGAGGGACATAAAAGAAAGCACAAGAACATACGTGAAAAATATTTCAAATGAGTAGAGTTCATATAACAAATTATTTACAAATAAAATTGTAGTCTTCACTACTGCTTTAATTAATTTCATAAATCCATGTCACATAATTGATTCTTACTGAGTAAACTTCAATTGCAATTAAGTCGAAAAGCAGTTGAAGTTGAAATTGTTTTTTGCTTCAACATAATTTAATTCTTTGTACGTTATTAAATGCTTATATTCTATCTCTCTTCTTCAGAATATTTTGAGCATTTTAAGTAACAAGAAAAGTTTGCACATTTTTTGCAGATCTGTCGAAAATAACTTTGTGCAGTCAGCGAATAAGGATGCATTGCCGGTAGGTTCAAATGATCTCAATAATGATGTCAATGCCAACGGAATATGCTTTCAGTGCTGCAACCTTCAAAAACAGCTGTCTGATTTGTCGTGCAGGTCATTAAGTCATTTCCATTTGCGCACACCATTCCAACATATTTTACAAAATTTTTTGTTATTGTGCATACCTAAGAATTAAAGATATTGATTATTTTTAAGTTTACTTATCGGCTTAATTAATTTTGATTTTTTTTTTAATTAATTAACTATTTTTCATTTGGCAACATTGATTACCCAGAATTGAGCAAAGGGAAAGATGAGAGAAAGATTCTTAGGGAGCTATTTTAACTTTTTTTCTATTTTAACATCAAAAATGTGTCCTCCTCTGTTCTCTTCAATTAGGTTAGGCGGAATTTTCATTTAAATTAATTGTGTTTCTAAATTATTAAAGTGAATTAAGATTAAAAGAAGCGACGGATGAAGCGAAAAGTAAAATAGTTGAAAATCAAAGAAGGAAGGAAGAAGAGAGAGTTATTGTTGACAAAAGTGTTGGAGACTCATGTGAAATGCTTTATACTGAAAAGATAAAGGAGGAGAAAAAAGACACTGGCACTGATGCATTGCTTATCGAAGTTGATGATAAGGTTATTGCTCTCGTTCAAATGAGATTTTTATTCTTTCTTCTTTGGGAATTATAATCTGTTTGCTGAAACCATCTTATCACCACCAAAAATTTATAATAGATATTTTGACAATTTGTGGTAGATAGACTGTTCATAGTAGTGATGTTCACCGCGCGAGTTTTTACGTAAGCAATTTTCTTTATTAATGTTATTCTTCATTGATAGGAAATATATAGTATGTACCTTTTATTAATGCTAATATGATTATTAATTATTGCCAATCAATTTTTTAGAAAAAAATAATATATTTGGAAAATTATCTATTTATGCATTTGTTTAATGTGATTCATGGTGGTAAACCTTTTTTTTTCTCTATGTAAAATTCTGAAAATTCAAAATTATAACGAAGTTATAATTTGCAGAGGACAAGTATATCGTCGGTGGATCGAGTCGAAATGCTTTGGTATAAAGATATCGCCAGTTCACCTGTTTCAGAACCACAGTTCTACTCGACTGGAATTACAACTGACAAACTGTTGGCTTCTTCTCGTGGCTCTGCTACCGATTTACCGAATCAGGAACTGCTGGTTATTGGGCCAGAATGTCATTTTGAATGTAGCGCTGAACCATTGGTCACTAATGGTTAGTCGGAATATATAATTTTCTTTGCATGGCTCATTAAAATTCCAGTCTGATTCATTTTGCGCATTAGTTTGGGTAATAAAGATTTATGGCAAATCATTTGCGAAGGGACTACAGTGGAAAAGAATTAGGGAGAGGTTTAGCTGTATTTGAAAACTTTAAACTTCAAAAATAAGATTGGCAACTTTAATAATAAGTCAAAAATTTCCATTTTTATTTATGAAACCGGTAATATCAAATATTTTAATTTTGAATTTATTTATGAATAGATTATGGCTGTGGGAGTGATATGTTTACTATGATGTGTGATTTTTCGAGTATGACGGATGCTGTCGAGCTGGTTGACTCAGAAACTGGAAGTAAACAAAGTATTCCTTTATTCAAGGATTCCTCATCCATGACTACTCCGATTACATCCCATTCACGTCACATTCAAACTGAACAAATCAAAACGAGGTAGCTCATTTTTTAAATACTTGTTATATTTTGGAGATGCCTTTTATTAGGCCTTGTATTTTGTACTTTCTATTAGTAATTAAAATGGCCGATTGAAGTATTTTCTTAACTCATTTACATCTATGTTATATTCTAAAAGTAATATTGCTATTAATTAAAATGCTTAGTGTTCCTTCAGATTTAAATAAAATTTAAAAAGCTTTCATTTCTGTTATGATTTTAAAATATCTCATTTAGTAAAATTTAGTAAATCACAATTTTTTACAGAACGGTGTGCATTTCCACATCACCGATGTGTTTGTTAAATCATAACATCGGTACGGTACAGGTAACTCAGAAAGATTCCTACACAGTTTGCGGTGAATTGATGACACGTGATTTTGTTGATGCTTTCACTGGAATGGATATCGAGGAAATAGGACAAAGGATATGCTACACTACTGTCGCATCCCAAACAGAGTTCGGTTTGTTTTAATTTTTTGTGGTTTTTTTTTTTTTTTTTTTTTGTGAATTAATAATTAGAAATGCATGTCGGTTCAAATCTGAATACATTTATAAGCAATAATTAGTAAGCAAAAATACTTCCCTATTTGTCTTACTATATTGTAAATTACCTGTCTTCGAGTTATCTGTTAATTTAGGAAATTAAGGAAGAATATGAAAAGCATAAACGAGAAATTGTACTCAGGAAAAAATTATTGTTATTGATGTTGCTTATTAGTCATTATTCAGTTGTGCACAATGATTAAAAGTGATCAAAGACATGCTTTACAGAACAAAGTGAGCCACGAGTAATTGATGATAGGGAAATAGCGGAATCGCTGTGGTTGATTCCATCCAGAGATAGGAAGGATGTAGCAGTGGGTAACGAGGATGACGTTATCGAGGTACATGAAATACCTCCACCAGCACCGGATGGAATCAACCATCAAAAGGAAATGATGTTAGATAGTGATGATGACGATATGGTGAAGCTCTTTTTTTATGTCGTTTTGGATTCTGAAGACACCATAAACTTTTGAGAATTTCGCACTTCATATATACTTTAACATACATTAATTACGTGGCCGTGAAGAGTGAAATTTTCAAAATTCGTTTTTTTTTTTTTTACATTGCATTCTCATATGAACCATTTGCTTGAAGATTTGTGTAATAGAAGAAACACTATCGGATCCAGAAGATATTGATTTCAAGAGTGCGAAGTCTGCGGAGCAGTTGTCGTTGGAACAACGTATTGCAGACAATTTAGACGTTAAAACTAGAAATGAAGTAGCCGCAAAGGTCAAAACACCTCGAGCACTTGGTCACGCTCGTGCAGCCATAGTTAAAAAAATGCTCACTGAAAAATCACAACCACTAAATTTCATCCGTGGTACAGCAATATCCAAATCTTGGCGATCAGCTAGTAAAAAAGGAGACCCGCTGCAATACATCGTTGATCAGCATGAAACACAGGTAAATTCAGTTCTTGACGTACCACGACTCTTTCTTTAGAGTTCAACATTCTACTTAGTAGACTTAATTATGATTAAAAGATTGAAATTTTTTAAGTAAATTGAATGAATCACCACATTGTTGTTGGTAATTTAAGAATTAAGAAAATACAAATTATAAAATTGATGAGAAAAACTAAGTGAAAATTGCTTTAGATTTGCATGGAAAGCACGGATAAGTGTTATTTGGTCTTTCCCGTAGTTCGCTATTTTTAGACAATTATGGTTTTTTGTTAGCATTTTTATAAATTGATTTAGAGTAAAATTGCACTCAACCCGCTGTTTTCTTTTTAGTTTCATCAGAATATGTGATCTGATTTATTCATTTGAAATGATTAACTCTTCCGTAAACAAAATAATTCTTGAGAAAATGGAGGGAGACAGCAAAACTTTCTCCTTTATTTTACAATTTTTCGCATAACTATTCTCAATAGTTCATGCTTCAGCGCAATTCGGATTCCTCAACACCTCAGACAACGAAAGATGCTTTGAAAGAAAAAGTCAATCTTAAGAGAGATTTTGTATCACCACAAATGGAATTATCGAAGGTCCCAGAACCGGTTCCAGCTCGAATACCACGACCTAAAATCAGCAAATACATTCCTGGAGAAACTGTACCACAATCACCTGATGAAGTTTGTCCATCGTTTCATTAAGATTTTGATTTAATAAATTTCTTTCTATACCAATAAATTGATTTTGAAATACGTCAATTTTTTTTAAAGTTCAAAGTTTTTTTTAAGGTTTGGTTCAAAGACTCGCACTTTTGTAAGTAATGATATGCCTCTAGGAAGCTGAAATAGCCGATCGACTGACCCCGTTACGTTCGGAGATGCGTACTCTACGAACGTATTCCAACGGAAGAGCAGTGACGTTTCCTCGATCGGCGCAACTCCTAAAGAACGTACCACCGAAGATATCTTCCCCAGGCTATGAAAAAACTAATAACTCAATCGTTTTTGAAGACAGGTAACGTTACTAGACTTCGTTTCCAAAGGTTTTTAATTTAAGTCACACAAAATTTGTCTCTTCTGAACATTCTTAATCAAAGTATTTTTAACCTTAATTTCTTAACTCGTTATGAGAGCTAAAAATACCATAAGCAGTACAGACGATTTGCAGCACGAGTTCATCTTCCGATTCGGAAGGTTCATACGATACGAATGAGGCAAGTACAGCTGCTCAGTTTGAATTAACACTGCAACTTAATGAAGCGATCGGAATCCTTAAGAATCACTTTCAGAAATCGGATCCATTTGAATCTTCTTTGTTGGTAAGAGAGCTGAAATTGTCACCATTTTCTTGTGATTTTTGTCTTTAGGTGAATTTCACGAGTTAACATTTCGCTTCATTGAAGGATTGGGCGACGAATCATGCAAAACATGAATGGTTAAAAACGGCAGCGCGGAAAACAGCATCAGCGGTCGAAGTGGAAGGTTTCATTGATATGCTGGAGGCTACATCAGATGCTGTTCTTAAATTTGTTATCAATCTGGCGGATCCCAATGTTAATTCATTTTTCTTTTAAATTCTAAGTGTAAAGAGAGAGAGAGAGAGAGTGAGGAATAGAATTGTGAAGAGAAGATATGCAAAATTAAGGTTTCTGGTAGTGAATGGCTGCTTATTATGAATTTTGATTAAAAATTTCAGATCGCATTGAAATTTGAAAATTTAACAATCTGAGATTTGTTACAGGGGAATACTGCTCTCCATTATGCAATATCTCATGGTAATTTCGATGTTGTTAGTGTTCTGTTAGATTCGCGAGTCTGCAATTTAGATCGTGCTAATAAGGTCAGTTTATGAACCTAAATGGAAATTCTAGGTAATATTACCAATAAACAGTAGTGATCCTAGATCAAGTTTTGATATTTCGAGTATTCATTAATAGTGGATAAAGTTTGAATCACCTGGTATCAATTAAATGAAGTATTTAGGCGGGATATACACCGGTGATGCTGGCATCGCTCTATGATGCATCCGATGAAGTTGAGACTGCTATTATTCATCGACTATTTCAGTTAGGCGATGTTAATGCTCAAGCTGTTCAGGTTTGTCTTCTTTTTAAATAATCGAAAATTTTGTAATATTTTCTTCACAAACATTTTAATTTATGAAAAGTTTAATCTTGTATTACGAGAATAGTAAAAAAATTTTCAGAATCTTTAAAAAATTTGTTCCAAATATTTTTAACTTTTGACTCAATTTAATAAAAATTTTTGATGTTTTAGCACGGACAGACAGCATTGATGCTGGCTGTTTCTCATGGTAAAATAAACACGACGAAGTTATTGATTGATTGTCAGGCTGATCTCAATATACAGGTTTGATCAATCATTAATTACATGGTGGATATAACGAATGATTTTTCCATGAATTTTTCCTTTTATTTATCGTTTTTGTCATAATTTGAAAATTCATGGAGAATTTACAATTCAGGATGAGGAAGGCTCTACAGCATTAATGTGTGCTGCGGAACACGGTCATAAAGAAATCGTGAAATTATTACTTCTACAGAAAGATATTGATGCTTCACTTTCTGACTGTGTTCGTTCTTTCTTTTGCAAGAATATTTTTAATTAATTCCTACTTATTTCACAACATTTTCTTTGCGTAATAGCGTGGATATGAACAAAGATAAAGTCAATTTTTGCAACTTCTACAATTTATTGATAACTTGTTCTTCCAAAATTTACTGAATTCAAGGTTTGAACTCATTCACAAAATTCAAATAAAAGAAAGGTGTTTTGAAAACTTCAATAAACATTATGAAAGCAATAGTTTGCAAACAGCTGACTTCATTCTGAGAAAATAGATATGTTGTTCTGTTAAATTAATTTAATTGAATATCATGATGAAACCTAAACTGATTAAATAGGAACTATTAATTAAACAACATTTTAGGACAGTTCAACAGCCTTATCGATTGCGGTAGAGAATGGTCATCGTGATATTGGTGTTCTAATCTATGCACATCTGAACCATTCGTGCAAACAAAATCAGAAGCAGCAAAAGATAGAATTAACTTCGTGAAATCTCGATCATTGTCATGTTTACTTGTTTCGATAGCTTATCATTTCTAGGAATAGCTTTGTTTTTTTCTTTTTGTTTGTTTCGATAGCTTATTTTCTTTTAAGAGTTATTAGTAGACGATGAACTTTTTGATAGCTTATTTTATAGCAATCGAATTCAAATCATGTAAAAATTTAACGTAGATTTAAATCATTTTACAGTCGTCTTAAATAACTTATACAAGAATTTAACTAATTTTTAAAGCATCATGACTAAATCGTTCACTAGCTGGATAGAAAAGAATATCGAAGAATTGATTCAGAATAATTAAATTATGATAAATCAAAAATCTTGTTCAACTTTGTTTTTTGTTATTTCTCTGTGTGAATTTCTACTGCAAATAAACGGCGGTTATTTACTCATTTAGTTAATTTGTTAATTTCTTTAAATACTAGAAGATCAGACTAAAACGAAATATGCAACTTGATTTTGAAAATGATATTTCATGCGTTTCAGGAAATATTATCCTTACTTATTTCCATATTTCGATTTTTGTTGGGGATAAATCCGCTTGAATAAAACACATTTTAAGCTTTAAATCATTTCTGCTCAACGAAACATATTCAAGCACTTTGGGGAAAAGTGTTACAAAACTATTCATTTGATCGGATAATAAAAACTGGAATAGTACAGTCCTGTAACAGTTAACTTCGGGAAGTTTCGTGTTTAACAGAAGTTACAGTAGAATTCATAGTTAAGTAAGAAGTTTAAAAGTATACAACTGCGTTAAATGTTTGGACATAGTACTGGACTGTATGATACTGCTTCGCTAATTTAATTGGAATCGAGATTGAAAAACTACAAAGAAATGCTTGAATTTTTGGAAATTTTCACTGGTGTCGGAGAGATGAATGCTAGTTACATTTGTTTACTCTTGTTTTTCCTTAAAGAACAGAACGAGAAAGTTCAATTGAAGCAGTCTGGTAGAAGAGCTGAAATTGGAAGAGTGAATGATAGTTGGCACTAAGCTATACCGATGATACAGAGGATGGTATGTAGTGCAGGTATGGATTTAATGAATAGGTGGTACCGAGTATTACACAGGTATACAACTACGATAAAGAGCAGATAAAGGGAAGGGAAGAAGGAAATTAACATTGGTTGACGACGAGTCATTCAGTAAACATTTGGGAGAGAATCAGTTAAGTTAAGTTGACTTTGACCATTCTTCGGTTATTCTGTTCTGGTGGTGGTGACACTGATGAAAAACTAAGTAAATAAAGGATAGGAGAGGCCAATAGCAATAGCAGGAAGGAAAGTGACTATACAACATGCCGATAGATGATACAACACATCTGTGTACATGCTAATCATCACAAAAGTTAGTAGTTACCTTTCCTCAGTCACTTTTGAAAGGTACTCAGACTGAGGGCGCTGATTGTCTACAACTATGACAGCTATTTTGCCATCCGACTGCTTTTCTTCATCAGCCATTTCTCTCTCTCACTACTGATTTTGTCAACGAGACAAAAACTGTTCTTCCGATCTATATACTTACGTAAAGCAATAAGCACAGCAGTAGCAGTCAATCAGTCAGTGGGCTAGTTAGTCAACCAATCACATAATTTTGAAATTCCCGAATTTCCATTCATCCTATTGTCATTCAGATTGTTGTAGAGATGGAGCTATCAACCAGTGTATCAGAAGAGGGTTGCGTTACTGCGTACTATTAATCATGGGACACGGGACAAGGCAAGATGTTGGCATAGCTGAACATGATAACGATTAGGCTCTAGTTTAGAGCCTAATCAATTTGCATAGAGCTTCAGCAGTGCCACATTAGGCCATCTCTCGAGTATCCACTCTCCTACTCTACAATCTCAACTATTTTTTCCTCTAACCGTCAATATTACTTCTTCCCACTGCAGAACTCAATATATCAGGTATGATATTACTGAAACAAAGAGAATCTGCTCCATAAATTGGAACTGTACCGGAAATTTCTGAGTCAGCCGAATTTTGTAATCTCGACAATCTCAAGTTTTTTTCGGCCAATTGTAACTTACGGTTATTTATCATCGACTTCTAAATACATTTTCAGAAGCAGTAATGAAACTGAAATTAGTGTTTAACATAAAATTTATTAATTTTTTTTTGCAGAGAAATAAAATTTTAGAATTAATATTTCATTCTAAAGTCTGAAAATATATGATAAATGCTTTTTTAATTCGTGAATATTTGACAGCTTTCAAGCTATAAACTATTAAGATAATAAAGACACATTTCAGGAACAAAAATGCAATATCATAAATGTAGAAATGTAATGCACCGATACAATGGTGTGATAAGACAAGGAAGGAGAACGAACGGATCGGCAAAACAGGATTAATTTAGCCATTTTTAGAAATTACACTAACATTTGCATTATATGTGCAAAACACATATGATATCCTTCTTTAGGAATACTATACATTGGATTGATTTAAATCAGTTTATTAGTTACCATAGGAAATAAGTTTGCCATTCCCACCCAAATCATGACTATGCACTATGTATGGTGCCAAAATTACGAAATTGATATAATAAGATATATGAACATATTTAATAAATGAAGTTAATTAGAGTGTTTTAATTAGATACTATCTGTTTCCCTCACTATTTTCATCGCCCTCTTTCTCATTACCAAGTTTATCATTGGGTAAATAAGGGAACTGTAACACCTTGGCACCTTGTTCACAACTGTGATCCCATGATCTGTCTGCATTTAGATCTATTGTTATCACATCATTCAATGCCTGATTACCGCTGTCGATATCGACATTGTTAATAGAATGTACCGAGAATCGCAAACTACTTAGATCAACCCGAACATTGGGTAGACATATTTCATATGCTGTCAACCAGTGAAATTTGGCACGACGAGCTGGACAACATTTATCCTGAAAGTACAAAAACTAGCCCAAATTAAATTAGCTCAGTTCCTTGCTTTTCTAATAAAAATTGCTAGAGAATTTTCGGATTATCCAAGACGAAATATCATAATCTCTTCCTATCTCCCAGTATCGACTCTTTTTCCATCTTGCTTAACTTCGCATTTTGCTAAACAAAATCTTCAAACATTGTAAGCCTTTTAATTGAAAGACTTAATGAATTAACTAAAAGTTAAAAAAAGAGACATATTTTCAAATTAATATCTTGTTAAATACCACTAATTATGAGGAAGAACTAACATTATCTTGTACAAATTTATGGAAGCAACAACGACTGAATGCATCGCCGGGTGAGTTAATTGCAGTACTATCGTTCAGACAGCATTTGTATTTAGACTGCAATTGAAAAATGTCAAGATTTAAGTATCACTGAACAAGAAGGAAGTTCTCTTTTCACAAGTCGTTTAAGAAATTCTTCATTAAATCCTTTCAATCTATAAGTTATAATATTATTATTATTCCTCTGGTGTTAACTTAATAGATCTATTGAGATACAGCCAAACATCTAGCATACCAAAAAAGCATTCTGTGTTTATTGCAGAAAATTTTCAGGAACGTATCCTAAGCTAATTTTGCAATTATGTTTACTTAGAATAAAATTTTCTTGTAACATTAATTACTTAATAATTTTAAACAAACCTGGAGAAATTTCTGCATGCAACACAATTCAATAGTAGCATTTGTGCAACGTCCCGGTACACATATATCCGTTAAGTAAATCCCTTTATCACAGCATTTACTCATCTTATCTGCACCAATTCTTTTTTTCTGAATGATTGAAAGGGCATTATATAATAAACATAACTTAATCTCTGGATAATTTCTTTTTTTTTTTCAAGTGTTATCATTTTAAAAATTTACTCAGAAAATTTCGTGCCTAAGATTAGGATTTGAAGTACCTGCTCGATGCATACGTGATCTGTAAAAGCAGCGCACGGTACTTGATGCTCGAATAAAAATTGCGAGTGTTCTAGAGGTTTTGTATTCAGGATTTGTGTCTGGAAATTCAGTATTTTTTAAAAAGAATAATAAAATTCGAAGACTCCTAATTCATTCATTCACAGATTAAAAAATAATCCATTATTGATTTCTTCCTGAAAATTGATATCACTTCTCATTCTTCTTTTCCTCATGTGATTTATAGGAAGATATTTAAAATTAGTCTTTGAAGACAAATGATGAAACATTAGATTATCAGCCTACTCTCTAAAGACTTCGAAAAATAGCAGATAGTTTAAATTGAACTTCAGATCTGAAATCAAAAAAATGTGCTAAAAATTTAGTAACCCAAAACAATTCTAACCATTTTAGTTGGAATGATAGTTGTTTCACTGGCTGCCTGCGAATAATCATAGTCACTTTCTCCATCTCCTACGTCATACAGAATTGAAGTTTTCGCTGCTGGATTATTGGAACCAAAAGGTACTATCGTTGTCTTTGCATACTCTAAAAGTGAATTCTTCAAGAATGATATTTAATGCCTCATCAATAAACTATCATAATGGTTAGGTACTGTTATTATCATCCTCCATATTTTTTATCATTATTGCAACTAATTCTTGCTACAAAGTAATTCGTTTTTGGTTACTTGGTGATATTATTACTGCTTATGCAAATGGCGCCGAAATATCAACATTCTAATACATTTTACAGTAATATTTGAAGTGGTGATTTTGCCGGTAATTGAAATTATCAGAGAGTTTTGAAAAATTGACCTTGAAGATGCTGTTGATGTGATAAAACTTCGAATTGTCTCCAATTATTCTTATCTTTTGAATCGAACCGACGTTGATGTTCTTCAGCACTTACATCAGTGTAAAATTCGCTTACTGTTTTTTGTTCATGCAATTTTCGCTGTTCTTCGATTCTTTTTTCAAGTTCCTATAATTCAAATGATTTCTTTGTTTAATTCTTGTTGAATTCTTATATTTATTTCATTTAGTATAAAATTAAGAATTTTTAAATGAAACATTCTTTAGAAACTGTCACAAACAATTAATTAAAAAAATGTCAAAAATGTAGCTTATTCAGTTCCAGTTGAGAATTTGCAGAGATCCAGAAAATACGTAAGAAATTTTAAGGAACTACTTGTTGTTGAAATCTTTGTTGTTCTTGATTTTGTCGTTCTTCATACTGCCTTTGCATTTCCTGAAATCGTCGTTGTTCCTGAATCTTCCTCTGTTCCTCTTCCTGCTCCCGAATTCTTTGTTGATGTTCCTGTTGAATACGTAATTGTTCTAAATGCTCTTGCTCCTGTTTTCTTTTATTTTTCTCTTTTCGATGCTGCTCTTCTTTTTTCCATTGCTGCTGTTGACTTCCATCTTGATCTTTTTGATTGGAAAACGATCGTGATCTTATCCACCCACTTGATGCTTGCCAGTCATTGTTCGACTTAGTTGTGACCCTTCCTTGACCAATTTCGAATCTTAAACACCTCAAAAATTAAAAGGGCAAATTAAAGGATAGTGGAATGGAATGAATATTTCTTGTATGAAAGCATTCATACATTATTATAAATCAGAATGGAAAAAATTTAGGACAGCGCTGAAAATTCCGTCCCTTCTAAATTCTTCCTAAACTCATGCTCATCGTTTTTTAAAAGTTACTTTCGAATTCCAGTATTATAATGAAGTCCGAAACTGATCTCAGATGGCAGAATTTAATATTCATTGTCAAATATTACTCTGGTTGTGTTTGCTGCGAAATTGTTCCTTGTTTATGCATTGATACTCGCTGCTGTTGTTGTGATTCGCTTCTAGCGACCATCTCCTTTTGATGATTTTCAATAGTCACTGATGGAGAAGTGATATTGGAGGGAGCAACATAATCGCGTACTGAGGTTACTGTATTAAATCGCGAGGCAAAACGTTCCTGATCAAGTGTTGATCGGTGATCCGAACTCAACGTATCTGCTCTACCATTTTGTGGATATACCACTGCTTTAATACGCTGAAATTCTTTGGAGCAATTATTTTTGTACATTTGATACAGGTAGGATGAGGTTTCTGTTATAAACTTATCTAAACTTCACGATAAACTCTAAGTCAAATGTTATCAATTATGTGGTTTTTGAGTTAGGGTAAAGCGATAGAGCGAAAGGATATGTTAATATCATTTAGTCTATATATAATTCAAATGTTAGCAGGAAAAACTTGTTTAAAATGATTCCGCTAAAAAGTTGTAACTGTTGCTAAGACGTAGCGAGAAGAGCTTTTCAGAAAACTGCTAGGATTTTTCTTGATTATTGATCATAAAAATTGATAAAAGTAGAAAATACTTAGAAATTACTCTTTCAGTTGATATTAAAATTGTAAATTTGTTCACTAATGGTAGTATCTATTAGTCTATATTCACAGCAACTTTCCTCTTGTTCCATCACTTCCCTTTAACTCACAAGTTACTGTAACTGATAACAACTGAGCTAGAGATTAACGTAAAGCTTAGATAAGCCTAGGACAGGATTCCTGTTTTACGGAATTTACAGTAACCAAAAATGGCGCAGGCACAAAATAAGTGTATCAATCGACTTTTTCCGTTTCTTGTAAAGAAAATGCACGACACTCTAGCTAAGATTTTGACGCAATTTGAATAATTATCAACTTAGTCTTCCTTTTGTTGAAAAATTCATTCTGAAAGCAAATCAATCAGTCCCAACTTTTTTCACTGAGGGTAACACTATTTTCTGCTACTCACAACCAATACCTCTTTCAGCTTTCCACTTCCACTGCTGAAAATTTATACAATGAGTATCTTCACTAAAAGAATTGAGCACGGGTAACTTCGATCTTTCATCATTTAATGACATTTGAATGTTCTTTGTTAACACTATCAGAAGTTATCATTTTACAACTAATGAAAATTTCTCACTAATTAATAATAAAAAGGACAGAAGGAAAACGATGGCGTATATTCCTTGTTAAATAAGTGAATAAATAGACTGTCATCCTTCCGATATATTGGATAGTTTGGCCGGGAATGCTCAATTCATCCTTCTCTCATCATACATTTATTATTTATTTAATTTTCTTCATTCGATTTGTTGAATTAGTTAATAGCACCATCCTTAATGTTAATGGTTTTAGGATTCATTTTAGCTTCATTAATTGGCGATATCTTTGTTTCCTTTCTCACATAGTTGATAATCGAGATCGATGTTATATGATCCAACGAGTTTTGCGAAATCAATCAACTTATAGGATATGTTCTTGATACCATTTGCATTCCCAAAACCTTTTATCCCATCTCCACCTATTTTGATTAATGAATGTATCACTTTAAACTTGACATCAATGCAACCATTGTCAAGACATGAATTTAGCAAGCAATGTTCAGTGCTTTCAACAATCAACACTGGTCAATTTCCATCCTTGGTATCGTATCGCTTCAAAATACAAGATGATGCCAGTTCCAATCAAAAGGGAGGATACGGAAGGCACACATAGTGTGAAAAAGATCTAGTTGATTTCAACAATATCTAACAGTTTCATGTTCTATAAACTTAGTCTCTGCCATCAGACTTTCACCTTCGTCGTTTCTTCTTCCAATGTTATGCCTTCCGAAATATTTTCTCTTTTCGATTTCCTGTATAATATTTCCTTTGCTATTTCTTCAGTATATCTTACAAATTGATCCTGCCTGCACTTTTTAAAAATTTCTTCTAGTTTACTGTTGTAGCTGAAATCGATGATCTATATATTATTTAATAATCTTCTTTCTAAAATGGAACTTCAGGAAACTTTTGGATCAGGATAGGCAGCTTTATCTCATTGTTTCATCCCTTGTCTGAAATCTGCTCTGAAAATAACACACTCCTCCTCTCTCTTTAAATCGCAGGCAATCAATCATAACATAATGGTTTCCAACTAGATCAGCTATAATTATAGAGGGATATGACAAAGATAACTCTGAACCTGAAGTGCTTTGATTCCTTCCATTCTCAAACTGTGCCCCTTCTAAGAATCAGTTGCTACTGAATTGTTCAAGAATATCGCCTTCTTCTTTTTCCACTACTGCCATTTAATAGCACTAACTATTAACTATACAATCTATATTTTCTTTTACAATTTACTGAAAATGAGCTTTTCTATCGTTCCATCTTCGATTAATCATTTTCAACTCTACGCCGTTTGAATAAATAGGTTTAACTTTGCGAAGAGTTATAAATTATGATCATTTTTGAAAGTAATAATAATTTCACAGCTTCCGTAAACCTTACAGGCCTTCTTGTTTTTCCTTTGCGTGTAAAAGAAGCATAAGTTGTAATGACAGGTTCCTGAGGTAGGTCAGGTGGGTCGTATTGGCACCAACCACATTGGGCATAGCTAATAGCTGATTTCAGTGCCCGTAGTGTATGTTCAAATTTTGATGTGTCACTTTTTGGATGCCGAATAACGCTGGCTAGACGACCACATCTAAAAATAAGAATAAAAAATAAATTTGAAAAATGCTAAAATGGAACATAAAGGCAGAATATTCAGAATCTGGAAAAGAAGACAGTACAGCAAATAACGCTGTAACTCCAAGATGTCAGATCATAAGATATCAGGAAGTTTAGAAATGGTAGTAATTATTTTTTGAACTTTGATTGCACTGGAATTTATGTACTGCTTAGAAGAAATTCAGTATTTGTATACAAGGATTCATTTCTTACCGATCATAAATAAAATGATCATGGCCAGATCCTGATAACGTGTCCCAGATTCGTTCATCCAACGACTCTATACCGATTGCAACACGAGAGAACTCCTTTCGATAGCGCTCAATCAGACGAGGATTCTCATCATAGGGAGTTATAACAACAATCCTTATTTCCGGCAGTGTCTCCATTACTGTTTGGAATCTACAATTTAATATCTTTGAAAGAATTTTAACTTAGCGGCAATAAAATGGATTTTACAATGAAATGATTTAAAACACCAAAGATTTTTATTAAAAGATTCAGAAATAAATTTACTTCATTAATTGTTCGTGACAGTGTTCGCATTCCATAGGCATTAGTGCTACTAATAAAACAAAACCCTTCGAATCTGCAATAATATCTCGTCCACCCAATTTCCACGACTTTGTCTGACTGCATAATATTGGTGTACTCTAAAAAGTACTGGTATAAATTAACGCCACTGCAAACTGCTGAATTTGAAGATGCTTGTTGTGAAGTTTATTCTGTATTTTTCTAGTTTATCGATTCTCTTAAAGATTTCGTTTTGTGCAAGAATATCAGTTCTTATCTCTCCCAATAAAAAAATCCAACTCAACCTTCAAAAATAAATGAAAATGAGCATCGCGGAAGCTTTTGTGAAAAGCTGTAAAGCAGATCAAAAATAATCGATATCAAAACACAGTGATAATGTGAGTATTTTTAAAAAACTAGTAAGCATTCAAGTTATTCATTTTTTTTTTTTTTTTTTAGAGAATGAAATTATTTTGAGAAGGAATTCAATTTTGTTGGAAAGAACACATAACTGTTAGAAGAAGAGGGAAAAGTTCATTGAATGTGCTACTGATGAAGTGATCAAAAATGACTGTATACGTTTGAAGAAGCTAAGAGTTAAAAATGCTTTGTAAAATTAGCCTTTTTTACATTTAATACAAGCAAAATGAAAAATGGAAAGCAAATTTAATGAGACATTGTATTATCTATTTTGTTTCAGATTAAAAAGAAACTTTTGGTGGTTCCATAAAAACTTTATATCGTAATTGTACCATTGCGTTGTTTTATCGTTTAGCATTAAAACTGATCACATTATTCAATAATTATCAAGCAAACATAATCATAAACTTTGAATTTGAACATAATGATAAATTGTTTAAATAGCTTTTACCTTGACGACAGGTCTCATAAATATTATAATAGATAATAGCAACAACAAGATATCAAAAGGGACGACATTGGAGTAATACATTTTCTGCATACTTTTAACATTACTAAATCAGAAAGGTCCATGAATGGTCCAGAATAATCATGAGTGGAGATTTGTTTGCTGTTAAGGACCCTTACTGTAGCTTTCGTGATGTGGCCAAGAAATAGCAGATGAGATAAATGATGAGGTTATGTTCTTCAGATGAGAGAAAGATTCAGTGATGGACAATAGAGCGGTGCACTAGTTTATCAAAGAACACAACTGTTCTATATCTATTAATCTATTATAAACAATCCACTGCAATACTAAGACTAGCTGTGTTACCCACTTTAACAAATAAGCTCTGATAACATATGCGTTTCGTTTACAACTCCTTACCTTGTTTATTATTACGATTCCAAAATGAAATAAATCTGCGAGTTCTTTAGTCCTTTGCTTAACAGGTGTGATAGTTACAGATGTAACTAGTACTATTGAACTAACTAATCACTAACGGCATAACATTTTATTTTCAGACCATCTAGATCCATACTAATTTGAACTTCGGAAAATTTTCAGCAAAAAGTTCCAAAATATGTATTGCACGTGAAAAGAAAGCTTTAACAACGTATTTCGAAAATTTCACAAAGTGTGAATTTGTTGAAATGCAGAAAATGAGAAACGCATGTTTCGAAGAATTCTGGCCATTTTTCACAGCAATATTGCAGAATGATTTAGTTAAATCCTTAATCAGCGAAGTAACATCTAAAGCAAAATAACTTGATTTACTTAAATGCTTGACTTCTTAAATAGCGCTTACACTGGGAAATCACAAATAGATATTAACAGAAAAGATAATCAGGAAGAAAAATAAAAAGTTATCCCTTCTTCAATAATTTTATACTGTCAAAAAGAGTCTGAAAAAAAAAAAAAAAAAAACAGAATAACCAACTTTATTAGGGCCAAACGACATTGAGGAAAATGATGTCCTAACAAAGTTAAAGAACCGACAGTTTGCAAAATAAAAATAATGATAATGAAAATACCATCAGGGAACAAATTCAGTTCCGAAGTTGTGCGAAAATTCTTTATCAACTTTTTCATTCTTTTCATTAATGACAGCATTATTGTTTTTGTTGTTGTTTAAAATATTGTAGCTTTAAGCTGAGCATGCTAGAAAATTAAAATATTAGATAACCTCAGTAGTAAGATTACAAGAAATATTTTATATTTTGATTATATGTTAAGTGATTTTCATAATTCATCACGCTTCCTTAAGACAAGCCAGATTTCCAGAATTTGCAATTGTGTAATTCTAAATTACTGTATGCCCGGAAATCTCTACTGGAAATATCTAGATTGCATTTCATTTTGGGACAAGCAAAATTGCATGAAAATATCATTGTGACTTTACGCAGCCATTTGTTGCAAATAATACTTAAAGCAGTTTGTGATTGGTTTGCTATAATAACTGGTGGTTGCTGGGCGACAATGATATTACTGTTTAGTTAAAATTTTCTCGCTATGAAATTGTTATCATCTACATATGGGAAATGTGAACTCGTTAGCACATGATAAGTGTGTTTAGCTAATATGACATATAAAGGACTTTAAGCTTTTCGCATCTGTTTTAGATTTAAAATTTACGAAAAATAAATTACTCTTATTCGATGCTTACATCTCCATTTTGAAATATTTTTCATTACTGCAAGTTTATCTATTTTTTTTTTTTAAATAGCTCTGTAAATAAGCGTTAAAGATTTGCTTACTTCTGCTTTATTGATTAACAGGGAAGGAAGCATTTTCCTGCTAGGAGCAACTTTAGTTAATTTTCTTTCAATCCCACTTCTCATTGTTCGTTTCAGTATCGGTCTGTGACCGGTATTTGATCGAGAAATCTACATTGTATGAATTATTGGGAAGCGCGTGAGTGTCAAAACTGTAGTTGTTTAGTATTTGAAAGCTATCATACTTTTGGATATTTGGAATCAACTGCAAATTATAATTAATAATAATATTTTAGTTCCTTTAAATAAATTTCTTCACAAGTAAATTAGAATTGTTAGAAAGACATAGTCGAAACTATATGCGAAAGTTATTTCAGATTGATGCCAAACGTCCGCCTTCTTGAAAGTTCTGAGTAGCATAAGCCGGCAGATATCTTTTGTGAGTTAGAAAAAGGCAATGAAATGTACGAAAATCGAAAACTTTCTTCCAATATCCGTATGCTACAGAAAAAAAAGCCTTCAAATGTCACCGAGATTAAAACAAAGAACAGTTAGATAATAATCTTTATATAAAATAATGAGTTTATTTCCAGTACTCATGGTATACAAAGTGCTTCCATTGACGGATGTTATAAAGATTTAAGAAATATTTGTCTAAAAGCAATAATTGGCAACAAAATTTTATTTGCTTTAAATAAAAACTGCAGACTTCCCACAATACAAACTTTTTGTTCTTCTGGAGTGAAATACTTTTCATTTTTTAAAGTCCACAAAACATGAGTGTATAGAGCATATCGGATACAAATATTGAAATATATAATAAGAAAAAAACCCCAAATTCCTACTAATCACTAACAAAAACAAAAAGTAAAAGATAAACAAACGGAACAAAAGTTTTAAAACCCAGGACTGAAAAGTTTCAAATACAATCACTATCTAAAGCAAAAAACGTTGCTTAAAGGAAAGGTTCCAAAAACAATAGTTTTTAATTATTTTCGACACAACATAAATATTTGAGAAAATGTAAGAAAATAATAAAACTTGATTTAATGAAGATGCTGAACTTCTAAACAAAATGAATTAAATCCATTTCCAATACAATGACTCAACTGATTAAATAGTTTTTGTATGAGATGGACTTATGAAAACAGCTAATGTTCATGGAACCTTCATCATCAAATTTGTCTATCTCTAACGCCAGAATCTATATGTACATTTTAAAAACTGTAGATTTCACGACAGCTTCAGATAAATTTAAGAAATCTTCCTCATAAACTTGAGGATGTAACCTTTTCCAACGATTATTGAACGGCTTCGCAACCATACCGTAAGCCTGTAATTACCAATTTATACTACTTACATAAATCCTTTTTGTTTGAAAAATTTGCAAATCTTAGCAGCATTACAATCAAGAAATCAGCCGCTATGAAATAAAGTATGATTTAAGTAAATTCACATTCGCGATAGTCGAATGGCTAATAAAGTCTATTTATCGAAGTTTTTTGTTAATAGTTTTGACTTCCTATAATTAGGCGAGACTTGCTTGACCAATGTAGCGGATCAATAGTTTTTATTCAGCAATTTTAATAAGAAAATTTTAATTTTTCTATTATTTGGAAATATTTTTCTGTTTTTCTAAAAACATAAGACTTAATATGTTCAACCATTCTAATATCTCTACAAACCGCCACTAATCATGATCAACAAAACGTACAATTTACACAAATGACAACAAAACTTAAAAAAAAACCTTGCAATGAAGAGAAGATCGAAATGCTCATTTCCGAACAGCTTCCTTGTTGTGGCATCTAGTCTTTCATTAATACTGTGTAAATTCGGGTCATTGTGAGTTAATAATTGAATGTCCTTTTGCTTCGCATATTCGCGTAATTCAGGAGGAACCTATTATAGATGAACGGTAAGAAAATCGGGCAACTCCAAAAAAAGAAAACTCCCTTAAACTTTCGACTAGATTTAAATTAAAATTGCACAAAAAAGAAACAAAAAGAAACAGAAAAACGAACCGTACAACAATGTTCAGTGCTATAATGGTCAATCATTGGGCGATGATCATTCGTAGATTCATAAAGCGCTTTTAACTGCTCATAGTCAAGATCCGCTACACCTAATGTGTTTATCTTGTGAGTCCTTACCAAAGTTTCTAGCTGTGTCCAAAACGGTAGGATATGCGACAACCATTCCTCTACTTCTGTAGGTACGGATGGATCTATGTCCTGTAAAGTCCTTTATTCCTATATATCAAGTTTTAAAAATATTATGCAAGAAGCAGGACTTGAGGACTTTTCCATCCTATAGATATTTTATTTACAAATTATACTACTGCACCATTTTAATGTTTTCTTTGGCGAAGAGAGATAGGAAAATACACTTTTAATCCTTTTATTTTGTAACAAAATCATAATCAAACGAATCCTTAAAAAAGTTCACTTTGTCCCAAACCAAAGTTCATGCCAGCAAAAAAAAAAAGCCTTTAAAGTTATTTTCGAATATGAAATCGAAAAACTGTATCAAAGTTCACCTCACAAATATGACGTTCAAAAATGGAAAGATTACTAATTTATCATCCGGAGGAAAAGCAATGATCAATTGAGAAATTGATTTGGTGTTGATCTCGTGTAAAGCTGTATCGATGCTTTCTTCCACCTGTTTTATGTCTAATGAAGACATAAATACCTGCAGTTTCAGTTTAGGAATTGAAAGGTAAGGTTTACAAAAGGGTTCAAAATTTTTTGTGATTTTTTCAATCGCAAAAGAGACTAGAAACTTTTTGCATCCTTCTCAAATCAATTAAAAAACAACCTTCAAAGTTATCTTCATATCGTTTTTTTCGATAGTATTTAGACGACAGTTTTCTGAATCACGAGTAAGCATTATCGTACCATCTGGTCTAAAGTATTCTTTTAAAAATTTCAAAAGCACTTCTTTTGAAGGAAATATAACTAGAAAACTTCCTTTTTCATAAATTATAATTGGAATGACCTCATCTCCAAATCCGGTCCATTTGGTCCATCAAGCTGATGTTCGAGTGCAGCTACAAGTTCTTCCGCTGAATTTCTGAACATCTGTCGAAACAGTTCTGGATGCCGTTGAATATTTCCCGTATTGAGACGCACCGCTGATGATTTCTGGACCTGCGATATGATTTCCATCGATGAGTGATTAACTTTTGTGGACATTCCTGACAGTTACATTATTTGATGAAACTGAAGGCTACTGATTCTGCAACAATAAACGATTGTTTAACAATAATGATAAAGAAATAACATAGCTACTGAAAATATGAAAAAAAAAAAATTACTTCATGATAATTTCTCCAAATCATTTTTTTTTTAATAAATCATTTAAAACTCTGACACGAAACTGAAGAACGTTACCATAGCTACAAATAACTCTAAAATCATATTGCACTTGTCAAAGTGCTCAAGGAATTTCAGTACTCTTAAGAGGGACAAATATTTGCCACAGAACAAGGAGCACGTCAATCTCACGTAAATCCTCCCCAGCTAGGACTACAAAAGAATGGCAACAACTGAACTGCAACAACGTCACGTGATGATAAACTGGACAGAGTGCACACTGCGCTACAAAAGGAGAACAGAATACAGCGGGCGACAGAGAAATAGTACATGGAAGGTAGACGACAGAAAGAATTGACTGACACTGATTGGTTACATCGGGTGCAGTTAATTTCAACAATGGTCAGTGGTCTGTTGTGTGAATAACCCCTCGTAAGTAGTACATCTTATTTGTTAGTCCACGTGGATTTTAGGTGAGCACTGTGTTTCTTGAAAATGTAAGGAATAAGTAATCACTTTCGAATTCGACGATTTAATCCTAAAATAATTAAGTGATTTGAAATCATACATGTTAACTTATTCAAATGGAAACTTCAGCAAAGTCATTTACTGCTTTAAATAATTTAAATCAACATTCCAATTTCCAACATCAAATCGGATTGACTTCATGTTTCAAATCATATGAGACACAATTATAAACTTTACAAAACACTTTAATTGAAGTTTGAGAAGTACATGGTGATAAAACTGTATGTTAATTATTTAATTTCGGGACCAATGTATACTTTCCCCGGCAACATTTTAAATTTAATGGAGCATTCTTGCTCGAAATCGAATGCTTCATCTTCAGTCCTGCTGTGCAGCCATTGCAAACATCGATTGAAACACTATAATTATTTTATTTATTAGGCTAAAATCAGCAGTGTTAAAATGTTCGCCAAAAATAAATAGGCCAAAATCACTTCCCAATCTTAATTTTGTAATACATATATTTAATGGACATGACAGAACCTTATTTGCTACTGATTTTTAAAATGTCTATGATTTTATGAACTTCCATTGAAGTTATAACTTCCGGGAAAATAACTCTATGTTTGGAACAAATATAAATGAGCGATTAGTTTTTCCCTTATACTGCTGAAAGTTCCACCGTTTTAAGATATCGCTATCTAAACAGCTATTATTTTGATTTAAAATTGATTCAGTGTTGTGATGGTACTCCATTTCAGATCTTTTAAAACTCCAAAAATTTTCCATTTCATTTTCAGAGATCAGAATTTGTAGCTTAGTAATAGCTCTGTACAAAAATGAGAAGGTTTTGACGAAGTTGTCTAGCCATACATAATTAACATTATGTATGATTTTAAATAATATTTCTTCTTGGCTTCAAAATATAACTTGGAAAATTAGAAATTTAAGAAATACTTTATATAGTGGATTTGTTCTTCTGCATTCTTTGATTCTTTTCAGTTTTCTGTCATTCCTAAGGGCAGGTATCTGCATTACTGTAATGCATTCTGTAAGGCAGTATTCTTTCTCATCGTTATCATCATCAGCAAATACATCGCAACATACTGTATCTGAAATGCATATTTTAATTTTAACTTGCAGATTTGCATATATTTCTTTAGATACCACTTTTTTTTTTCATTATCGATTAATAACAAAAACAGAATAAGGATTACAAGTTCGAGCAGAAATAATATCAGTAAATTATTTTAAAAAATGGAGTATGGATAGTCAAAGAATTGCAAATGTTCTCGATGAACTGATACTGACCAGTGAGATTAAGCATTGGCTGATATTCTCCGTGCAGTTCCTTCTGGATGCATAAAGTTACATTAATCCTCGCCCCCAATTTCATGCCGTCGCAACGAAGTGGTTTCGCAAAATTGACTGACTCTGTGCAGCATTCAGCGTATTCCTTAGAACAACATAAAGCCACCACTGAGAAAAAAAATAAGTAAAATAAGTTTCAAAAGCTTAAATTAACATTCTATTGGTAATACAATGTTCTCTAAATGTAATAGGCTATGTTAGCTGAATTTGAGAACACAGAATTTTACTATCAGAATCGAAGTCAGTACCAAAGTTAGGAAAATTATAAATTAATCCAAAATTGAGTTATCATTGATGTCATTTCGAAAATTTTGAACAATGAAAGCCTTACCTTCATTAGTTGTTGGAATGAAAGCGTATGCATCAGATTGAATGCCAAATAATAAAATTGTTAAAATATGGATAGATGCTAGAATCAGAGAATGTCCCATTTCAGTAAATTGAATAGAATTAAGTACTTAATGAGTGTGTTGAAATTGTTCCCTTAATAATTATATTCCTTTGCTGGTACTGATCGTAAAGTTAGGAATTTGTGAATCCTAAAATTCAGCTTTCTGCTTATATTGGTTAGATGCATTCGCATATCTGAACACCTATGATCTCTGAAGAAATTTCTTCAAAACATTCATGATCCCATGATCATAAACAAATGTAAGTGACTTGATATCAAACGTATTGATTGGTAGTCCATGACACAGCTTGCTTTCTAAGTTACGCATAATATACCTAAGGTCACTGCTATCTGATATAAATTTAAAGTGTTGTATAATTTCGCATCCTCAAAAACTCATACATTAATGCTTCAAGTCTAAATCGCCCACTAACCGCGTAATTTATGGTTTCAAATGAGTTCTGGACTGATCCTTGCTCCATTTTTCATTGAAGTAAGCAAAAAATATAGAAATATCTGTTTGTTGGACAAATTTACATAAATGTTAGAGGAAGTTAGAATATTACTTCAGATTATCACTCTCGACTACTGATTACTTCATTTGAACACATGCCCTCAACTATTGACATCTTTCTCGACCCTTATCATTTTCTTCCATTTCTTTTAAGGAAGTATTTTTATCCAACAAAGGATCCTCGATGTCTACAGAAGAGTATCAGAGGGAACATCCGCCAATCTGAACAACCATGTATCCACGTTCTTGGTAACATTTATAAACGTTCGTTCAAAAAACAACCTAATTGTGGAATTCCTGCAGTGCCGCCGAGCTCTGGAGAATGTTTTGTTACTTACTATGGAAGCAACATTTATGATAACCTTTGACCTCTTCTGAATGTGTCGAGATATATTCGTGGGAGGATATGCAGAATCGGTGGCGCGACACCACAATGTCGAGAGAAATATCGATGACGATGAGGGGGAGGAAGAATATGAGGAAAAGAGGAAGGTATCCGAGACCACACACGTTGCTTCTGCGTAATGGCATAACCGAATTCACAATAAATCATCTCTGTCACATCGATCAATCCTTATACTTTTTTCTTGCAACACTGCAGCTTTAGCTTATGTGTGGTGCATGCATGTACTATGAACGCATATGTAATAAGTCTCGCTCTGACCTTTGCCTTTTTTCCCCGCTTGAAGCTTAGATACTTTTTCATATCAGTAACATTAGATTTCAAAAATCATCACTTTGCTTCATAATAACATATAGGAGTTCCATTTTATCCAGAAGAGAATTCCATTTTATTAGGCAAAAGAGTTAACACTTCATATAAATTGATTTCAAGGTTGGACTTTTCTAATGCTAAAAATCTTGAAGAAAAGACGACTTGCACCTGCTACCATGCTTATCAATCATAGTCAGTGTCAACTAATCTGATCAATTATTCATATCAGTAACCTAATCTCACCTTATACTTTAATACATAACAGTATACGCTCAACGGTAGATACTGAAAAGATTTCCCTTTCTAACTGCGTTCAGTTTTAGACAATTGAATAGAGGAGGTTAATAAATTTTCGAAATAGGTCCCTATCCGATCTGACTGATAGTGGTATATAAGTGGTATAAATAAAGAAGTCTACGAGTATGTTATGATGTATTTGTGATTCATCCGCCTAGATCTTCCCTGATTCCGAGTTCGATTTTGGATTTTTAAAAATTGAAGATTTTTTTCTTCTATGAGGGGTAAAATGTGCTCATAAAAATCTCCATTGCGTCATTGCCAGTCACGCTACCTTGACTTTTCATAACGCCACCATTGGTAACGTTAGTCACGTTATTACGACGCACGGTAACATAACTAGTGAAAACGCTATGTTATCATGTCGTGTAATTGCTTGCTGATTTGTTAGCATAAGATGGGATTTAATGTTTTCATTACTACACGTCAAACACCAGTGTAGTGCGGGGGAGTTGTGCAGGTGTGTGGGGTGTGAGGTGGCTTAGAGATGGGCTGGTTTGGTTTGTTTACTTGAATTGTTCGTTTCGAGGAGCTTTCTCCGTTACTTCGATTACAGGACTAACTTAGAGTCTAAATTTCAGGGATTGGCACTGTTATGGCTGAAACTAGTGATGAACCGCTGCGAGCTACCTATACACCAGCTAGACCGCCCTGGATCGGTTACTGGAACAAACGTTGGAATCAACGTGACCAGTTCGTTCATCACTGATTTTTTCGATTTACTGTTTACGTTTGAATTTTCAGGTCTTGAGACAATATGGCTTTTACAATGAACTAAAGCTTTTTTCTAATTATTGTGTGTTCCTTCTACATTTTCTTTTATTTAGAAGTAAGTCACGTAAAGTATGGTGGACCGAATTAGGCTGGACAGATTCAGCAACGGAAAGTGGCAAAATGTGTTTTGCTGGGCCACAGCTAAGGGAACATGATCCGGAATAGTTCGTTTTAAATTTAAGCTTGAAATTTCTTGTTCAGAAACATGTATTTATGATGCAAATTTAAGCAGAAACATTCTCCCTATTCCTGAAACTGTTATGCAGGAAAACAGTTTTCAGTTATGATCCTAAAGTGCCTGATGGAACTTCTCTTGCGGGTCCGATGGGTCTCGATTCAACAAGATACCCTAATTTAACACGGAAAGGTGATCAGCCAGGGAATTATGAAGAATTTATGAATAAGGTTAGGTTATTAGGCATTATCAAAACTGTTAGCAGGAGATTCAAGATATTTTGAAATGAGCGCTAATTACGAGTATCGGTGAACGTTTCCAGCAATGACATTATAATGTTTGCGCATATCAGTGATTTTACAGATATGGATCAAGTTGTGAAAGGGGTAGCTCCATCTATGAACTTTTGCATCAGTGTATGTGTAACAATCCAGTACTCACTCTGAGTATTTGTAGAACTTATGTCGCAGACCAAATAAGCGTTTTTCGACTCCATTAGTCTTAAATTGCGATGTTATTGGTTTCCATCCTCTTCAATTCCTGTCATTTCAGCTGTACAAGAGTTCCACGCAGTACAAAGATATCGCCGCAAAATATGAGTTAACTGAAGGACCATGGCCTCATCACAAGGGTTTGAAAGTAATGCGCGCCAACAACAACTATCATGAATTTCTGGCAAGTTGTTAAATAACAAATTCTGAATTTTGATCCATTTTCTTCCTATAATGCAAAAATATCAGCGTGTTGTACGTGGATCGGTTGGTAAAAAAGAGCCTATTATTCGATGTACTTTTTTTTAAGATGATCAATTTTTTATGTGGAGGAAATTAATTTTGTATTTAGGCCAGGTATAAAACATCATGGTGGATGCCGAAATTATTTCGATTCTTCAATTCTCCGCTTAACGAGGATCCTATCATAAAGGGATTAGCTTGTGCACAGTATACGGCTTTCCTTTGTAAGCATTGTTTTTGAGCAGTCTCTGATGTCTGCAGATATTTTTGTATAGTTATCTATATCTTATATGAAGTAACATGTAACCGAATGAGTGAATAAACACAATATTTCGCAAGAATATGCTAAAAGTGACTAGCTATGAATCGGATACAGTTTTACCATCATACGATGAAAAGTTTAGAAAATGAAGTTAAATTTCTTTTTTCAGTGATCCCCTACACTGGGTTGCATATTCGAGGTCATAATATACTTCCTGTGCCAGTTACTCCGCTCTCAATACTGAAGACATATTTTAAGCTTCTACCGACTCCAGGTTATTTTTCTTATTTTTTAAGAGCATTTTATCAACAATGTTCAATGCTTTGTTTAATGTGAAGATGATTGAAAGGAAAATTATTGTAATTCAATTTGCGGTTTATATTTTCAGCGTTGTGTTAGTATCGGGAACTGCGCCTATTCAAAAACTTATTTTTTAACTGCTTCCTTAATCTAGCTTATATATTTAGGTCGTTCAACGTTCTACTGTACCCTTCTGTATCATCCTGTTGTAAATTAATCAGGTCATCTTTAATTTTTGTATAAACAATTGCATTTCAGCTACATTGGCTTTCACGTGGGGTATAACACTGAGCGGTGCAGCAATGATAAGACACAAAGACGATTTCATGAACCACCTCTATGCATCTACTGCATCAGGGATCGTTTTTGCAACAATGAGTATGTAATTGAATTTTATGTATCGGTGCTTTTTATTAAAATGAGGGTTTCATGGAGTTTCTCTGGCTTATCAGTATAATTCATCTGCTTTTAGGAGATAATTTCCTTGCTGGCTTTTCATTGGGTTTCATTGTATACATTACTGGGTTATGCTGGCAGTACATGAGAGTGTCAGAATGGAGTTTACAAAACAAGGTTATACATCGCAAATCTGGAAGTTTCTATGGTGGACCACTCGTCTGGAAACTAAAATGGAAAGGTGGAGAAGAGGAAATACCGACCAAGAAATGGTGAACATTTGATATAGAAAAAACTGATCCTAATTGCTTCGGTATTATTCATTAGTGAATTAGTGTAAATTTTTTTTATATTTTATAAATGTTGTAATATATATGCATAGTATGAAGTTTTTTTTGAAAAAATTGTTTTATGCAAGCAAAATGTCTAATATGTTTACTGATTTTTGAGCTGCAAATAATTTTTATTTCTGCAGCCACTAACTTATAAATTTACCATTCAAGATATTGTAATTGTTTACCTGAAGTACAAAAGAATGGCATTTAATGCAGTATAAGGGTATTGTTAATATTAATGGTCACTAGGGTGTATCGAGATGTTCATCGTTTTGCTTCTCGTGCAACAACTTGTCCTGCCTACTAAGTTCCCATGTTTTAAATATATCTAGGCATAATGTGTCAACAACAACTGGATTTGAACTGACATGCATATCCTACTATTATATACTCCTGACACGATGTTGAACTGATAGCTACCGAATAACTACTGCAGCACGCGAGAACATTTGTTCTCATAGATGGTCATATTAAATAAAAAATTGCAGTGTAGTCAACGACAAGGAGAACGTAATGTTTACGTCATAAACTAAAGAGCAAGAGTTGCACACTGCATTTTTTATGTATTTTTTTCCCGTTACAGAAGTTGTAGAAAAAAGAAGAATGACTTCTTCGTAGGAATGTGAGGTATGATGGAGATATTTTAATAAAAGCTACTTGATAAGGAATATAATCAGTGGTTGGGGCAAGAAAACGTTGCCTATAGCGACCACTTTGACGTCCATAAGAAAAAAGAAAAAACCTAGGACGCGACTGTTATCCAGTCCTTAAAGCAGTGCTAACTCGTGTGTATGTTGATGTGTATGTGAGTATCCCTGTCATCATGATTTTGCTTCCACGAAAGGAACAAATTATTTGTTGGAATGGATTAATTTTGGTGTTGCTGTTCTCGAAACTTCGTTACACAGAAGCATTTACTACAGTGGACTGCATGCATCGTTATAATGTCTCAGGTAGCTATAACTATGGTATTGTAAGCTGTTCGCTATAGTATTTAGTCTTTTTAGTCACTTTTTATACTGGAAAAAAGTCTTCCTGCTTCTGAAGTCTCACTAGTTTCATCTTTTATGGGCTCTTTCTGTTAGGTATCTTATCCATGGAAGACTTTCTGGAGAACTTCCTGCTAGTTTTGAATTTAAACTACAATCACCAAGGAAAATAGGATGTGATATTTCTGGGCGTTTGAAGAAAGTATCCTCGAATTTAAAAGATATTTCGAGGAAATGAAATTCATAATATATTTTGGATTAATTTGATTTAAGATTTGTCATCGAATGATCTTTCGGATAAATTGGAAGATTGCATTTATTATTTCTTGGTTGGTCGTGCAAAAGCAAAATATGGAGATATTCGTTTGTTAGTTATGCTCATCTTTCTTAATAACTCATATCTGAGGAGGCAAGAAAAAAGGAATAAACACAAATAACGCAAGAAGAAATTCTAGTTGGATCCGAAATATAAGAGCTGAATAAATGAGTAATCGTGTTTCTTTTGCATAAATCCCAGTCCTGTGATGCAACTTTGACATAAGCATTTGGAACAAGCTTTAACTTCTACTAAGTCATATCTGTTCAAAATTTGTGTGCAGCTCATTTTACAGGCTGTATCTGGAAGAACCCACACCAAAAGATGATATATTTACAATTATAATCAGTCATGTAGCTGTGAGACGTGTCGAGCTGGTTAGTGCAGTTTTGATTTGTTGGTTATCCTGAAAAGCGTTTTTTTTTTTTTCATTTTTTTTTATTTCTACTTTTTTTTATTTCAGACACAAAAATTCTCATCTCAATTTACTATTTACGGTGATTTATATGTGGTTAGTTTTCTCACTTTTACGGTTTAAGAAATTCTATAGTATTTATTTAGCGTTCTTGACCTACGCGCAACCTTTGATGCTCCCACTTTTTAAAATTCCCAGAGTTTACCTATTCTTACTTTTATTTAAAGTTTTTCTGCATAATGTGGATTGTAAATTGATGAATCCACTGAACTTAGTCATGGGAAGATGAGCGTTTGAAATGGGATAAAAAGGAATGGCAACTGGATGAATATACATTACACGATGCTCATCACATATGGAAACCTACAATTAACGATGAATATTATTTGGGGTTATGAATTTAGTTTGTTAATATAAAGTATGGCTTAAATATTGTTTTCAAACATTACCAGAAGTAAGTTTCATTAGATAATGTTTATCATTAGAAGTGAAAGGTTATGAATACGGAATTTTCTTAACTGACAGGTAGAAAGTGAAAATGATAATGGTTGTTAGATGAAAAAATTGACTCTGTTTATTCAACTTCTAGATGTAATATTGGTTGTTCTTTTTTTAATTACTGAGAATCAGCTGAAATAAAATTTTGTTTCAAGACAATGCAACACAGTTCAAGGTTGTTACACAACAGTACAAGAAATTGATATATTCTCAAGTGGAAAAGTCGTGGCACTCTACTCGTTTCATTATCCAGCATTTTGTAATGTTAATTATTACAGGTTCATACTTTCCTCTAGATAGAGTAATTAATTCACTATCTGTCTTGAAATAATTGTTAATGTGTGGGATGACTAACTATTTTCTATGTTATAATGTACATTTCTATATTATAAATAGCATTATTTCAATTGTCCAAACAGATCTGTTGTTAAATTATTACTCATCCAACAGATTAATTAGTTCCCCATTTCATTTTCTTTTTTTTTTTTTTTTTGATATAGAATTGGTTTTAGATATCCGGAGGAAGAAAATGATTGCTGCTTGTTCTTTTCACTTGGTGATCTAAATTCCAATCGAAAAGTGCATTTTGAATTGAAAGCTGAGAGTAAAGCAACCATATCACAAGTCGTCAAAATGGAGAGGATGGCGAATGGACTGATAAATCCCACCGATGAACATTCTGCGTGGATGTTGGAGGTTGTATTTTATTCTTTTATATAGCTCTTTTTGTAATATTCAAGTTCGGATTTTAATAAAGGATGATAGAAATTTTAAAATTAATTAGACAGTTTTAAGCACAAATACTTTTAATATCTTGAATATCTTCAATTGAAACAGCTGAAAAAAATTAAAATTTAATATCTTCAATTTTAATTTTTTTCAGCTGTTTCAATTGAAGATATTCATTCTTCATACTTCATACTAATCAGTTAATATTCATTCTTCGTACTTCATACTAATTTTAGCATCGCACTGTAGCGATAACTAAAATGAGTGGTTCGAATTTCGAACTTCTTCACGTTTGTATCCATGCTCGAAAGCAAATGTCAACCTTACGCATTGCTTTGCGTCTTCCAGTCTCCATTACAACGATGCTTATGCTTGCTTCACCCCTTTTCGGACATCTAACCACTCAGATTTACGTTAAGCTCTTCGCTTTCTCGCTGCAAACTGTGTCTTTTATTTTCCTTTGTTCCATCTCACCGGAAAATGGTTTTGGAAAAACAAAACCGAAAATTTGCAAGTTTTTAGTTTTAATGTCAAGTTAATAATAAGTGATATTGACTGTTTGTATTAGATGAAACAAAAGTTGTATCGTGATTCAATCATGAAATTTAAACCGAGCTAATTATTAACTGGCAAACATCATTGCTGAATTCAGTTAATAAGTGTCGTTCTTTCCAGTGTGATAAAATGATTAATTTGAATGAAATTTCATAAAAAACCTAATTTAAAAAAAAAATGAATAAAACATTTTAAAAGTGATATCCTAAGTTTTAACCAGTGGCGAGATAACTAGTTACTATTGTTCATTCCAGACACGTTCTTTGAAACGGTTGTTGTTTTAACAGTGATCAGCATAATGGTTAATATGATTGCAATAGCACTGAGTAGAGTTAGGCGTACTATACCTCCACGACATAATTTTTATCTGGCATCTAAAGTGATCAATCATCTCATTTGCTGTATCGGTTAGTTTTCTATCTCGTGATTAAAAAGTGAAAAATAGGACTAATTTTTAAAGGAAGAAATTTTGATAGGCATGAATTTTTATATGAAACACGTTTTCTTTAAATATGCTGTTTCTGTCACAATTTAGCTACCAAGTGTTTGTGTTGTGAAAATTTTCGAGTTAATTAGATTTAAAATAGATTAGAGTCAAAATTTTGGAGGAGTCACAATATAATTAGAAAAGATTTAAATCTATAGTTTTAACTAAGATAATATATTTTTAGAACCGGATCCAACTGCTAGCTACTTCCGACATTTGGACGACTATACCCAAACAAATTTTGAAAATTCTCAGCCAGATTATACAACAGAATGGCGACATATTTATATTGCTTCTAATAATCTTTTTTCAGCATTCGCTTTGATTGCTTTCATTATTGTTGCTGTTTTCGAAATTTTATAATCCCTATTTCCTTATAAAAAAATTAGAAAAAAAAACTTCCTTTATCGCGTCCATTGGATTTATGAGTTAGAAATTTAAGAATACATGAATTGAAATAAAGCAATAAAAGAGATGTAGTGTACATATTGTTGGTATTTATTTATTTGAAATGTGTTTATGTCTTAAAGATAATGTAAACTATATATTTCTCGATACCTATTTATAGTGTTGATTGTTCTGTATTATTTAACTGATAGACATTATCAATTTGTGGTTTTTATACTTTTCAATAGTTGTCCTTCATAAAAGCTGTATTTCTATTCATGTCTACTAAAACAGTTATTATTCATTTACCCATAAATTATTAGTAATATTTATAGTTGTTTACTTATTCTGTTTATGGACCAAAAGTCTTATGTTTTATGTGTAGGACTCATAAACTTTCGATAATTTAAAGTTAATTGAAAAAGCTTAAAGGGTATAACAAACAGTGAAAGGTATTCTGTTGAACATTTCCGATGAGGGAATTTGGTTCGAGTCAATTAATATTTATAAGATTCTTCCATTGTACAGTTCAGTGCACCGCTTTTAATTTGTCAAGCAGTTCAAGTTTTGAAACTTCTAAAGTCTACGAAGACAGGGTTGAAAGAATGTTTGAATTATTACGAAGAAGTATGAAATGTCATGAAGTGTATGAAAAACAGAGTAAATTCAGTGAAGAAGAAGAGTATATGCATAGCGATCAAGAAAAAAGTGGTGATAACAAGTAATAATAATAATTAATGATATTAATAGTAATAATAATAATATTAATAAAATTTTAATAATAATAATAATAATGATAATAATAAATAGTAATAAAAGAATAACAACAGCAATAAAAGCTACACTATTATTATTTTGCTAAAAAACATTTATATAGTTAATATTTTTTAACATTTATTATTTAATGAAAGCTTATTAGTTATAAATAAGAGCCAAGAACAAATAATGTTTTAATTATATTTGATAAAATTAAACTAAACAAAAAATTGTTGTGACAAAGTAAATTTTAATTGTGATAATTACTTCTAAAAAATTATTTCATAAATTGTCGAATATGGCTTATAAAAATACATTTTCCTCTTATTTTTATCGCATATTTGATATATTTATTAACTTTGTATTGCTTTATATTTTGACATACGTAAGTCTGATTCAATACACATGTAAAATTTTTTCTTTCCTTACTTTATGCTAATATTTGGTTTATCAATTTCAATAATTTTGATATAATTAATAGTTTGAATGACATGCTAGTGCTATTATTGAAGGACGTCATAAAAAGACAAAAACAATAACCGTTCGTCTTCTTGGTTAAAGAAGATAACAGTAATTAGATGAAAATGAGGAAAACGAACCGGATAACTTTATCAGTGTAGTTCTGTCATTTACCGGTGATGCTGATAAAACGGTGTAGATGAAATCGTAAACCCGGTCGAGGAAGTTTGCATTTAATTCTCTAAGCTGCCAATAATTTGGGTGTCAAGTTTTCTTCACCGAACTGGTTTTAACATTTTCCTGAAATATTTAGTAGCGGTATGTTCCGGAGGAATTTTAGAGATAAATAGATCAATAAATAAAAAAGAGAAATTCAAAAAGGTGCAAGTATCATTAATAACCCATTATTAATGAGTTGTTTATCCTTTTTATTTTTTTGCTTCCATTTTTTACGGTTAAACTATTTGTAATATGGAGGATTTAAATTTCAATTTAAACTTGAGATATTGTTCTATTACAAAAACAGCTTTTTCGATCGGAAGTTTTATTTGCTATTATCATTCCTAGTAGCGAGTGGTTGTACGCAAGATCGTCTTTTTTTAGGTATCTTAATTATAAACCATTTCCGAAGTAAATTGTGAAAGGGACGATTTGTCTTAAAGTCTCTTTTGCGCATACATTCAATCAAGCAAAATTTTTAGAAAATCAATTTTATATCATTATATCAATGCATCAATCGTTTATTATGTCGAGAAAATCATTTATAATAAACATTCTGTAACCTAGGAAATCTCGTTGAGTAAAGAGTCATCTTTTTGCTAATGACTTATATCATTCGAATAGCGAATCTAGATTTAAATTTCAATTACTGCACTTATTCTTCGCTCAAACACTTACTTATCATCAACGTTCAATAATGTTATATTATTATATTAGAACTTAAAGATAATATATAGTGAAAAGCAAAAAAGAAATACTTTAATTGTTATTGTTAGAGAGTTCTTAACCGTTACTGAAATCTTGAATATTGCTATTTTCAAGTCCCTTTGAAGGTCTACTGAAATAATATCTAAAAACTAATTATTTGGCTTCAGTTCTAGCCAAATAATTAATTTCAAAATTTTTGGAAAGCAGTGATGTTTATCCGGTTGTCCTATATTTAAAATTTGTCAAGTCTTTTAGTGACATCACAATTAAACTAAACGAGATGGATATAGAAGGACTGAATATGCTTGTTTGGGCACCTGATGATAAAGACGGATTCGTTTTATGCAAAATTGTTGACATCGGTTGCGAATGGGTAACATTACAACGACTGCATGAAACGAAAACTGAAACGGTGCGGACATTACTTAGAGCTGGAAAAAGCTATAACTTGAATAATTGCATCATTTCTAGAGATAATCAAGATCAATTTAAATTAAATTATTTACTTTAGTTCCAAGCTTTTTACGATAATATTTTCCCTGCCGGAGAAGATATCAGTCGAGATGTCGATGATAACTGTAAACATTTTATCATTAAAATCAAAAATTTTTCTTCTAAATTAGAACAATGTCTAACATAAATAGCGTTTATTTCCTACAAAATTTTCTAATACAGAATATACGTTCTGTGAGGTAGCTGAGCCAAAATAAAGTCGAGAATGGAAATTTGAATCTGTAAAAAAATGAGGAAATAAAAACTGCACGCTAGTCATTTTCAGGTTCATTGATTTACCTAAACGATGGTTCCCTTTTGAATAACTGTCGTTTGCGCTATAATCGCAAACAATTTTACGTAAATTTTATTTGTCGCTAAATTCCGTTCTTAATCTTCGAAATCCTTTGAAATTTCAAAATATTGCTTTCTGTTTACTAAGAAGCTGAATAATAAAATAAAAAATTTAAGGCTTTTCTCTTAGGTTAGTTATCTAGGGATATCGTCCAGAATGGGTAGGCAGTAATGTTGACAAATATAAGGCAAATATAAAAATTCTACCACTAAAGATATGGTTTAATTATTAGTGTGAAGTAAAGTGTTATTTCATTCATCAATTTTCTTCAGTTTTTTTTAAATAGTAACAATGAGTTTTATAGACTTACGTGGCTAATATACTGATTGCGATCAATCCGTACGAGCAAATTTCTTCTTTATACGATATCGAAATGGTGCACAAATACAAAGGGAAGTCGTTAGGAACTTTACCTCCACATATATATGCCATTGGTAATTGTTGAATGATATGCAAATCAAAGCCAGGGATTTAGTAATAGAGAACTAATAGAATTTTAGATGAATGATCGAGATTGAGAAAGACCTGAAAGAGAATGTTTCTGAATGTAACCACATGTAATGTAATTATTTTAAGCTGATAAAGCTTATCGTGACATGATTAGTAATCATGAATCACAATCGGTCATAATATCGGGAGAATCCGGAGCAGGTAAAACTGAATCTCAAAAGTATATAATCCGATTTTTATGCGAATCTTGGGGCCATTTTGTGGGAACAATTGAGCAACGCATTTTAGAAAGTAAGCATTTAAACTAAGATTTTAATCAGTTAATTGCATGAATACAGGGATTTTTGCTCAAAAACCAAAAAAAGGATATTAGTTGATGGCTTTACGCAATATACCAAAGTGATCAGCAAATATTTAGTGATATATACTTTGATAACAGAGTTAAACAGTAACTTACAAGACCCGTCAATTTAATTATCACTTAACGAAACATTTGTGATCATTTAATTATTTACTCGACAAAAAAAAAGCTACTGGGATTTTTTTCATAATCAGAAAATTTTCATTATTTAAATTTTATTTTTTTGTTATAAAACTTTAAAAGAAGAAGAAAATAAACACTTCTAGTAAACTCAATGCTCAAAATTATTTGGTTTGCAATGAATCAAAACAAAATTCAGTTACAATACTACATTTATTTCAATTATTAGATTTTAGATTCTTCAAATAATATTGAATATTCTTGTAATTAATTATTTAAAATTTAGTAAGTACAATTTTGGAATCATTTGGAAATGCAAAAACATCATGCAACAATAACAGCAGTAGATTTGGCAAATTTGTTGAAATACATTTCAATAAAAAGGTTACACAACAGTTTTCGTGTTGCAGAAATTCATATATAACTGGGAGAATTCATTTATTTACTATTAGTGAATAAGTGCATAATGGATTTATTTACTGAATTTTTTGAAGAGCGGAGCTGAAAACAAAGTACTATAATGTTTCGGAAACTATGAAAACTTTTGTATAAAATAGTTTTAAAACAGGAAGTTCTGAATTCAGCAGATTCTGGATGACATGTCTGGATCAAGGAGCGCTAAGCATTTCAGAAATACTTCATTCAGTATTTTAGAACATTCAATTTGGTCACAGTTTTGGCATTACATAGTAAATAATGAGGCAATCTTGAATAAACTTTCTTCGTATTTATTTGAATTCAGTCCTATAATTCGTATTTCGCTGAATTAGTGAGGAAAAAACTTGTGTGCTTTTCATATAACATTTAGAATATGTATTTTTGATAAATTATACTTTAACTAAACTCTTTTTAGGGCATTATTGTGGGTGGCTTTGTTTCACATTACTTATTAGAACGTTCACGCCTTTGTGGACAAAATGCATGCGAAAGGAATTATCATATATTTTATCAATTGATTGCTGGTGCTGATGATCGAATGGCAAATAAACTGAAATTAAATAAATTGGAAAATTTCAATGTTAGTTCATTCCACTCACTTTCATTTAAAATTGAACTTTTTGAACTTTCAATCTATCTGTATATTTTAACAAAGTCTATTGTTTTAGTATCTTAATAAAGGATGTATACAATTCTTTTTGAACAAAGAAAATTCGAGTAAAATAGTACCAGGAAGAAAAAATTATGATTTGGTGAGGATGACAATTTATTTTATTGTGCTTATTTCTCACTTCATCATTTAAATCATTAACAATTTATGTGACTGTTCAATTCATAATTAAAAATTCTAAAACTGATTTTAGATCATTTCTGAAAGAGTTTTTTTTTTTGTTTGTCCAATAACAAGAATAGATTTCCCAATTTTAAAAATGACAATTGAGGATGACATGCGAGATGATTTGATTGACGATTACAACGATTTCCAAAGACTGCTGGGTGCATTCAGTCACATAAATGTCTCAGAAGACATTCGAGACGAAGTGTTCGAAATAGTTGCCGCAGTTTTACATCTCGGAAATATTGAATTTTTAGATGAAACAATTGATTACAAAAGTGATTTTTAACAATTTCAAGATTTATAAGACAATATCAGTTAGTACTGGATTTCAATTGAGCAGCTAATTATCCATTAACAAAGTTTCAGTTATACATTAATACTAAAATGAATTTGAAAATTTCAAACTGTAGATGAAGACGTAAACATTTTAAAACAAAAAAAGACAGACGACACTTCGTTGTTAGAATGTTCATGAAAATATATTTATATGAGTGAAAATTAGTAAAACATCATAGATGAAATAAAAATCCTAGTCTTATAGGTGGTCAAAAAACGCTTTCACTTTATAATTAATTACAATTATAATTATACTTATTAAAAAATCCGAAGGATAATTTTAACCTCGAAGATAATGAAAAATTAAAAATAAGCCAGTGAATAGAATCATAAAAATTGGTATGAAGAAATGTCAGCAGATGATTTAAATTGCAGGTGGTTGTAAACTTACAAAAGGAAGCGAGATATATTTGGTTAATACAGCTGAATTACTTGGTATTGAAGTGATCGATCTGAGAAAGCATCTTGTAACTCGATTGATGCAACCCACTAGAAGTGGAACTAAAGGGACACTTTATGCGTTAGTTATTCGGAATTGATCTTTCCAACTTAAAACTTTTCTTTGATTCTATAAAAACCTACTGGCAATAAAACATTCACTACCTCTAAAAATTTAATTCCCACTTTTTTCTATCTGTCCCAACTTCAAGTATTCTCTCAAATCACCAGTACTTCTGCCTAACCTGAAGGACTGCAAAACATTGAAGATCAAGAAATATCCATCTGTTAAGGACCTTGTTCATGAGATTTTTAGTCGCTCCCCTTCCAACTTAATTTCTAACTTCACTGCAACATCCCTTGTGGTAGACTTCACTGCAACATCCCTTGTGGTAGATGTGGTCATGGTTTTAAGTTTAATTTCATTGGAGATCCACTCTTTTGCTTATATTTTCTTCTCTTTGATTTTACAGTTTCAACTATTCAAGCATGGCAAGAACATTCTAAACTGTTCTATTAGCAGACTTGATAAAAGCATTTTACACACCGGATGCCAGATATGATAAGAGCATTGCATATTCTTAGTTCTTCTGCTCTTTATTGTAAGTACAACCTCACTTGTCTGATTAGGAAATTCAGATGGAAATTTACAGATATAAGAACTACAATTACTGCATTCTGTATTGTAGAGTACCATTGCGCGCTAGCGAAGCAAGTGCCGCCCGTGATGCTCTCGCCAAAGCCATCTACAGCAATTTATTTACTGCAATCGTTAACAAAATCGCGGAATGCATGCCATTCCATGAAAGTGCCTTTTCAATCGGCGTATTAGATACAGCTGGTTTCGGTACTTTTTTGTCCATGTCGTGATTATTCATTTCTGGATTGCTATCACTCCATAATCCTCTGTAAATATTTCAAATTCATATGAAACCTCTATTATGAAAACCTCTTATTCCTTACAAAAATTACTATCTTAAAGTAAAAGTTAACTTTTCTACTTATTTCAGAATCATTGGATGTAAATTCTTACGAGCAATTTTGCATAAACTATTGTAATGAAAAGTTGCAAAATTTTTTCAATGAGCGAATTTTGATGGATGAGCAAAATTTATACTGCAAAGAGCAATTGCACTGTGATACTATTGAATTCAATGATAACAAAGATTGCATTGGTTTAGTTATTTTGAATAACATTTCATATATTGGTGTTATGAGCTAGAGTGAATTAAATTAGCAGAAATTAATATTGCCACAGAAACATATTCCTTTTTTAAACTTTAACTTTTTAAAATTTGAAAGACATGAAAGGTAGATGGAGTCACTGCGTACTTTTTTGTGTTGCAGAATTATTTGAACAAAAGGTATACGGCATCTTTGAATTATTAGACAATGAATCACGTTTGCCACGTTCCTCAACGCAACATTTCACGAGAGCAGTGCATGAAGCCCATATTTGTCATCCTTGTCTAATGGTTCGTCTTCATTCTTGAAAACGTGTTTTCTATTTTTTGCTATGCGTCATAAATCAGAAATTCAGCAACAACCAATTAAAGATTCAATAAAAGTCAAAAAAGCTATTAGTGATTGATACTTTAAAGCAAAGAAAGAAAATGGTTGGCTCTGCAAAAGGACCCCCTGACAACGATTGTTCGTCCTTTATTGCAATGCTCGGAGCAAAAACCGTAGATTACACCTTAAAGAGAACTACTGGTCATGTCGATCAGTAACTGATCTACTGATTAGATTTTACGGTTCAACACAAGTCTATATTACTTGAATATCTTAAAATTTTTCCATAACATTTCCACCCTAGGTTATTTATTTGATACTGCAATGAGGTATTTGAGGATGAAAGTTTATACTTCAATTTATTATACAAGATTAAAATGTATCACATAACAAATAATGAATAATTAAAAACCTACGGAGCTCAATTAAGAATAATTAAACAGAATAGTGATAATTTCAAAAGAAATTGTGCATTTGCAAAGAGTAAGTATGCCATCTAAAATGAAATATGGGCTTTATACAAGGTGTAAGATCCGCTATACAGGTACCGCAGTCATCACGTCGTCATCGGACGATGCGTGACGATGAAGGTTTTATCATTTGCCATTATGCGGCTGATGTTTGTTACGATACCGCTCAGTTCCTTAATAAGAATAATGATACTTTACATGCATCACTGCAGTGTCTCATGCAGCAGAGCAGGTCTGTTACTCAGAAATATTTTCCGGAATTATAGACTTTAAGCCTTTCAAATATCTTCTTGGATTATATTCTTCAAAAATTATAGTCGTTCCCAAAATATTCCGTTTAAGGAAAAGCTTAGTGTATGAACTGTTTGCTGATAACAAATTTTCAAACACTGACAGAAGAGATGTATCGCAGAGCAAATTGGTGAATGCTTCGGTTGGAAACAAATTTCGCTCACAACTTGATATTTTGCTATCGAAACTACGTGAAACGGTAAATTTCAACTAGCTGAATGAGCTGATAATTTTTTACATAATTTTTTAAAATAAAATGAAAACGGTCATTGTTGCGTCACTTTTACTTCTGGTATTATTCTCGAGATATCTTATTTAGTATTCACTGAAAACTCCGCCTTTGTTCATTTAAAAGAATTTTGTTTGCTTAAGGGAACCCATTTTGTACGATGCATCAAGCCGAATTCAGAAATGAAATCTAATCAATTTGATGGTGCACAAATTTTATTACAACTGAAGTGCTCTGGAATGTCTAGCGCGCTAAAAGTTATGCAGCGAGGATTTCCATCAAGGTAAGTTCTTAATGTCTAAATTTTTGTCCACCAAATTTAAGCAATGATACGTCATTTATTTTCCATTACAGGATAAATAACGCCAAACTTCAGAATACTGCTAGAATTCTTATGTTTATTGAACTATGATTTATGCAAATCTCTATCATCTAAAGTGTAGTTCAAAATAATAATCCTTACCTGATTAGATGTCAAAGGTCACTGTTGTCAACTTCTCTAAATAATCACAAAAAAGTAAAATTTCTATGCACTGCAGAATATCTTACCTCTCACTATATAATATATATCAAAAACATTTACCAAGCAGACTTATGACGCTCGATGCTCAATTACTTTGCAAGGTAATTTTGCAACTCAATTTAAAAATGAAAACTCCCTGAGTTTTACGCAATTTTTTTTTGAGTTCATTCCTAAGTAACTTTTGAAAGGAATTTCATTTCAGTGCCTATTTCGAGTAGTTGGCTTGGAAGAGAAAGATTACAAATTTGGTCTCACCAAAGCATTTTTCCGACACGGAAAATTTGTTGAGTTTGACAAGGTTTTATTGAAAAATAAACTTCGGAGCTAGCTAGGAAAGAAAATCTTTAGTTCTTTATATTCCAAAGACTAAATCACAAAATTTTTCATTCAAGATTTGAATTTTCAATGTTACCTTATTTCAGATACTACATCTAAGTAAAGAAAGTATTGAAAACTTGATTGAACGTATGTCGTCTTGGTTGTATCGCTTTCGATTCCGAAGAACACAGTTTGCAGTTATATGCTTAGTCAAAGGTGATATTGGGAAGAAATTTCTAATTTTCACATACTATTACTTTTATTAAGCCCTAATTATCTGTTTCAAAGGAAGTTGATTATTTCAGTAGAAAGATTGTTGACATACAGGGCAAAGTGCCGCATCAAAATTCAGAGCGCTGTTCGTACTTATATATTGCAAAAGTTATATCGGCCAAGGTAATGTTGCTTGACTCATCTAAAATGAGTTTAGAAATATTTTTGAACTCTTCAATCCCCTATATACTTCTCTTCCTGCAAATAACTTTAAAAAAAGAAGCATCTTTCTCGAAATTCATAGTTTTTAATTTTAAATGGTGTTATATCTTCGCATTAGAAATATTTTGTACTTCAGGATAAATGCTTTATCAACCTTATCGGCGTTGTTAGAAAGCATAAATGGTGTGTATCCTTTAATTAATAAACTGAGCGAAACGGATTTATGCAAATGGACAACTTTTATTGTCGCTTTGAAGGAGGATATTAAAAGACTCAAACATGAAATGAAGGCAAAATTATTTGAGCTAAAGTTGAATCTGATTTTTCTTCATCATGAGCGTGTATTACTATCATTTTTAGTTCGATTTGTTCAGAAAAGAAAAGAAGTGCTGTGCATTATATTAAAAGAAATAAAAATGGCAATTTACCTGAATGAGAGCAATAACTTGACAAAATATAGACATGGTTTTTTCAAAGCTTTAAAGCTGAAAATAAAATTTCAGCATATCACATCTTCAACTGATAAAGAAATACTCCGTCAATGTGATGCATTGGTGAACGATGCGAAAGAAAAGTTAAAATGTTTGAGGTCAAGTTCACTTGTATGTGTTGTTTCTGCAAGGACACTCAATTCTAAGTCCTAGAGATTATTCAAATTTTGGCTTATCATTGTGATAAAACTTTCTGATATCTTGCTGTTTAACATAAATAAAGTAGGACTAATTTATAGACAACAAGTTGCTACTGGTGGGCTATTGGAATTGCAGGTGGAGTGTGAAAATTTTGAAGTGGAACAACAAAGTCAACTTAAAAATGAGTTCAAGTGACTGTTTCTATAATGAAAAATTAGTCGCTTAAATGATTCGTTTTTAAATAAACTTCTATAAGAAGCATGACGTAAAACGTGATAATGAGAATTGATACAGTTTTAATCTTAGAATGCACGTGCTAATAAATTCTAACCTTACAGCCGGCAAATTAAAGAGGAGGCACAAGGAACTCAACAGATGACAAAGAGTTTAGATAAATCATTGGAACGTAAAGTTATTATGACTACCAAGGAAAAGGGTCAACTGCTGTAAGCTTATTCCCTTATTTATAGAAATATCTCAATAGAAACTTCTTAATCAAGTAAATTAAAATAATGAATTCTTTTTCCACCTTAAAAAATATCTAATATTCAGAGAAAATAGCCATATTATTCAATTATGTGATTTGTCCAAATGGTATTATATTGATATCAGAAATGGTATCAATTCCAGTGGTATGTTTTTATTGTAATCTACAAAAAATAAAAAAATAAAAGTAACTTCGAGAACTTAGTTAGATGAGAAAAAAATAAGAGAAAAAGAAAACAAATTTACTGAAAAGTAGTCAAATAGTATTTAATCATGATTTTCGCATTTCTCAAAATGATTCACAAGAACGGCAATGTTCGGTACTAATCTTTAAATCATAACTTGATTTGTAATTGTTGGTTTTGTAAGAATACAAAAGAGATTGCATTATTTGAATAAATTAAATTAACTGAATATAACAAATAAATAAATCAGTAATTTCTTTAAACAAATAAAAGGAAGAATTCATGTAGTACTTGTGATCCGTTAAGATCCGAAACTGTCATCAGCATGCAGAAATGAATATTACCGTCGTACGAGAGCTTATAGTGAATGGAAAGAGAGAAATTTGGCCTTCAAAGAGTTAACCTACATGACAGAAAAAAGTGGAAACAAAGGTTTGAAGCAATGAATCAAATTAATTATTCATTCTGTATTGTTCCAATGTTTGATGCTTTCAACCTGTGTTTATTATTTTAGAAATGCGAATGCTTCAAATCAGAATAAATTTAAAAAATATAACAGTAGGCGGAACTTCTACATACTTTTGTTAATTTAAATTATTGTAACTTTATTGTACCATAATGTTCCACAGCTCTCTTCAAAGCACTATTTATGGTTTAGAAGATGAAGATCATGAGATCGCATCAGATCGATATTTTCGAATTGTTGCTTCTCGCCTTACAAATCGAGAAAAGAATTTATTTGGTAAGGCTCACTGATTCATATTTTCACGTCACTGATTAATTCTTTATAATCCCTTTAGAAAGAATGTTTGACAAACCAGATATGTTTTGTTTTTTTTCAAAATAAAACAGCAATTTTTGCAAATTTTACTCATCATTCTTTAACCATTCCAGAAGTTTGTGATGTATCTAATATAATGATTTAGTAATCCGGTAAACTTTCTGAACTTCAATTAATAATACCGTCTGTTTTGGCATTTTAATATAAGGATATGTTCGCATAGCTCTGAATGATGTTATCAGACGAAAATTTTAGATTGCTTTAGGGATTATGGGGAAAAGTCATTTTACAGTTTGGTATGGTCATTTCAAGAATGAGTTCATTTACCGTCAAATAGAAATTTCGCCCAAAAAGTCTCCAATTTTAAATGTGGCCGGTAATTAGTTTTCTATTCTTCGAAGTTAAGTTTATTTTTAGAACACATTAATTTAATAACTGATTTCTCCCCTTCTTGATTCATCTAAAATATTTGCAAATCTTTTGCAGTCTTTTCAAACTATTCACTATTAGAATTATAAAAGCCTTAAATTTTCAAGTAATTATTTTAGGACAAAATAATAAAAATATGTGCAAATTATCGTTGAAAAAGACGACTTTAAGTAAACGTAAAGGTGTCGAAATCAGCGCTGCACGTTTCGATCGAATATGGATGGGAAACGGCGGCGATCCACATTTATGTTCCTCTGAAATTATATGATCACAAAATGTTCAGCGACTTTCAATTATGTAAATACCAAAACCAGCATCTTACCTTTCTCACTATGAAATCAAATTTATGACCTGTCCCTCCTGCAGGTTTTCTTTAGACATCAATATTCGCTATTAGAGCAATTTCCTAAAATATACTAACTACTGATTTAACATACATCCATGAGGTTATAACAGACAGATGAACGTTTGGCATCACGTCTTTCACGTCATTACTTATTCTTTCTTGCGTAATAAATGCATGAACCGTAATATATTTTCACTGACTGTGCCATAATAAAAATAGTTGTGCTGCAGAATGCGTTCTTATCCCTTCTTTCATTTGTTCTACTTTGTGCACACATAGCATCCAAAATTTGCATAAATGGATGGTTTGTTATCACATCTTTGTTTGTCTTTGGTTAGCCTTTTATAGTCGTTTGATAGAACGGAATGCATTTCTATTAATTTATTCAAATTTTTAGTGTAGAATGATTTTAGTAATATCCTTTGTTTTCAGAATGTTTTTAAATTGTACGGAATTCATGATTCTTAACACTTTGAAAATCTTCAAATAAGGTTGTGGAAATCACAGGTTACGTCTCTTTTCATTACGAAAAGTAACTTGAGCAAAGACTAGGCCTATTATAACTTTGTGTCTTGTTTTTTATCTGCTGTCTAATGCTAACGGACAAGTGTTGTACAACTCTCAATATCTTGGTGCTTATAAGCTTCAGATGGCAGAATAACATGCAAGAAGACCCAGAATAGAAAAGCGATTAAAAAAAACAAATTGAAATCTTGAAGTTTGGAACTACTATTTCTCCTAATTTAGCTAAATCCATCTTGATCTACAAAACGCTTGCTCTAATGTCTCATGACAGTGATAGATGAGCAGATCAGCATAATTTCCAAAAGCAAAAAAAAAAGAAGGGTTAATTGCTGACTATATATTGGCTGGGAAGATTTTTGTTAAGGTTGTGATATAAATAGTGTTGAATTCAATTTTTGATTCAAATAGCTGGGATCAGTTTTTCTTTAAGAATCAATTATCTGCTTCTTAGGGATATGAATTGTTAGTTTTTGGCTGCTTTTATAAAAAAAAAAGTGCTAACGTCCAAGACTTCGTTTGCTTCGGTTTCGATTTATGGAAATCATATTCGGTATAATTTTAATTTTATTCAATCGCCAATGTGAATTGCAATGATGTGATAAAAATTAATGTATGGTGAAATTAGATCTCATTTCAAATTTCAATAGACTGCAACAGGATAATCTTATCAATAGTTTGCTTAGAAAAATAGCAATGACATGAATTCGCGATGCTTCTCACTGAATATCACTATAATCGACACTACTTCTTACTGAATATCACTATAATTTACAGGAAATAAAATGTCAAGAAAATCGAAACTGGATAGTGACAAGGTATCTGACATCTTTCAACCAGGTATTCTTTCTATAGTGTTATAGCTATAAGTAACAAATGGAAAATGAGTTTAGACCTATTTTAATATCTCATATTATTAATATTTCTAGCACATTTGTACTCTATTGCTCATTTTATTTCCTGTAAAACTAATTTTATTGAAGAAAAATTTGCACATTTAACATTAAATAAATATATATATTACAAAAAAGACATAGTAAAAAATATATATATTATGCCAGGTCTTAATTCCAAAGAAAAGTCTATTATTCACGCGATTGACAATTGCAGTTGCTGTCGCATACATTTCCTCTTTTTGCATGTTATCTTTCGATTATAAGTATGATAGCCTAGAAAACCTTCCGAAGATTTGAAACATCGGCTAGTCATTTGGAAGATTTATTCTTTTGTGAGCTAATTCAATTATAATAAACAGAGATAAGCATTCCGAAGAAAAGGGACAGTAGAGATTAGGATAGAGAGGAAGAAGATAAAGAAAGTTCTCAAGTTTGTATTATTTCTCCATGTATTCATAATAGTTATATTCAGGCTTCAACAAAACTTTTATATTTTTAGACGAAAAAGCTTCGAAATCAATGACTGAGACGAATATTACCTGCAAAAAGGAAATACCAAAATATGTCAGACGACAAGCTGAGGCAACGGAGACAAATGAGCCACAAAAAACAGACCCATTAGAAATAACTAATAGGAAGGAAAGGGTTGCTATGAGTGCCGTCTATCAGTCAGAAATCAGAGGGAATGCTTTTAAATCATTGGAAATTACTGAACAAAAGGTCAGTGCGAAGGATGTTACTGTGACTGATATCAGGAAACTGACGATAGATGAAAAAGTTATTCCGAAAGAATCTTTGGGACGTTCTGAACAAAAGGTAACGTTAGACAATAACGTTGTGGGTGACATCAGTGAAGCATCAGGCAAGGAAAAATGCATTCAAAAAGAGAAACTACTGATAACTGCTGATCAGGATGTAATTTCTTCAGACGGATGTGGATCTTTTAGCAACAAAAAATTGGACACAGCTGAAACTACTTCTTGCATAAATTCAAAAGCAAATGTAACAGGGGTACTCCTTGACCCATCAAATTGTGGAAGCGGTAGGTTTAACTTTGACGTTGAATTCCTGAGAAAATTTCCTAGAAAGTAAAGTAACTCGTGATGGAAAAGTGGTAATGAAATGTAGCTTCATATAGTTAAAATACCGCATATCAGTTCATATGAAAATATGATGTTCAGGTTGAATTTATGATCCTTGGCTTTATTAAAACTCCTTCCAGATTTACATCGTTAGTTAACATGACCATACTTACAGTGACCGATGACCCTTCATGCCTGAAAGACCCGAAAAATATCTCACTTGATTTTTTTGGCTGAAATTTTTATTGGGATAGACGGAAAGTTTTTAATTAATTTTGCCTTTTAATTTCCATCATTAGCCTAGACTTCTGAGCTGTGCAAATTCATTCCTTATTTGATGCATATTGTCATAAAGCGGAGGAAAAGAAGAGGTCAATCGATCCCATTGCATGAGGTCAACTAATATCACACTGACCTTCTGAATCTTAGTGGCCCATTTTGTGTTGTTCTTCTGCTGTTTTTCACTCTTTCTCTTCTTTCACTTTATTAATTATTACCTAAATTAATTCTTTTTTCGGCAAAATTGTTGAATTTACTTTGGTCATTTAGTATTATGATATCAGGAAGCTATAATCCATTTTAATGAGGATAATTTCAGCCAAGAAACCCGGAAGCAGTGAAGTTTTGGTAGAAGTATCAATCGTATTAATAAGTGGTGAACTAAAAGTTCGAATCAGACCGAAGCAAATTGCAGAACGAATTCTAAAAATGAATTCAGAAAGCGAAACTGATAGCAGTGTTAGTGAGATCGATTTCGTGGTTTTGAATAAAGAAGATCAAGAAAAGCGGAAGATTGAGAGCAGTGAAGGAAATAAAGAGAGATGGGAAGTAACGTTGAATCCAGAACAATCACAAGGAGGAAAAGTCCTTATGGAACCGAAGATTAAGGGAAGAAATGAGCAGCTATTGAGGGATGCGTATCAATCTTCAGATGATGTAATTACAGCTATCCAAACGATGAACAAACCGGGAAGAACAGTTTCTTCCAGTATTAGCAATTTGGAAGTAATTAGTGTTATTACGGAAATTATAGATTTCACATATAGGTAAGTCTTCTCACCAAAGTTTTCTTCCTCCGCAAGTTATCACTCTGTTTTTTTAGAAGTTTGAATTTTAAATGCTTATTTTTCTTAGATGCTTGAACTTTATACTAAATTACCACCTAACTTTCTCCATTAAATATTTATCCTAAAATATCTTGTTAGAACTTATTTCTTTAAAGATAAACTGTTGAATGTTTATATTTTTATTTTTTCAGGAAGGAACACAGGACCATGTTCAAAAGCATTAAGGATTTGAGGCACTATATTGGAATTAAATTTCTTAGCAATCGTTATTATTTCTCGCTTAAGAATGTTTTTGATATCGGATTGAATATTAACAATTCGGCAGAAGCGGAGTTTGAACTTGTAAAAGCAAGCGCTATATCTTTACATACTATGAAACCGTTATCTTTTTATCAGTTCGTCAATTCGTGCTTGAAATTAAGGAAACTATCATTTTGAACAACGTCATTTATGAGAAACTAATTTTCATTTTTAATTTTAATTATGCGATGTTGTCCCCTTTAAAATTCAAAAGAGCGACTTCTCTTTACTTATGACCCGGCAGTTATATGCAAATAACCTTCTTTACATAATTTCAATTCTTATAATTTTAAGGCATTATATGAGAATGTTGTTCGTGCCGTTCTTTTATACGCTCGCATTAATGGCTTCCTTCTACTTCGATGCATAATTGACAATCCAACCTTTAATACGACCATATATGAGGTGTGTCTTTACTTATTTCTTCACTTCAGAACTTTTTGCATATTTTTTCGCCTTCATTTTTTAAATGAACTGTCTTCAATTTCAGAAGGATGATGTCATACGCGAAGTGCGTTTTTTAAAATCAGTTTATAATGAAGCAAGAAATTCCACATATTTACAACGACAAAGAGGTCGGAGAGAATTTATCTCCTGTAGTTTTCTTTTCGATATAGTTAAATTCATCAAGAGAAACGAAGTTTATAATCTTCTTGAGGTCAGTTATTAAACAACCTTTCCATACAGGAATTTTTTCCACTCTTCTTCTGATCACTTTGATCATTTAGCTGCTATTATCTGCATAATTAGGAAAGTTCTAGTGCGTCCTTATTTGTACGTCTTAATTCTTCAAGGATTTATAAATACTAGTAATTGTCTTTAATTATTTTTCTTATTTTTTCCTTAATCTATGAAATGATGCAAGAAAACTATTCCTTGCTCAATCTGTTTCAGAAGGGAGTTGTTAAAACAATCGAGTCATATAATTTTTTCGATCTGAATTTATTCCTGGTTACGCCGAACGATGTTGAGAAGCTATACGAAACGGTATGTTCATTAATTACTACTACGGTCAATGAGTAAGAAAGCTAGTTATAATTAATAAGATAAAAATCTTTTCAGATCTAAGTGTCACCGAATTAATTTTAGAAAATATGCCCTTGTTTTGTTTATTTTATTTTATTTTTTTTAAATATCTCAATATTTAGAATGAAATTGCTGGAAATTTCATTCTTTTTCTTGCAGGATTTAGCAATTATTACTCATTTTGATTTGCTGATCGATCACCGCTTCTTCACATCATCTTTGCGAACAGCTCAACGGTTAGTTTTTTATATAACGGAATTATATGCAATGAATAATTGAAGATAACTGGCGGTATACTTTCAGGACGATGGAAACAAAACCACTGGTTGTGAAATATGCCAACATTCGAATACAATTATCGTTTTTCAAGGTACTTTTAAAACGAAAGCTATTTAATATCGAAAATATCCTCTCATGCAAATGTTAATTAACGCTCACTGCGATTGCAGTTACTCATCCAACATATCAAAGCTCTTAATATGGAAAATCTCGATAAGTTAACTGATCTGAAGCTATTTTCTGAAGAAGATCGAAAGGATCCTTGTTGCTACAACATACTTCAGGCTCAAGAAATGATTAGGAATGAACATAATATCTGGAAAGGAGCTGACAAGGTTGTCTACTCATATAGTTTATTTTGTCTACTCATATAGTTTATTATAATCAGTTGTGGGTACATAGTTTTAGATGCTTAATCATCCTTGAACTTCCAAAAATTCTGGATAATTGTTTCTACCTTTGTGTTACCTGTAATTAAAAGATGTAAGTTTTATTAATGGATTATCTTTTCCAATACGATAAAGTAATATTTTCTATTTAGAATAACCATTTATACCAAAAAAGTGTTTCAGTCATGTGGGAAATTCTTTTTAAGCAGCGATTAATTATTTTCAGCTTGCACAGAAGCTATGCTGTCAGTTGATCTTTTATTGTGAGAGTGATTGGTTCTGGAGTGAAGTCATAGGAATCATAAATGCAGAAAGAAGGCTGCCAACTTTATTATTAAAGGTAGAAGTTATTTCAGTGAATACTTTAAGAGAATTACTATCATAGTTAATCCTTACTTTCCGTTCAGTTTTATGTATTCTAAAGTGGTGGGAGAACATTCTATAAAGAAAATAATTTATTTGTGAAATTAAAACTGATGAAATCAGAAGTTATCGTTTCTAGAGTAGAGAAGATTGACGCTCGTATGGTCATAATTTAAAACTGACATATTTAAGCATTAGTCTGCCAGATGTTTCATCGACTTACTATCAGTTGTGAATGAGTGACACGAACGATTTAATATTATCCTTGTATTATGTCTTTCAATCGTTTTCAGGCTTTCCGTTTACTTCCAACAGTAACTGAGTATTTAGTAGGACGGAGACAACCGAAAAATAACACTTCGCTAAATTTGTACTGTTTTATAATGGAATTTCTAATGGTTGTCCCATACAGGGAATTTATACATCGTCGCTATGATTCTTTCATTGCCCGTAAGATTTCATTATGCTTTCAGTAATTTGCAATACTCTGTGATGATGCAAATAATGGTAATGTCATAAGATAAATGAAAAAAATCATTGATGTTGCCTTTATGGCTAAAAGTTTACTTTTTGAGATTCGATACTCAAGTAATTTTGATAGTTTATTTTTAAGTAACCGACATTTGAATTAAACAAAACTAATCACAAAATTGACATGATTAATGCGATATGTTTTGCAGATCTTTGCATGGATCAAGAGTCATGTAGCAGCATCTTGAATCCGGCCACTGTTATTAATCGAATACTAATCCCAAACTTAAAGAGGCCAATACGTAAAGTAAGTTTAAAATATTGTATAAATTAATATAACAATTGCTTTCGTTTTTCAATCACTGTTAAATATTTAAGATTTGTGCTGCGATTACAATCGGAAGGCTACTGGATTCGCGTCACGTGAACATATCTTGGTCATTCGATTACACTGAGTACAAACATTGTTACAATGATGACAATATAACAACTCAAACTGGGGAAAGTCAGTTTACATTACACTTTTTATTGACTTCAGAAGTGTAAAGAAGCGAACGGATTATAAAGAGACATTACATTATATCGTTTTCTCTGAAATCTCTTTTCGGTTTCCATTTGCAGAAGTGGAACTGATTCAATTAATTGGAGCATTTTATTTGCAGTATACCTTTCCACATCGTAATGCAGTCCGTGGCTCTCGTTACTTCTACATAGGTTTGACAATGACACTGTATTTTTTATTTTAAATTTACACATCTTAAATTCTGTGTTAATGATACATTTTCTTCTTTTTGTAGATTTAGTTCTTTCGAGGTTGGAAAGTCGTTTAACTCGTCTAATTACAAAAAATTGTTTTACTGAAAATGCGCTTAAATATTTGGATGAATTAGTTGTTAAAAAGGAATTTCCTTGGCAAGCGGATTACTATTTATCGAAAATATTGCTTCGTAAATTACTTGCCTCAAGAGAAGTTAGCGTAAGTATTACTTTATAGTCGTTCGTAAGATCTTTATAGTAAATCATTTAATTAATTACTAAGATGCTAATTATTTCATCCTAAAGTTTTATAATGAATATGATGTTTCGCAACATGTTCAAATGTCAAATAAGACTTGTATAAATAAATTTAGGATGAGTAGTAGTTTTCGAATTATAAGGTCATTTGCGGAGCATACCAGAAGAGTATTTTGCTTATTGTAGATACCAGAGAGACCGGTGGATGAAACAGATGAGCGGGCACGGATTGAATGGGTTGCAAAATTGTTACCTATTACTTACGCTGGTATCAAGCCGAAACCATTTTTTAGTTTAGCATTTCTGATTGATGGTGAGCGTGTTAATTATAAAATGAATAATTGATGTGGCAGTCATCTTTGAAACGCTTTCGAAAAATAACTTTTGCGCATTCAAAATTTCCATGCTTTTTTAGGTTATGTTAATAATTTGGATTTGGAAAGCGCTTTTGTTCTACATTTCAACGATATCCCAGAATTTTATTTCATTGAATTTCTGGTTCTTTTCAAAATTTTCATGCGTTCAAATAGAAATAATCGAATCACGAGCTTATGCAAACACAATCTCGGGAGATACGGTAATAAATGTGGGTTTTTACCAAACGATTTAACATCAGCTTTTAAAATCAAAAACTGTTAAACTTTACTGTTATGAAGTGCTGCGATTTGTAGTGAAAAAAAAAAAAAAAAAAGAAATTATTCTATAGATGATAGAAGCCTGCGAGAAATGATTAAATGGATATTTCGTCTCATAAATCGAGTCCAGAAATCAGGGCAAGTGAATGAGGAAGCAGTACTTGATGCGAAACATCGTGTTTTACAGTGGGCAGAAGCTTACGTAGCAAATTCTAAAGTGCTCGGGACCGATGACGCGAAAGCAATGTTATGTTTATTAAGATGGAAGGATGAACCCGGTCTAAAAGTCAGTCAAATTTCATTTTTAACAGTATCGAAATTCCCTCAAATAATTTTCTGTTTTAATGTCATTTTAATCACATTACCTTAGTCTTTCCTTTTGTTAATCTCAGCGATTACTCAGCGATACAATGTTTAAACTCTACTAAATTTTCCTCTTCATCTCTCTCTTTCACTGAGAGACTTTTTTTAGGTGCGTATGGACTATGATACCTGATACGCCATAAAAGAATAAAAAAGTCCTCGTCTAACAATCCACGTTTTGTTGAATTGTTTTTAAAAAAGTGAACTGTGCAAAATTTCATCTTTTGTAATCGATCCGAGAATATTGTTTTTATCTATGTAAATATCCTTTGTAGTTTTCGAAAGCTAATTTGCTCATAATTACTCATTTCATGTTATATTGGGAGATTCAGATCCTCGATAATTTCAGGATGATGAGCTAGAACGAGGAATGAATCGATTGTTTTTCGAAGTTCATCAAAAATGCGTGATACGGCCGAATGATCCAATTCTTGAAGTCACTTTCATGACTTAATTTTGTTGTAATCTAATATCAGAGGACGTACTTTTATTTAGTTCAGTAAAACAATCCTTTAAAAGGCCTAAATGTTTTCATTGCTTCTATAATTCTGCACGAAATCAACTTAAAAAATATTTCATCTTTTGAAATCATTGAATTTAAGGTGATGGAAAAATGGATTCCCTGTGGAAAAAGTATAGAAGAAATAGAAGAGTATTTGAATCATCTTCCTCCATCTCGCGCATCTGAAGTGAAAGTGTATAAGCCAACCCGATTATTGCAGTACAAACGGGTAACACTATTGTCCATTACTGTCCACTATTGGTCAATCTCTTTTGTAAAACTTTCAACATTAAATAAGAAATACATTCATCGGAGAATAATTTATAACCAATATATAAATATAGCATCTTTTTTCTTTGTTCATTAATATCTCAATTTAGGTCCGTCATGATGAACAAACGCCATGGGAGCGATGCCAAATGAATAAGTTTTTGAATGAAACTGCTGACTATCATTGCTGTGGAGGTGCCAGCAGGATGCGGAATAGGCCAACATCGGGACCAGGTATGTTTGGTTACGCACGGCCAATGTATGTGTGGAGTATCGGTGGTGTAAAACTGATGCCATTTTCGGCCCTGAAGAATAAATATGAAGATGTGGTATGTTCTGTTTCATTTTGTTGTTTTGTATGAAGTTTATCACTCAACTTTCTACTTCTTTAGAATTATGCTCGAAACAGAGTTGTTCTCTCAAGCGCAAACTGTTTTCTGTGGTAATATTTGATATTATAGCCCTCAGATGTATCAAAACTAAACAGAAAAAAAAGACTTCCATTCGATTTACGAGCAGAAGTTGGAAGCATATGGCAAGATACTCCATCTGCACTTCATAATTCTCATTCTCGACCACGAAAAAGAAATACTTCCAGCCAATCAGTGAATCTTCCGGTATCGCGTGATCGTAACAATGGTGGGAATTTCACGGATTCATTTAATTTAGAAATTTTAAATGTTCATTACATTACATTACATTTCCCTCTTAAAAAATTTAGAAATATTTCGAATGGAAATACCATATGATCCATTTGTTGTCATGCCAATTGATGCTTTCGATCTTGAACTGGATTTTGGTGCCAGTGCAGGTAAAGCATTCACTACTTCTTTTGTTTTGTAGATTTCTTGTAGGCGTGATAATGTACACCTTCTTATGCTGGAAATTTGAGATGAAATATGTCTGCTCACATTTTGCTTTCTCATCATATATTTGCTATGTGTACTTCTTTTGCCTTTTCAGCTAATTTTAAGGGTACTATCGATATGCGGCGCTCTTACTCGCTTCCATGCGATTTGTCAAATTTAAATTTGCGGACCAAGAAAATAGTACCCAGAAGTAAGTGGATCAAAAATTTTTTAGTAGTAATTGTAAACAATTTTGTGTTCTCTGAATTTTCATCGTTAAAAGATAAATCCGTCTTCTACTTATTAAGATACTTAATTTTAAAAATATTTAAACATCTTCCAGCTTATATTTAGGGTTAGCACGGAAAGAAAAGTCCAAGCAATGGCAACAAAGAACGAAAAAAAGAACTGCTAATTTAAAGGAAAACGTTCCGATTAGACGTTCTGATTCGGCAAGTTCATTTAACGGATATATTATTAATGTTGAAAACCATCCTGATTTATTTTTCTTCTTTCTTGCAGTGAATTGCTTTATGTTTTAATGCATTTCTTTATTGCAAAAATTTTAGCATATATGTTCATCTGCAGTTCATGCATAGGCTAATTAATATCATTACTACTTCCAGGTGGGAAAATACGTCAAGAAGGAACGTACAGTGTTCCATCCATTTCTCGAAAATATTGGATCATGTACCATTTGCGGATTAACGGATCACACTGAAGATTTCTGTCCAGACACGCCAAAGTAATCATTTGAATTTCTTTTATTCTATTCACGGTATCAGATTATATGTTAAAAAGTTATTAATGGCGAAATATGGTTGCTTATCGAGATTATTTCTCATCATTAAATTAATTGTTCTCGTTCCAATTCTATTCCGAACCTATACTTGATTTTATCCTATATTTCTGTTTATATTGTAGCACATTAAACTGCTTTTTTCTTTTTTTTTTTTAAAAAAAAAAACTTTCGAAATTTACTGAGAAACTGTTTAATTTTAGTTATTCAAATCTCGTGAAAAGACTGTTGCCAGTGACATATAAATGGACGATCAAAAAGGAAAAGGCATTCGAGAATTTTCATCGTCAAGATTCCTGGGGATCCTTTGGCGATGAATATCATTGAAATATTCCATCTATCTTGATTTTTGCTCATTCTTTTTTCTTGAAATGGTAAGATAGGAAGAGCTTGTGTTCCCATGTTTCATTTGAACTGTCCTTTTTTCTTCAGAAACTCAAAAAAAAAAGTTCAAAATCAAATTTATGTTAACTTGGCGTTATGTCTTTTGTACTTTGCTATATAATTATTTCACACCATAAGCTTAATTTATGGTTTGCATTAACTAAGGAAGAAAATTTTTGTTCCTTCATTTTACATGATTTTATTGTTCTTGTAGTTGTTACGTTTTGTTTTACTAATTAATTTCTTAAGCAGAATGAATTTTGTTCAAATAAATGTTAATCTTTTTCCCTTTTTTAAAATATATGCCCGCAAGTGAATAAATTTTACATCAAATTCTCGTAAATTTCCAATATGAAAGTACTTCGCGTTCTCTAGACAAAGGAAATTCACTGAAGCGGAAAAGTATTTACATTCGGGTTTAAAGTTGATTCTATTCAGTTAAGTTTTAGCTTATTATTTGTCATTTAATATTTTCAATGTTAGTGGTGATATGGCGTCAAGTGCCACATATTTGTCAGTTTTCGAGAGATTTCTCTTAAGCAGCTATAGCATGAAATCGAGGAACCGGAATTGCAACTGTGGTTGGGATTCTTGCCATTGGCCACTTTTTCGATTTATGCAGCCATTTGGTTGGTGTATTTTGCCGGGAAATAATAAATAAAGAGATATAAAAGTGATCTGACAGAATATGACACGCTGGTTACTTAATTCACTTAATCAATTAAAGTAATACATTTGATCTGCTTATTTTCCATTCCTTTCATTCAGTATTCAAAATCAATTTCAAGGTTATAGAATTGATGTTTTAATAGTGACGCAATTGTAATCGATTGTTTGTTCAATTGTTTAGCCTTACTTTCGTAAAATTAAACATTAGTGCCAACGTAAGAAATTTAACAGCAGAACAAGGTTGACAAGAAGAATGAATAGTTCGAATACAGTAAACGACTGAAAAAGTTTTTCCGTAAAATGGTTGTTCAATTAAAGTAGGTGAAGAAATTAGAAAAAAATTCTCTATCCACAGTTATTGGCACAAAAAGAGGTTTAAGCACAATATAAATGCTTAATAATGTATTTAAAGCCACTGTCATCCGCTCAATATGTTATGACAATGGCATCATGTTAAATGAAATGAAATGAACCATTTTTATGAAAATATTTTACCCTGGCATGTTTATTTAAAAAAATAGTAGTTCTAGAGTAGTTGTTCACTCTCGACAGATATGTATTTGTGATGCTTACCAGAATAAAAATTAGTATCAAGTAAACTAATATATCATTTTTATTGTTTTTATTTCGCAGCATCAAAGTATCTGAGATGATAACCAGTTTCCGCTATAACGGCAGTTCTTGATATAAAAGAGTTCATCGTACTGTTTGTCGAGATCTTATCTCATGATGGTTATTCAGCTATCGCTCCATTCCTTTGTTCTGTTCTCGATGTTAATGGTCCTTGATAAGACATGCGTAGATTGGCCAAATATCCCAACTCTACCTTGGCCAAAATTGCTGGATTCGAAGTTAAACAATTCAGCAAGAAGAACCGAAGGTTTTCATTTGTGCTTCCATTAACTTTTTAGATCAAAACACAATGCTGACCCGACACATTTAATAATGTTAGACAAACAGAAATCTGAAATGTACAGGAATAAATTGAATCTACTCTTAGAAATTAAGCATACTCCAAATTACGTAAAACTTGGGTGAAAGAGAAGAGTAGTTACTGATACGATCCTCTGTTAATGATAAATAGTTCAAATCACTGTGAAGTGTTCTGAGGCAATAATGACTTTTTCCTTTACATCAGATGATCATTGGTAAAACAAAATCGTTGTGATTGAAAGAGAACTGAAGTTACTGGCAAATATTTTGGCAATATTTTCTGATCATATTGGCTAGTACAAACTGAAATCATTCGGATATTTGGCCGGTTCTGAAAACGTATCTGAAGAGTTGAAAAAATCAAGGTAATAAATTGATTTTGAGTTATTGATCAAAAAAGATAGCTGCTACAGCGCACGCAAATTCAGGATTATATCATTCACTCGCCATCATTAAGCAATAGGATGTCATTTGGAAAAGAAAAAATGTTAACCCAAAGGAAAAAGTCGCAGTTCATTTTTTGAAATTTCTAAATGTTCATATTGTAGACATCGGCTTTTAAGAAAAATTTTTGATCGTTGACCAAAAGTTGAATGACCAATATCTGACAAATAACAATACAAATGGAAGGTTCCATTTTCTCATTTTCCAATTCTTCCTTTTCCTGTTCTCTTTCAGGTTTTATTAAAATCCTTTTTAGAATGCATTAAAAAATGTTATTATGTTAGAAATAAATTACGTTTTATAGTCATCTTCCTTATATATCTGTTCGTTAATTAATATTATATTATTATGGTTCTATGCACCAACTTCAATACTATTTCATCCACAACAAACTTTTACGTATTCTTTTCTGTTATTTTTCTTTCTTCTCTAATTTTATAAAAAAATTCATTCTGCTACTTTATTTTTCATTCTTTCAACAGCAGAATGAAAAGTTGTAATGATGAGTTCAAAAAATAGTGACGCTGTTTGTAAAACATTTGAAGTTTCTTCTTCTGATGAACAATGCACCGCCATTAAGGTTTCGATGAAAAAAGTACAATTCTCTTCTTCACCGGTTGTATTGTCCATTGTATCAAGCAGAAAGTTAATTGAATACTTATATTTATCAATTGCATACTACTTTCATCATTTCGTCATGTCATCTACTACAATTCATTTCTTCTTTTCTCTCTTTTTTCAATCATGCATGCAAATAATGAATGTTTCCGATATTGTCCTCATCTTTCACCTATTGCATACATACCCGTGCTATCCTTCCGAGTAAGCTGAAATTCGCTGATAAAAACAAATAATTAATCGGACTTTGGAAAGGTGAACAATTATATGGAAATAGTAGTGTTATTTTCATTTTTGAGTTTTCATGCTTTTTGAATTAAATAAAAGGATTTACATGGAATTGAAGTGATTCACTAAGCAATGATTTCAATCAATTCACTTCACTGGTTGTACTCAACGAAAAGGAAAAAATTTAGCATGAATTTTATAACTTAATTTAGCAACTCCAACCAATGGTTAGCTATTCTTTATCAGAAAATCAAAATAATTAATTCGGAGTGCACGCTTACATATTCTTCATTTTATCAATTCATCACATTAATCTCTTTGATTTCTCTGAGGAAAATATTTCTTTTCCATCTCTTCAATTGTTAAAAATTCCTCTTCCTTTTTTGATTACTGAAAAGTTTTTTTTAAACTATTTGTATGATTATATCAGTGTTGTTAAAAGGAGTAGAAGATGACAAAAGCGCGGAAATCAATTCATCTTCTGTGTACCGCTCATACCTAATTCCTTAAACAGGTTCAGCAAGGTTTCCGACTTTAGTGTTACAGAAGCTGGTTTCAGCTAAACTAAAAGTGTCAAGTGTCTATATATCATATTGCGCACTATTCTATATTTGGATGACAGGATAAGAAAAAATGAAAAAAAAAAAAATATCTCATCGGTCTATTTTGTCTTAAATCGAATTATTTACATTCATAATTTACACATACTTCATTATTAAGATTTATTTTATATTTCAGTTGTTTCAGGATATTAATATCTTCTTTTGTGAATTGGACATTTGACAGTGAAATGACTGTGAATAGACTAGACATACTTATATTATGTCAAAGTAGCTTAAAGCTTATATTATATCTAAATAAGTAACTTAAGGCTTATATTGTATGTAAATAAATAGCTTGAGGCTAAATTGTTTGCTCATAAATGAAGTATGCAATATGTGATAGTCGAGAAAATAAACGTTTACTTTCAAATTAAGAAGTTCATGACTTTCAATTGTTTTTTGAAAATGCTGATGAGAAGGAATGAGCTATAAATTTTTCTAAAACAAAAATGCTACCACAGGGAAGGATGCTGCCAAAAAAAGGCGCTAATGCGAAAACACACTCAGAAGACACTATTTTTGTACAGTATCTCAAACGATTTTTCAGGTAGATTCTTTTTGAAATTTAGTCGTCGCTCTTTATATTGTAACAGTAAGTGGTTATACTACTCTATCAATACGATTGATTTGCATAATTTTATTAGATTTAATGAATCAGAAGTAATGCTGCTACAGTTATGTTCTGAATAGTTTAAATTCAAAGGTAACTCAAAACTAAACGGTTTTGGCAAAGAAATCAGCTTCTTCTAAAATTTAGGATCTCTCATAAAGACTTATTGATCATCTATGACAGTTACTCGTTTCCAGGTTAACTGGCAGAAACGTTGCAGCTAAGCCATATTTCTTCATCTTCATTTGTTTATTTATTACTGTGCTGAGTTCATCCTCTATTTTATTGACTAAAATGACTAACGATGTGACTGACTTTACGCCAAAAGATGCACGAGCGCTCAGAGAATTAAAGGTATGATAATTGTTTTCACAAATATTTTTTAATTTTAAGGAATTTCAAGGCCGGACAATCTTCATTTACCTATCTTTAAATGCTAGAATATAAAAACATTTCTTTCTTTTACTGCTCCATCTAATGCATTCTAAAAAAGTAAAATCATTATCGACGACTTTTCTAACCACAAACTGTTAAAAACACCTAAGAAAAACGTTTTTCGCAATTGTTACTGTATTAAATCAAAGCTATAATCATCAACAAATTGTTTACGATCATCTCAAGAGTTTCTTTTCGGTTTTAAACTTTTAAAATGCATCTAAAGCGTTACCTTCTCTTCTTCCTAATTGTAAAATAATGAGGTAAACCCAAACAATTTCTGGGACGTATTTGATATATTTTGATATTGAATTCAATACTGAATTGTGGTTTCTATTTTTTGCAGATTTACAATGATTTTTTTGGCCAAAAAGGTTACCCGGTTGTTGTTTTTGTGTTCATAACTGCGAAAGATGGCGGTTCAATGCTAGGAGTGGCGCAGCTTAATGAAACTGTCCAGGTAACTTACTATAAAGTATGGAAAGTGGGAGCTGATTGACACGTTAAAACTAACTTAATAGAATGCTACAAGATACCTGTTTTAACAGTATTATCTTTTGAGAAAGAAATTTATTGTCTTTCACTCATTTAAGCTTTGTCAAATTGCTTTAAAAAGTTAAAATTGGAAGTGAAAATAGTATAGAGTGGAAAGAAATGAGACAAAAATTATTGTAAAATTGATGGTTGAAAAAAAATTATTTAATGGTTGGAAGAAAATTATTCTTCAATTTTTAACTTTGAACCAAAGAGTGGATTAAGAACATCATTTTATGAATATTGTCATAAAATGTTCATTCTCACATGCTCTATTTCCACAATAACTTCATTAATTTTAGTTGCTTGACTTAATTGTCAATAATGTAGAAATAAGAAATGAACAAATGAATGAAACACGCATTTTCGCACAATTTTGCACAAGCTTTTGTGAAGCAAACGAGCCAGTTCGGAATGTTTATGTATGTTTTGATACTCATTTTGCTTTTGATAAAGTTCAACTTTTAACTGATTTCATGTAATTTTAACTTTAGAATAGTCTCATGATAAATGAGCAGTATAATGGAACTTCGGCGCAAATTGATCTTGCTTACCCAGTAAGCACCATTCTCGGCCAACGATTTCGCATCGATGACAATTTCTTTGGTGTAGAAGTGAGTTTTTTATTTTTTTAAAATAAAATTACACTAAGATTATCCTATTATGGATCTCTCAGATATCATTAATCTACTTTATTGATCACTGTTATCCATAAAATCCACTTAAACATTTTAAATTGTCTTGTAAAAATAGTAGCGTTTGTGGGATGACACTGCATGAGTGATTTGTGAGCTAATCAAAGGAGTAAGAAGCAGTTCAATGGATAGAAATTATGCAGTCAGCACTGTTCACAAGTTGATGAACAAGCGAATAAAATGAGAAAATTGAGGACTTGCCAATTTCTACACTGATTTTACATGATTCAGGTCGGGAAAAGGAATAGCTTGTTGGGTGCTCGTTTGGTGTTATTGCAATTTCGAGCTATACTTCAAGGTGATATTGATAGTACCGATGCTGAACGATACGAAATGGCAGTTAACAATTTCATACAGAAGTACGTTGATATTTTGCCCTTGTTGAAACTTATTTAAAATCAATTATAATTTCTTGCGTCTTTCGTAAAAATGAAGTCATTAGCATCAGAATTCAAATGAAAATTGATTTATTCTTAGATGTAAAGTTATAACCATTATCTTAGTAATGGAAATCTCGCACAGAAGGTTTAATATATATATATATATATATTTAACAAGTTGACTGGAATTAAAGTTCTCTATAAAATTAAGAGCCTCAAAAATCGTATTTTTATGTGTAAAAGTAGGATGTTTACTGAAATAGTCATCAATATTTCAGACACATCATTTTCAAAACTTATTTGCAAAATTAAAGTTAACTGAGAAGTTATAAACTTCAGAAACTTTACGTCGAATATAATTAATGCCGTTACAATGTCATCAACATTTATAACAGCTGAAATTGTGCGTGCCGGCATTAGTTTATTACCATTCACTGCAATTGGATTCATTATCATGTGCATATTTTCTACTGTAACAACAATTATCAGTTCTGTGCTAGTTTCGCAGTTTCACTATTTGCAGGTGAAATAGCACAATTTCGAAACAAATTTGCAACATAGGAACTTATAATTTTTTTTTTTTTTTCATTTTTTGTCAGTTAATTAATAAGAAGGGGAGTTTCTTTTGTTTTTTTAAAAGGATAAATCAAAATTGATATCAAAAAATTCTCAGACAGAAATCAATAACATTTCTCTCTGTCGGCCAAAACCAATGATAGGTATGAATTTCATCATCTGTTATAGGTGGTAACAGCAATAGCAGCTTGTGTGTCACCACTTCTAGCCTGCAGTACAGCTCTTGGCTTTCTGTTATGGGGCGGTCTACGATTTGGCTCCATCCTGTGCGTTACACCGCTTTTAGTTCTGGCCATTGGTGTTGACGATGCCTTTTTGATGATGAACCACTGGCAACAGACCTATCAACAGTACGCTTTTCACTTAAATTTCATAAAATGAACTGGTTCAAAAAATAACAGAAAACTATCAGTGTTTTCAAGAACACATAAATACATAACTTTATTGTAGGAAAATGTTAACTAAGGAACTTTCAAAGGAAAGACTAAACAAAAGAATGTGTAATATGTTGCAAGAAGTCGGTAAGTATCACATTATCATCAGTCACCATCCAGTCAATAAAATCAAAAAAGTTCCAGAAAACTTAGTGAATAGCAATTAATGATTTTTGGGATGAATGAGAATAAATGATGGCTTTTCATGTAGGAATGACTTTCTTAGCTGCTATTCTCCTTGAATTTTTACAAGGACCTTGTAGGTCCTTCAATTACAATAACGACTTTAACAAATGTGTTAGCATTTGGAGTTGGAGCACTTTCACCAATACCCGAAATTCAAATTTTTTGCATCGGAAACGCTACAGCAATGATCGTTGATTTCATCTATCAGGTTTCAGTTTCATTCAAATTGGGATCTATTTTCATTTTCATTAGCTTCAAAACTTTAACATATTTGTTATATACTATTACGATTAGAATAAAACTGAACCAATAAGTACATAAAATGATCCCTAGCATGAGCAAAAGTCAATTTCCTTTGATAAACAGTGTTTTCAACATTACTACTTACTCTAATCATTTCTGCACTGTTTTCACTGTTTTACTCCGACATTTCATTACTGCAGAAAAAATCTGCTACATTTGAAAATTACTTACATATTTCTCAATTTCAATTTTTTTCTCAATCAATTTTCACATGAGAACCATCTAACATACTAAACTTAGATAAGGTAACAAGATAGTGTTCAATTTGACTGCACAGGCTTGCATTTAATCTTTACTATTGTCTATGTGATCGCTTTTCTTGATTTTGGATTCGATTACTGTCCTTTCATTTCCTCATTGATAATCTTGTTGATATATTTCGATATTTGTTACTCCCAAACTAAGAAAAAATGAAGTGACCTTAACTGCTTGTCATGCCTTTTTCGTATATCTTTGTTTTCTCTCCTTTATTTTAACCACTTCTAGCACATTTAATAATATCGTCTGTTTGAATAGATAAGTTGCATGTTGTATCTTTTATAGCAGTTAGCTTCCATTCTCTCAGCATAAATAGTCTCATCTCTCTTATTCTGACTAACTTTCATCTACTTCAAGTTTTTTATCTCCCGTTTCTGCCACTTTTACTTTTACTTGTTAAATCAGTGATACGGAAATTTATCATTTAACCAAATACATGGAAGATTTATTCTTCTACTGTTGCAACAATGATACATAATATATTTAGATTACACTATTCGCTGCAATAATGGTAGTAGTAGGACGTTGTGAATTGCAAGCCGAAAAGTCTAAGTATCCGGTAGAATATAAGAAACTTAAAAAGTTGGACGATTTAAACTCCTTACTCAAGAAGCGAGTTTATTTTTTTAATTTCTATTATTTGAAGTTATAAAATTCAAAACAGTGAGCTATAACTTGACTCATAATTCTATCTGGTCGTGTTGAACTTCTTATCTCTTATTGGCATATACCAAACTAACTGCTTTATTCTTTTCACTTTTGTGATAAGTGTTTCCTTCTCCAATTTGCAGTTTGCTAAACAAATATTGCTCTGTTTTGTGTACTACATCATTCTCAGTGCTGACCGTTGCTGGTTTGCTCTTGTACTGGTCATTGTCGATATATGGGGCCGTAACTATCAGTATTGAATTGAAGCCTGAGAAACTGATAAAGCATGATTCAGATATTGTCAAGGTATGCCAACACAGTGTTTATTTCGTTTAAATACTAAAGATGAGAAAAATCATTTCAAATAATCACTGCAGTTCACTATCTTCTAACATCTGTCTTATCTTCTTTTCAGTCTATTTATTTAATTTGAAGTTGAAATTACTGAAGCAATAAAGTAGTTAAAAGACATCTTTAAGGTCTTACAACTACGGGACGAATATATCATGCAGCATTGTGCTCCAACACTTATATTCGTGGGTAGACCAGGAAATCTAAACAATCCTAATAATATTCTTATGTTGCAGAAAATCGTATGTATTCGGTAGTTTTCAGTAGTTTATTTTTACTTTTAATTTCGTCTTTGTTTTTTTATTTAACAAAAAAAAAAAAATGATTGAGAGCCGAATAAGTCAGACAAATATTTGGGAAAAAAAAGTTCAAGAAGTAGAAAAATTTCTGTTATTTATGTCTTTAAAATGACAGTTAAACGGTTTTTACTGTGTGATGACCTTTTCCCGAAGATTGATGACGATGCGATGCTACAAATTTTTGCAACCTATGTATATAATATTTTGTTTAGTTTTTCGATTAATTTTAAACAGAAAACGTAAAATACAAAACGGCCTTGAATAATAAGAAGTTCTTTTTGCTTTTTATTTCTCTTTTTTTGATCGTAGGCAGAGGATTTTGAAGCATTACCGAGTTCGCTGGGAAAAACAGCAACAAAGTTTTGGCTAAGAGATTATATGGATTTTATTGCGAATGCGGAACAAGTTTCATTTGATAGTTTAATTGACAGCAATCGGTAAATTGCTCTTCTATTCCTTGCAGTGTGCTCAGTCTTTCAACTACTTCAATTCTAAAATTATCTCCTCCTTACAACCTCCTTAATAAGTGTATGTTATCCATGGAAAAAAGAAAGTGCAGAAGGTGATTATTTCAGCCACTGTGATTGTGCTTGAATTCCAGTAATAATGATATATGTGAATTTTTGAACAGGAATTTAACAGCAATTACCATCAAACAATTTGACCTACAGAATTTCCTTACTTGGCCAGAATTTCATCATTGGAATGGATTTGTGCAGTTCGATCTCGATAAAAAGTTGGCTTTTTTTTCAAGGCATTATTATATGCAGTAACACGCAGCGCCACATATCAACATATTATGATCTTATACTATCAACTTTCAACTTTTGTTTTCAAATTTATGAATTTTTTGTATACTTTAGTGGTATGGGATATTTGAAAAGTTATTTCTTCATGATATCATCACGCTCTGATCTCAGAAAATGGTCTGCTCGTGCAAAACTGCTGAATCAATTGCGAAAAGTTGCTGATCGGGTATCTCTTTTTATTCTATACAAAAATTTCCAACATAATTTTTCTGAAACTTAACCACTGGAAATCAATCTTTTCACTCATGACTTATTACCATCTTTGCTATTTGTTACAATGAATAATTTAACTTTAGGAAATTTCGTTTTTGTGTTTTCCCGTCTATACGTTTTAAATTTCTGACCAATTATCTGACATTTATCTTTTCATGTGTAATGAAAGGGATGTAAAGAAGGTGAAATGATGATGAAGCCAAAGAGATGATTTGGATAAACATGAATAGGAGGAGCCATCTCCAAAATAATTTTGACGATGATGATCATAAACTGCTCTATTAATTTTCATTTTCCAGTCAACTTTCTCTTTTATTGATGTATTTCAATGTATTTCGATGTCCCTTCGATGTATTTCGATGTCCCTTCAAAGTACTTAATGAACTAATTTGACATAGCTTCAGCTATTGCAAGAAATCAACAGTGTAATTTACTGGAATATAAAGCTATGAAACATTAAATTACTTTTCCAAATAATAATCTTGTTCTCCTCATAACTCAATTCTGGTTACAGTATGCAATGCATGAAGTAAGTGTTTTCGATGATGATGCAAAATTTCTGGATATAATCGAAATATTAGTGAATCAGACAGTTCAGTCGTCTATCTTTACAGTGCTTTTTATGATGTTTGTTTGCTTTATTTCTATACCACAATGTACTGCAGTAATCGTCGCTACATTCTCCATAATAAGTATTTTTATTGGTAAGTTGAAAAACCTTTTCAGGAGGCAAAATCAGATATATTTAAGGTTATGCACTGAATGAGTAATAGACAGAATTAGATAAAACTTGAAGGGATTAGAATTATTTAATGGAAAAAAGTACATAAATGACCATAAAGTGATAAAGAATTTGCTATAGGCGTGCTTGGCTTGTTATCATTATGGAATGTTGATTTGGATCCAATCGTTATGTCAGCATTGATAATGTCTATCGGTTTCAGTGTCGATATTCCAGCTCATGTCGCTTATCACTTCTTTCTAGCTGGTTTGTAACTTTTCCATTATTTTAGCCGGTCATTTCATTGTTTCTATTGTCCACTAACATTTGATGATCAAAAACATGCCGACGATAACATGTTTCATGCTTCCAGTTTCCATGACAAATTGACTATTTATTTACTATATCTTTCATTATTAGAAAAAATCAACAATAACTTAACGGTTGAGACTTGGCAGAAAGTATTGAATACCAATCATCTAATTTATATTATTGCCTTTTATTTATTGTTAAGGGTACAAAATCGATGTCTGATGAATCCATGCTGTTTACTGCATACTTACAACGCATCTTCTCAACTCTTATTCTTGTCCTCTGTACGATATCTTGTATATGCCACCCCTCCAAACAATGGCGCTATTGTATCACTTTTCCGTTCTTTATTTTTTCTCATTTACTACTATCTTCCTATTTAGATGAAGATACAACCGAAGCTTCTCTTCAACACTGCCTTAGAGAAATCGGATTTCCAGTGCTGCAAGCTGCATTCTCAACAATGCTTTGCGTCCTCAGTCTCCAATTTAGCGATCTTCACATGGCTCTTGTTCGTTTTAACTGTCTTATCATCTTTTTAAACTCTATTATATCTTCATTCTCTCATCGTAATACAAGTTGAAATGAATGAGAAATGACAGAAGGCACTTTTAATGAAAACAGTGTTACTAATATATCTGAGAATTCTTGAAGCTTTTGATTCTCTAATATAGCAAGTGCTAAGTCCTTTCAATTTATTAAAAATGTAAATTAAGATATTATATTACTCAGGTCTTCGTGAAAACGATGTCACTGGTCATAATAATCGGTTTCATACATGGTTTAGTCATAATACCGGTACTGTACTGTATTATATCCCGCATTCGATATCCACGAAGAAAGGTAGTATTCGATATCACTGCTACAACCTGTCCAAAAGCCGTTGCAGAAGATAAGACTGCTAAGCTGACAATTGATACAGAATTGAAAATTTCCGCTCTATAAGTGTGTTTTCTATCCCACTTTTTTTTGTGGAGCGGTCTTTTCTCACAACTTGGCTACTTCAAGCAATCTTGTTGGCAAATAAAATTTACCTGAGAAGATGAAATATTATGATAATTTTGCTGCTTCCTTTTCGTAAGTGATCCCGAAGAAATGATGACATGATACGAGACTTTTTAGATAGATCGCAGACATTACTTAAAATCAATTACAAATGACAAAACAACGGGTAAGAATATAAATATTACAAATCTGTACAAGAAAAAGATCGAATTTTTTCTTCATAAATTCGATAAAATATCATTCAGTTTGAGTGAATTAGTAACTTCTACCCCGAGCTATTAGATTCCAAATTCAAATCAAAAACATTGGTTGCCATATTGTGCGTTGCAGATAATATTTTCCACCACTGTGCAAGCAAAAGAGCTGATTATGCAATAATTCCTGTTTTCACTTATCGTTCCTTGTGGGCTTGAGCTACAGCTATTTGTAAGCATTGTATCCACTCTTCAGCTTTACTTTGATCATTAGCCTACAATTTCGATATTAAATTGGTTGTACTAATTAACAGATTAGAAATCTTTACATCATGAAATGATTTTGTTAATCTTAAACTTTCGTAAATCGTGAGTTTCGAAAAAAGATCTAAAACAACTTTAAAAACCAACTTTCAAAACAGCCTTTAAAAGACATGAAAAAAAAAAAACAGTATATCATTGATGTAAAGGCTATCCTAGTCTTCAAAATGTTTAAATTTGCTATTATTAAAGTCAGCATACTGTTGATGAAAGTGAGCAAATATTAATAATAAGAAGTAAAAGTTGAATTAATAGAAAGTTACTTTACAAATTAGGGAATGATGCCAATTTCTTTTCTCTATTATCAACATCATTAGTGCTTTTATTTAATAGAGCTAAGTATAATGAACTAATAAAGATAAAGATTTTAAATGGATACGCGTTATTTAAATCCCTTAACATTTGTAATTAACAATATATTACAACCTTTCAGTGCTCGTGTCTTTTTTTTAATATCTGATAATAAAATGTGTATAAATTTTTGAAAACTCCTCAAGTATTGATTGCTAACCAATTCTTTTCTTTTTGTTGGCATTACTAATTACCTTTAAGACGTAGGAAATATCATCATCGGTAAATATCTCGAATGCTTTGGGTAGTGATTTACGGCTCTTTCTTCCTTTGCCGAGTGATTTTACGGAACGTATCTTTCGTAAATCAAGGGCTGGCGAGATAATTTTGTCTTCTGCTGGCTAAAAGTTCCCATAGATAAAGAAATTTTCAATTTATGGTTTGAGATTGGTAACAATCAGAAATTAGACTTTCAGCTCAATTTTTAAAATATTTGAAATAGAACTTAACGTACATTTGAGATTTCTTCTCGGCAAATTAATGCAGAGCCAGATAATGTAAAATATTTGGTATGCCAACGTTTTAGGAATTTCCATCTTCCTCTTTTCTCTTTCAGTTGACCTTCAAGAACTGGCAAATGTGGCGAATCCGGTCGTAAAATCGTCCTGCAGAAATTAAAAGAACACGTGAAGTAAAAGATTAAATAAAATCTATATCACATTTTCTACCAATAAGTCATATAAACCAAAATAATGGGATAAGAATATAAGCCTCTAGAATTCTACTCAAATTTTTGATGAGAAAAATGTCAAGTGTGAAAATGTCATCATTTTGCTTCAAAATTCTGCAGTTAAATTATAAGTTTTATTAATTTCATTGCATTTTAGAATGGCGTAATACCAAAGAAAAGAAATAACCTAACACGTTCTGGATGGCTACAACTAAAGCAAGACCATTTCTGCAACACCGTATTGTAGGAAAATGAATCAAAATAATGCGCATCGAGAAGTTCTTTCAAAATTTGTTGCTGTTCCTGAAAGAAAGGAAACAATAATAGATCTTCAAAATTATTCAAACAATACTTGTATAACGATTTAGACAAACTGAGAAAAGTGGTGGAATCTGGAGTTATAAAATAGTAAACCTTGTAAGCCGGAAACGCAGAAGTTACAAGCTCCAGAAACGGACGGTTCCGAGTTTGTGTAGAAGGAAGTGAACTCCAGCAACTGGATAGTGCCTGGTAGGCTTCAGAACACTGAGCAACTACTTGACCAGTTGTTTCGATGCTTACTGATTCCATCTGAATCAAATATTATATCTGTTTATTAACACATCATTACAGTCCTTAAAATACATTAATGATGATATATGTTCTGGTATCAGATTGTAGACGATATATAATGCTAAATAGTGGTAATGAAATTCAAATGCTTTGATTATAAAAAAGTCTATGTTTGTCTAACTATTGAAAGACCTCTGGAATTCTACAAACTTTTTTTAATAAATGATGATTGAATATCAGACGTTCGAGCACTCTTTCACGAGATTGTTGAATTTCTGTTGTTGGACGTAAAATCAATAAATAAACAAGCTTCGAGAGGGGAAAAGGACGGGAAAGAGTTCAGCACAAACATCAAAAAAAAAATAATCTACAAATGTATCAATCAACCAAATCATTCGCAGTAGTGAAGAGATTACCTGCAAGAACATAAGATGAAGCCATATAGGAGCGCAATGAGTTTTAAAACTGAAAATTTGATCTGAATCATATACACAGTGGTCATCGGCCACTTCACATCGGAAATGAACCCGTATTCGATGTTTTACTCCTGAAAAAATGATAGCTTTTATGATGCTGAAAACATTTTTTGGGAACAGAAATTAAAATGTAATAAAAAAGAAAAGGTGAAACACAGTATACCTTTATTACTCTCAGCGATACAAAGTACTGGTATTGGATATGTTTTATTGATATTATGTATGTAATTTTGTATTTTACTTCGGCGATGATCGACAAATTTCAGTACCACGTCTCCGCGACCTATCACATCCTGTAAATGTGTTTTCATTGACCCCGTTTTTGAATAAATTATATAAAATTAATTTAATTCAAATATAAATTACATAAAAAGATAAGCATTGGTAATGAACTTATTTCTGTTTTACAATTTACACAGCTTCTTTATCATTTCTTCACCATTTATTTATTTATTGACACGCTGTAGGAGATTATCAGATAGCAATTTCTTCACTCCTCTCGAAGTTTACTGACTTTACATGAATTCATCAAATGATTTCCGCTTTTGCAAAGAATCATAAAAACAAAAAACCCAACCAAGGACTGTATCTGCTCTCTTCGGTACGCGGTAACAGTATCCATTGATACATCATTTGTTGCTGTCCCAGCATGACTTGTTGATAAACGATCCTCCAGTACAGAGCGTGGTGCTATCATAGGAGTAGAATTTCCGAAAGCTGATTTAGAACTAATTAGGCTATTATTTACGGGAAAAGTGGTTTCCGTAACTGCTTTTGCAGTCCTGGGAGCACTAGCGGCTACAATTGTTGCAAGAGACGGTGTTGTTATCGTGGTAGCAGGTCGCCCTCCCGGCAATGGCATCCATTGCGCGGCGTTCGTTCGGCGCTGATGCATTGCAACTGGACGTACTCGTCCATCCTTACCCATCTGCAATATTTTGATGGCAATCAACTAATATTTGCATCAAGTACGCCAACTGATTTTCAAGGACGCTGCAACGAAAGGTACAGTTGTGGTTGCCAACATTTCACCAGGCGCAGTTATGTACTTTACACCCCTGAAAGACCATTTTATCATCATTGTCCTCTATTAACTGATATGAAGCTTGAATATTCTATTCAAAACTGCAACCTGTACGGTAGTAGGTAATAATGGCGAAGAGATAATTTGCTGCACTGTTTGCCCTTTTGGAGGTTGGTAAGATGGTGGTGGACATATCGGTACAAAAACGACACCATTACTACGTCGATTGCTTTGTGATGACATTATGGATAATGGAGAATCGCGGGATGTTGTTTCGGTAGCTGATATATTTTCACTATAAGCTCTTTTCTTATTGTCATCTTAATTCAGTGGATTGAAATCTTAATGAATTCAAGCAAAAAATAAAACAAAAAACTGAAAATTATGCTAACCTACTTAAAGATAAGAGATGAAAACATCTAGGTACCACCCCCATGAACGAATATTAAGAGCAAGAAGTTGTACTGGGATGAGGTGAACTGGTAAAACGGTATTTATAGCACTGCAACTACATTTGCCATGTTGGATCATGCCGACCAAATCAAACAAATAGAAACTTGTAGTCCTTTTCTGGACACTTTTACTATGGACAGATCAAATTAATTCTATAACACAAATGATAAATGTTTCTTTTCTGTAATTCTAAGATTGCATGATTTTGAAAGTAAATATGTAAATTTTGGATTTAAAAAAATAAAATCGAACACCGACATGTATGGATTCAAGCTACCATATGACCGACTGGTTTGATTAATGAGAGAGCAACTGGATCGTAACCTACTACACATATATGCGTTTGCCAAATTCTCAGTATTCTTATCGAGTTCTTGTGCCGAGAATTCTGCCGAATCACTGATATTTACCATTGTACGAACACCGCTGAAATATTTAAGTACCACGAAACTCACTGAATTTTACATATTTCGGAATTTTGTGAGTAGAAGAAATAGAATGCGTAGCTCAAGGTCAAACTAGATTAACTATGCAAGCAAACGTGAGAGATGTGTAACATATATAATATGTAGACAATATTTCTTTGCTTAAATCAAATACATAAGTCATCTCTGATAATAAATTTCAATAAATTACACGTTTCTGACTCCACTTGCACCTTATTTATTTTACTAACTAAGTTTCTCCAGAGAATTTAAACTTCGAGCAAATACAACTCGAACACAAGCTAAAACAAGAAAGTTAATGAAGGATACAGAAGGATAAAATACCTGGTTCAGGAGAAGAAAATGGATAACCTTGAAATGATAGGAGCATCGATCTTGGAGGATAGCTTGGAGACAAGAGAATCATCAGAGTGCTGCACGCCCGTACTACCGGCAACATTAACTATCATGGCATCATCACGGCATCCTGCTGGATACAAATAACCGTTTCTGAATCATTTCTCTTCATTCCATTCAACGAATTCAATATATAATAAATAAAACTTCTTTAAGCTAACTTTTTATTGAATTTTCTGCGACAAATACTAATTAATTCTTTCACAGCTTCTTAAAACAAAAATATCATTCGTATGGGTCACTAAATATTTTGGGTTGGATTAAGTTTTAAGATTTGGTTGCTCATTTAGTTAAGAGTTAGTGAAGTATTTTCCAAAGAATAAATATGAGGACACAGGAATATACTCAAGTGAAGACGGAAGGACATTCAACAATATTAAATACTTCAGCCCTTATGTTGATGAATTTACTTGAAGGAAAATCTAGCAGCTAAAATAACCTTCCTCGAGTCTGTAGAATTCAAATCACAATATTCTATAATTTATGATGTGCAACAAAAAATCCGAATATTTGCCGATTGATCTGTTTCAGTGCGAATATAAGGCGACCGGATCCCTGGATCTTCAATGAATACTTTCCTTGCCCCTAATAAATGCCCGATTTTTTAGTCTTCTTAGTCACATACACTCCCTTCATCCGAATCGCCAAACATCATTACCGTATGTATAACACTTCCCTTTGATTTTTAATGACAATAGCGTGTCACTACTATTATTTCTCATTGCCAGTGCTATTATCCTCCATTGAAAAAAAAAAAAAATTTCACTGCAAGAAATACATCTCAAGAGAAAAAAAGGAACTCTAAGAGTACAGTACAGAACTGCAATAAGAAGTCAACAAGAACTCAAATGAAAATCCTATCCAGACATCTTAGAGCACAATTTTAGAAGGTTGAAAAAGAACGGAAAGGTTTTTTTCGAGCTAAAAGAATAGCATTAACAAACCTGCTAAGTGCTCGGATCCTTGCGCAAACAGCCGATGTGGAAGGAAGCGTTTCTGGTATGGAACGTATAAAAGCAAGATGCGGATATACTGCAGCTGGGAAACATTCCGCCACACCTGAAATTGAAAAACTGGAAGGTTACATTACATAGAGCATTCTCTTTCCAACTGTATCAGTACCATAAAGAACTGAAATAGTTGGAAGTATGGCAGCATCAGGAAGCCAAATGAAAATCGTATCCGTCTTAGAATGTTTGAAAAAGAGCAGAAAGGTTTTTTTCTGAGCGAAATGTTTCTGCACTCTATTTCAGAACAATTCTGGATCTATTACAATTTACTACTGTATTAACTTCCACCAATATTCTTTTTAACAACAACGGCATTCTGGTTGGTTTCGTCTTCAGTGTGAACTTAGTACTACTAAAGCTAATTAAACAGATTTTTTAGATGACACAAAATAGGAAAGTATTGCGATGGCGACCATTTTCAATGCTTCTATCATATTTTGCTTTTCAATTATTACATTACTTTTAGTTTAAACAGTAATTATACCTTCAATCTCCTTGAGTATAGTAGGAAGAGAGCCAGAAAGCCGACAACTCATTGCTATCAGATCATCTACGGCAATATGTGCTGTATTACTGTCATTCCTTCCAATAACGCCAATTATTTTGGCCATTATTGCCAGAGTATTGTCCGAATCTGCTGTTCTGTAAACTATATCTTCTATTTTGCAAACTATACACAACAATGAAATTAAGTTGACAAGGAGACTGGCCTTTTTTTTTTATTTCCCTACTTAGTCTTACTCAGAAACATTATTAAGTCACAACGGAAAAAACGAACTGAACTAACTTAGCAGCTCGACGTAGTGCATCCAGGTGTGGAACTAGAGCAAATGTTCGGTTCAGTGAGATAAGCGACAGGAAAATGTGAAGGACAGCGGTGCGAGTGGGTGGGTGAAAAAGAAAAATATCGAGATCATCCAGATGTTTGAGAATTAGCTAAAATTATTTTAGTTTTAATCGTTTTCCAAATATTTGAGAATTAATAAGAAAAAAAAAATCGAAATCACTGCACATCAAACAATAGCAGTTGTCTCTTTTATCATTTGCAAAAGCAAAGTTGTTAGAAAATTGTGCGCAATTATAGATTAATTTATTGTTGTTGTCTTCATTAGTATTTCAAATTGTATTAATTCTGAGATTAAGCAATTACGGTTATTAGCAAAAAGAAAAGACAAAGACAACTAATTGCAATAATATTGCTAAGTGGAAGTGTAATATGATGTACAACTGCTCAAATATTTTATTATAAAATATGCAAATGTTGCAATCAGTGAACTGAATTTATCACAACTGCTTGTGAAGATAAAGAAGAATCAGGCCTATCTGTTATAATTAAACATTTAGTTTTGCGCAGGTTCCACCCCTTCGATAATGGCCTTTCGGCACAGTGTCTCACCCAAATGAAACGGGCGGGAATTGAGGGACCCATACTCCAGATCATCAAATAAAGTTGAAGCAAATACACTAGTACACTAATACCACTCAGGCTTAAAAACTTAAGCTTCATATTCAAAGGATTTTACCTTCAACTTTAGCTTTAACATGGAGAAGTTTGTATTGTTCACGTTAGACATCACGATGTCCAGAGATTCAATTCGAGTTATATCATTATAATATCTCTATCTTAAACCTTGCACCTCTCCCAAGACCTTAATAACATGAAAGAAGCCAGCGAGATCAGGAATCAAGTTGTTCTTTAGAATTCTTGAGGACGAAATAATTTACAATTATTAGAATAGCTCAACTTAATTTGTTAACACAGGGCAACTGCAATATTTCTTAAAGGTTGCAAAATAATGTCCCAGCAATTTGTAATACTATTTAGATACTGTTTTATTCGTTTTTTAAACAAAATCAAATTTCTTTTGAAAATTTTATTCACTGATTTACAGGAACTAAGTTGGGCATTTTGAGAACTTACATCAGGATTGGCGTTGGCAACCATAGATGTAAACTGCAGAATAGACAGGCGCTCTGACTGATCCGTTTGTTCATTCTGAAGCAATTTGAGAATCTGCGTAAAATGAGCATGAAAGGGTTCACGATTCTCCGGATAAAGCTGCGGAATTACCCTCACCAATGAGAAGTTACCTAAACATTTCATTGGTCGAAAAAATGGAAACTTGAAAGCTGCAAATGGTGGTTAATAAATATCGACATATCAAAGTTATCATATGGCATCAAACAGTTTAAATCAAGAATATCAAACAAGTTGATAAGTGAAAGCAATGCTTATTCCATGAAATTCACATATTTGTATCAAATATAAAGGGAAAAATACTTCGATATTTAATAAAAGATCTAAATTACGCATTTTTCGATCACTTTTGCTAAATCACTAAAAAAAATTTCAAGCATTGCTTTAAATTACTAATGACTAGTATGATAGAAAAGCTTCGAGCGAATCAAATTCTTCACGAACGGAGAACTATTAAAATCAAATTTTAGTAAGGATGGTTTTCTAAACTCACAATTTTTACTTACCAACATAAAGAAGTAACAAAACTGTGATCTTTTATAACAGTTATTAATCACTGTGCTTCATATTTTAATACAACATACTATTCATGTATAATATGATGTATCGATCAAATGAAGCGTTGATAATAAATAAATTCTTTTCCACCATTCCGTAAATATTTTCTAATTTATAAATTCAGTTGTTACTTCCTATTACTTAAGTAAAGTTTTGAACCAACCACTAAGTATGTTAGTGATAATTTGTAAGGAGTATTGTGCAAGAAGACGTCCATTATGAATAGCGGCCAATGACAAATACCCGGTAGTATTTCGAGTTAACTCATCACTTCCACAACTCAATGCCCGTATTGCTGTTGGCACTGTTACTGTCATCACCGATTTTTTATTGTAATGCTGAAACAACAACTATATGAGTTTTCACATAAATTTCGAATTTCAAAATCATAGTAAATTTCATTTGAAACTATCTAGTAAATAATTAGATGTAATTAAAATTATAAGACGAATGCAATAACAGAAGCAAATTCAGCTAAACATTTATAAAAAAGTGGATTAAAGAAAATAATAACGAGGAAGATACATAAAATAGATGAAAATACATTACTACAAAGTTTAATATCTGGGATAATCAAAAGTTTAATATCTAACAATAAATCAGGAAAAGTTAAAGATGAGCCCCATAAAAGGTCATAAAACTTACAAGAAAAAGGCTATTGAGAAGTTCGCAAGCAATCTTACAATGTGGCGTGTTCATAATAACGCCACTTAAATCAGGAGCGGTCATCTCATGGCTCAAACAGCTGCCGAGTGTGTCGACTAACGCTGGTGCATAGGTTTCAATGCTGTTCATTTCACTATAATCCACTGTTGCAGATAAGAAAACCATTCATGGAAATATAAAAGTTTCTTTTTAGAAATCATAATATCTACTTCATTCGACCAGAGTTATCTTAAGAGTATAATCCCTCCAATTCTACTCTGCTTTTTCTATTCCTTATAAGCTTAGTAACTTTGTAAAATCTAAGATCTTAACACACACTGCAATATCATTTCATACATTATTGGGAAACATCAGAAAAAGAAAAAAATGTAGTTATCTTGATCATGTGTAGAATGAAATAAATAGCCAACCGAATTGCAGCAGTGATCCGAGCTAAAACGATTTCAACGACACTTTGATCGTTTGCATTGTGGCAGTAGTCAGGCGCATTAAAGATTGATTTGATTTTTGCCAACGTTCGATGCTACAATCAAAGAATCACATTCCCACAATCTTTCATATACATTTACATTAAAAAACGGGCAGTGTTGAAGTGAATTGAGGTAACTAAAAGTGCAAATAATGCATGCAGAAATTAATTATGAAAGAGTGGTATTAATCTAATCAGGGTTACATCACTACCTATACTTTTTTAATTAGTTATCAAAAAAAACAAAAAAGATTTTAAATGAATAATGCTAACAACACCAATTTAAGGCTGTTAGCACTGTTCAAAGCTAGTTCAATTTAGACATCCAATATTAATTTTCATTTAGATCTACAATCTGATAAAGATTTGATAAATTACAATTTAGACATACCAAATCGGTAATGACGTCATAATCGGATATAGTAAAGAGCTGTCCAGCATGTGAAAGTTGTCGGTGTTCCAAAATTCGCACCAGTAGTGTATGCATTATTGTAATGAATAGATGGGATGGAATTATTGGATAGATAGAAATAGAAGGTTAGTTTTTAAAGACAGAAGCGAATTGCTTCTCAAAAGTAAATGATTAACAACAATAGCAGCAGAAATGTTTGTCATCATTGGTATTTCATCATATGGAAACTGAAAGACAATACGAGGCTCTTTGCTCCAACAAATCTGCAAAAAGAAAACACAGAAAGTTAATACTAAGCTATTTTGAGTTACTGCAAAAATATTAGCGATAATATTTGTGACTTGTAACCTGAGTTACATATGATGCAATAATATAGGTAAAAGTATCATCGGTACTTCAGTTTTATAAGAAAGCAATATTATTTAATACTATTGGCTATGCATATTACTTCAAAGTGATTTAATCTCACTTACTTTTCTTTCTTTAGAAAAAAGAAATTTTGATTTATATATGAAAAACTATTCCAATCAAATAAATTTGACATCTAGAAAAATAACAACTACAACAGTCAAAAAAGAAACTTGGATAAATTATATAAAAATAAGATTTTACAATGAATTATAAAAGATGGTAACAATAATTTTGACTATAAATTAATCGAAAGATCATCCTCATATCAGTGGTTCAATAAGTGATATATACATGAACAAGTGAAAAGGAAAGAGAGCAACTTTGCTTCTGTATACCGCAAATATTGTGAAGAGAGCTACTGCGCACATTTCTTCTTCTACAAAGGTCTACGTATTGCGCAAAAACTTACCGTATACCAATATAGCCATCAATCAGCTATTCGTACCGTTTCTACCCTTTATGACACAACACAAATTGAAAGTTAAGGACAAAGGAAAAAAAGTAAACAGAGGAAGGAAAGATAGCGACAGTGAACTTCTTTGATAGGCTGATGATTCATTGCACGGAATTTTATCCTCATATAGAATAAAATTAGTTTAAATCATTGGGCAAAGAATGGAAAATTGAAAAGTCGTAGATAAGTAGTTATATGTGAATGAAATGAAAATGGTTGAGGATTCTCCAGTCTATGCATTAGAATGAACAATTCATACTTCTGATATGGTGACCCTTATAACACGGAACACAGCAACAACAAACAACAATATTAAGATGATACGACATCCGAAATGCAATCCACATTCACATACCAATTTTTATGTCCCTTCATTTTCATTCACCGTCACTCTTCATTTCAGCCTCCTTTTTGAAGAAACTTTTTAGATGCAAAAAAGAAAAACAGAATAACTGTTGGCTAACATATCTTTGGGCCAATATATGATCTCTGCTTTATCAGATAATCACCATATCTTCAGCTCACTATTTGAACAGACTCATTTCATTGTTTCAATTGCATCTGAACTTAAGTAACCAACATGTAATGCATATTGCTTTATCCTACGTAACTGAAATTTCTATAACAAACCTCAATTACCAAATTAAATAATTCACTGAAAGGAAATGATTGTTTTATGAATAAAAAGAAAAAACTCTTTAGTGAGATAATTGTATAGGTGATTTACAAGGGGAACACATATACTCTTCCAATGATTTACTACGGGGAAAAGGGATTGACTTGAACCACCTGTGGCCGACGTACCTATACAACCATACAAAGCAGAAACACAACCACTGGAAGATGTCATCGTTATTGTCTCCTTCACTTAAAACTGGTTCTGAGCATACTCGGCCTTTCAGCACAACTAGACAATCGTCACAAATGGTGGCATATAAAATAACAATTTAACCACTCTTTTTTAAAATTAGCAACCAGGAATTTGTTTTATCAGAGTCTTAAATCAACTGTTATAAGGAATGGGCTATTAGATTTTGATTTAGAAACAAACTCTAAATTTATGAATATTTCTGAACGAAAGCAGTAATGAACCAGAATACGATTGAGTTGCCTCATTCCTACATATCCTACTTCTCTAGTAAGTATTTTAATCATCTCTTTAAACACACACACAAAAAAAAAAAAAAAAGAAAAAATGGTAAATAAAGTTTGCAATACGTTTAATTAAGTCATTTTCAATATTAGGCGAACGACTACATTACTTGTACCTGTGGAGGAGCACTGGGAAACGTGTATTCCCGTTACGCCAAAGCAATGCAAAAAACTTGAGGAGATAGGATATAAGTAGTATGAAAGCTGGCAAAGATGTTTATGAATACAACAGTAAATAATTCACAGATATGGGATGATGCACTCCTATTCATTTCTGATCAATTTTCCTATTCTATTTCGGAAGTATAATAAATAAAAGAACGGTATACTGTTACCGTTCTTTTTTATTGGTTAATTAGGTAAGAATGGATTGGTGCTTATTGAAATGACGGACATCTCTAAGCAGGCATAATCAGAATGGCACAAATTGAGAGCTCGAAGAAAACTCAAAAGGCAATCAGTCCTAGTATGTATATCGAAAATTGGTATTGCTATGAATCAGAATGGGAAGCATATTTACACATACATATACATGCATGCAAACACAAACATACACGCATACACATACACACACAGACATACACATACATGCAGTATATATGGGGCATGTCGTCTGTAATTGTGTATGTCTGTGTCTGTATTCCCCGAACAGGTGTGCTGACGAGAAAAGCTTACTTAACAAGAAACAGGAAGGATGGCTTACATGTCAGGTAGCATTAGCAGTGGCAACAATGGCAACAGCAGCAGTGAGAAGGGTGGTATCAATATTGGTGATCGAATCCCGATGACCTTACAAGCACGGATCGAGGAAAAATTCTGCAACAAATAGCATTGTGACTCTTCTGGAAGAGAAGTCATGGCAGTTTTATTCATCTCAACCTTGACAATTGGTCACTAAAAGAGTTGTATGTCAAGACAGAGCACTTGAAATACATTCGAACTATGATTAAAATATTCTTCGTTATTTCTTGCAAAAAAACGACGAAAAATGTCGCAACGTTATAAAGGTGAAAAATCATCAAAAATTAAAAAGTTACTTATTTACTAGAGATAAACAGGTAACAAAATTAAGAAATTTACAGTAGAGTAATTTTGATATCCAATAAATCAAGCCAAAAAGTATGATCGATTACGTGATGTATTTATACATGTATTTCATCCTTTATGACTAATAAAACTCGACTGCATTGGTGGGCCGCACTCTGTCAACGACATGTTGGAGCCCATCATCCATTGTTGTATCTTATCAAAAGCATATCGAAATCATAGTACCAAGAAAAATATTATTAGTTGTATACCAATATTGTAAATCAAACATATGCAATAATAAGCAAAGGAACAAGTGGCTAAAGCGCTAAATAAGTTATTAAAATCACTGATTGCAAATTCTGGAAATAAACCAGGAATAGCAGTTCTTGCAAAACTAAGATCTCGCGAGTGTCTGGGCTTTGAATTTTTTTCCTCCTGACTGCATCTAACAAATTTTATGCAGAATTTGGGAAAGCAGAGATTTTACACAATGTTTATTTTCTCTAAGCTGTTCGAAAGAAATTTGTACAATCCAGTTTATATGCATACCATCCTTTCAAATACCATAAACACACTCATTAAACATTTCAGATAAAGCGCTACAGCACAAAGTTATAAGGTTCTAAAATGTACAAAAAGATGAGGAAAAAAAAACGTATATATATATAAGTGGGCTACATAGTGCCCTGTCTCATTAATAGCGAAAATCCCTCCACAACAAATTAGCACCAAGAGCAATTTTAAAGTACTATTACGCATCAAAAGTAAAGCTCCAGTGATTAGAATTTTGACTTTTGAGAAGTCGGAATGAAATTGAATAAGCAGATTAATTTCCATTAATACTTTTGGAATTTAATAAATTAACCAATTCTCACCAATATTATACACTTCAACTTATAATATTAAAAGAAAAACTGATTGTAAGAGAATCGTTTTACTCTTCTGTAGTTAGAGCAAGATTAAAAATTTAAGTTAAAATGCAACCAAGATGTGAAAAACTCAAAAAATTAATTCGAAAGAATGTATAGAATGAACAATTTCAATCCATATCAAGGAGCAAATATTGAGAATCAATATTCGGTTGCTGCTGCATATATCGCTCTCGCCGAGTACATTTCGGACATCGCTGTTTTTCCAGACAGTTCTTGTGATATACCGAAAAACACGCCAGGCACTAAAATCTCCGCAAGTTATATATATAAGTTCCAAATTACCAAAATCATCAAATTTTATACGAAAATTTCTTACAGTAAACACCGGTTGTCATCTGTATTGCAAGAATTTCTATCCAAAACAGCCTAAATCACAAAATCGCAATTAAAAAAAGTAAACTTGATAAAGCGACAAATCTTGAGCTCACTAAATTTAATATGATAAACAAAAATATGGCTGCAGAACTTACTCGGGAGGTCACTTCCAGTTGAAATGGATAAATCACTTCAGCAGAAGCACAAATTTCACATAAAAAGCCTTTCTGAGAACACAACAAACATCGTCGGATATGTTCTGTTGTGAAATTGAATAAATTGTTCAAATGATTTTCCATATACCCTGATAGTACCGTTAACAGATCCTGAAAGTTTATTACATCCACTGAAAAACAAAACTCTTCAAAGTTGACTACGAAAATTTTAAAAAAATAATATTTTCAAAACGGTATTGAATTCACTTAAATATAACATTAATGTAAGAATTGTGATGGATATCTAAAGTATTGAGTTGTAGATTAGATGCCTGTGCTTCTAGTTTAAACTGACATCGTGGGTATAGAAAAAAGTAAATTTAGTATCCTGACACACACAATGCACTGATTTGCCGAAGTAACATAAATTTTGCCAAACACTTCACAACACTGCAAAGAATTTGAACTTCACTTATCATGGCACAACATTAGGCCTTTAAGCCAAGAAGCGTTTTCTTTATCAGTCAATTTCTTCAAGAAAAATTACTGTGAATGAATACAAATGGATGTCTTTATAAAGATAATCCTTGGGCGAAATGCGACTTTCCAAATCTTCAGCAATTGACTTCCGACATGACTGCAGATACATTGCTGACAACGATAATTTCTCTCTCAGAAACTAAATAAAGTTTAGCTAACGATACAATAATTTTGATGCGATAACTTGCTTTCTATATCATGGAAGTTACCAACTTCTTAGTCAATTAATATTGCATAACTGCTGACTTTGGTCGAAAAGCAACAAGTCTCGAAAAAGGAGTAACCAATACTTTCATATAAAATTTCGTAGAAGACGGTCTAATTTTTTCAGAACTACGAATTTGATTTCTCCTATTAAACAAACAATTAGTTTGAGAACTTGAAACATAATAAATAACATCATCTATATACAAATAACAATAAGCGAGTACCTTCACAGCATTTAAAGCATGGGAATGTGCATAAATTTGGGGATTGATCTGGTCAAGGCGAAGAACAGCTTTATCCCTAATGCTTTCAATGAAAGCCATGTTGCACCTGCAAACATGTCTTGGATGTCTATCCCAGTTACGAATCAAACGTGACGGAATAATACTTTCGTCGCCTTTACTGAAACATCCATTGCAGTAATATTTTTCGTCGAAGCCACATTTCCTGAAATAATTTTGCTCTTAAGATGAGTTCAAAGAAACTTTTTCAAGATACAGTGATATCATAGTTCAAATACTGTTAATTATAATCATGTGGTACAAAGAACACAAAAACCTTATTAGCATAGTAAAATGTCAATAAAATAGCTATAATGAATAAAAATTAGGAAGTAATACAACCTGTATGAAGCGAATGTTGGGCCAATCGATTTTCTACAGGAAAGACAACGAAAATCCTGAGAATCAAGGCCCTTCTCGCGAGGGATCACTGTCAAAACATCAATTAGTGTTTTGTCGGAAAATTCAGAAATGCTCCCATTCAAAATAATCTAAATTAGTTTTAAAAGAGTTAGAGAATCATCGATACAAATAATTTGATTAAAATGAACAGAAATCAAGAACAATAACCTAGAAACAGACTTCTGATTTCATTTTCTTAAAAAATATCGCTACCTGGTGATGCGATATGGAAAATAAAGTTTTGTCACCATCACCAACATGTTTCAACATATCTTCTACTTCCTCAAGTATAGGAATTTCACCATTAAGACTACCATTATTCGAATGTTTCTGATTCATCACCTGCAACAATAGTATACTGTATACAAACACTACGGGGGTAAGCAAAAAAAAAAAGCCGTTTATGACTAACAAAAGACTCAGGTTTCCAACGATAATGAACAATCCCACAACACAAGAGGAAACTGACATGACACAGAATATTTATATATTTACCGAGCAAAACATTAATAAAATCAAATATGTCGATACAAATCACATAGAGAAAATAAACTCAATACCGTAAAGAAAACAAACGCTGAAAAAAAAAATTCTAATTACTCTAAAATTAAGGTTCTAAACAGTTCCGAATTACCTCATTTGAAGTTTCATCAAGAACATTTCTTATTTCCATATCAAAATTTTGTGAGGAATCCGGGTTAGTTGATAAAGAAATTGTCGAAGTTCGGCCATCCTTCAACATAAAAATTTTAAACTGGCACTGTTCTCAAAAGTATACCATCTTTGATAAAAACATAGCTCTAAAAAATAACTGACAAAAAATTCAGGTTTCCAACGATGATGAACAATCCAGCCTTTACCAAGAAGGCTATTTCCTTCATTGTAATGATCCGATGCATACAAATTATCTTGCATGGACACAGATCGTTCCTAAAACAGAATTTTAAATCCCTAAATTAAAAAGAACTGAAGTTAGAATACGAAGAAAAAACAGTTGATAAATAAAACAACCAGTTCAACGTCTGATGATTTATTTGATATGCTTCTAATTTGATCGCCTAATTCAGTGAAAGATTGCTCATTTTCGAATGAAATCACCGGACAAAGGTTGTATATAAGGTTATATGACTCATCCTGCATAGAATATTTTGGTTTGATATCATCAGGTGCGCCTGAAATTAAGGTAATATAAATAATGCTTTTATCATAAAAAAGAAACAAAAAAGCTGAACGTGAAAAATATGTGGATCTATGAATCACCAAACATCATCAGAAATGTTCCACAGAAAATCACATACTGACACGGTGTTGACTATTTTAACAGCTGAACAACATGGAATCTATCGGTAATAATATTTAATTATACAGATAGAAAGCAAATTGTCTTTTTAACTTACTTCAAATGCTGAGATACACTTTGCTACGTTGTTGCAGCTAATTTATACTATGAAGGATGACCAGGCTGACCAACTAGACTAACTGCCGATCTGTATCGCAACCTAATCAAAAAAAAAAGGAAAAAATAAATAAACAAAAAGAAAACCATCAGATCTGGCGCATGAACAAGTCCAACTTTTGGAGTTTCCTTGTGGATTTTTGGGCATTTTGTGGACTGTGAACTCACTACTGATTGACAACTCATCGTTATATTCAAATGATTTATGTTTTTTCTTGTCCACCGCTTTTTCCTCACTATAACACATGTTTGCAAAAGCAAAAAAGATTAACTAACAAAAAAATAAAATAAATAAAAACATTCCAATTACGAGCAAAATGATACTAGGCTTCAGTCGACTGGTCGTGGTTTTCTCTGTTTTCGTTATTTAATGTAAGAATTGAGGATGAAGTTCGTTGTATATCGTTATATAGTTCTCCAAAATTTTCCACTTTTTTTCCAACATTTTCTATCTCAAAGGAAAAAATCAGCAATTCAATCAATTCCTTTCACGATTTCTTTCACAACATACTCCATTTTGATCATAGAAAACTTTCATTCTCAAAAAATTCTACTTTTCTTTGCAATCCAATTTTACAACAGTTTACCAAACTCACATCACACGACTCGCCAACCATAGCTGATATAGACTCGTTTCTAGAATTTGATGAGCTGACAGCAGTACTACTCTTAGATGAACGCCTAATACGGCGATAAGCACCTCTAGTTACTCGTATCTGGAATAAAGAACCGCTATCTTTTATGGAACGTAAAGATAGTAGTGATATGCACAAATGGATATGAATAAATCAACAGGTTGAAATACTACTATACAAGCAAACAAAGTTTCTGAAACACAATTAAAACAGGTAATAGGTACCTCCAGTTTCTAAATCAGGTGAAAAAAACAGAATTTCATAACGACGACCAATCAAAATAATATCGGCTTAGGTTATTAAAACAGATATTATTCAGACAAGCAGACTATTAAATCTACTAATCAAACCTGACAAGAGTCGTAACTTGGGATGCCATCTTCCGGAACTGGATTTGAAAGTATGGGACTGCTTGTTGAGTTTAGAGCTGAGGGATGAATGTACTCTTCATCAAGCATTGACGGATGCGAATAAACGGAAGCCAAATCAACTTCTTGTCCAACTATTTAAGATAAAAGTGAATAAAAGAATGAGAAAGAGAATGCAAGCCCCAAATAAAATATCCAAGAAAAAGCCGAGAAAATTATTTAGTGAATATAAACTAACGGTCGGAATCCTCTACGCACGAACTAGATATTTCTGTAGAACTGCACAAAGAGTGCAATGCATTTTCAGCAAGCTCTGTATCCTCGAGCATACTCAACGAACTACCACGACAACGACACTTTGTTAACTGTTTTACTAAAAAAATGAGAAATATTTATGGATCTTGAAAAAACAACTGAGATTAGGGAGCCCAGAAATTGTTCAAATATGATAATATTTCAAAAGCAATTAAATAGCTCTTTCTAAAAGATAGTTTATTAAACAACCAGGAATTTAATTCACATCTTGCAGGTTCTCCTGCTATCAAACCAGAAAGTATTAATGGCGTGGGAGTCCAAGTGTTAAGAAAGAAACTGTTAACGGGTGCTTCGATAGTTAATCTTGTCAGTCCCTTCATGTAACCTGATAGTACATTCATGCGCTCTGTATCTCGCAGAAAAGCCCATTTCTCGTAAAATTTGCTGAAAGAATTAAATTATAGTGGAAAAAATTTACAGATTTTGATAGAAACTTTAATTATATTTAAAAAATTAGGAAGAAGCTTTGCTTCCGTTTTAAGAGCTGATTTCGTCTTAATTCACAATCCACCAACTAACCTTAAAGTAATATTATTACGCGACAATAAGTTCAAATAATTTTCTATTGTATTTTCATTCAAAAGTATCCTGATCCATGCCTGAATGCACAAAATTTATGTATTTCGTGTCATAAACATGTAATGCAAGCTTAAAGTAAATAGTAATCGAGAGTAATACTTCTATCTAAACAGGAGAGGACTTTTTACCCGTGACTTTCCTATTTCTGTTTTTATTTGATTCGATGTAGCTATCTGATCGAGTACTGCTTTATGCGTATATTTGCTAACAAACGGCCAAAAATTCTGCAAATATCACTTGAAAAAGAAAATATTAAAAAAAAAAAAAAAAATAAATAAACAGGATCCTATGAAGAGGTAATGGGAATATTTTTAGGATTTCAGCGAAAGTTCTCACCGGCTCCGGATACCTTGAACTTCGTGGTTTCTTCTGGAAAAAGGCTGTCTTCAAGCCATGAATGAATAGTGCTTCAACCGTATTACAAAGTATCTGAGTAGATTCTCTAAAAAACAAAGCTGTTTGAATATATAAAAGAATTTGACGGAGAGTTCCTCAGAAAAATCGCAGCCTCACAGAAAGGAGAAAGGAATGTGAACGGATCAAGAAGACAATAAAATTACTTAGAGAGCGAATCGCCAGACGGATACTCAAATGTTGCCTGCTTGAGTACATTTGCCAATTCGGTCATAAGTTTTATTTTTACTTCATTCTGTTCCATTATTTCTTCTTTTCGAATAAGTCACATCATATTACCTTATAATCTAATAGTCGTCCCTCAAAACAAATCTGCAAATTTTAATTACTTCTGTTATCATTTTTGTCAAATGATGATCAATACGACAGAGGGGTCGAAGAGGAGGGATGACAGAGAGACCTGAAGAGGGAGAGGAATATGTAATTGGATTGAGACAGAACGATTTCATTATTTCCAAACAAAAATCGAACTGTATTAATCTAACTTCTCACCCATCAATAAAACCCTTCCTGAAAATGAACCCTTAAGTCTGTGTATCATAACGTTACTGTTCAAGTGTGACACAAACCAAAACTTCATTGCCATTTCGTTGTTGCATGCCAAAAGGGTCAGGGGTCAAGCTTCCTCCCATTTCAGACTTTCGATATCTTGATTTCTAATGCATTGTTTTTGTTCTGCGTGATGTGCTGTGAATCTGAATTAGTGCTAAAGCGTAGCAAGTACAAATCATGCATTGATTGGACAGATGAAAAGGTGTTAAAGGTCAACGCACACTGATGCTTCTCTATCTTTTTGTTTTATAAGTGATACAGATTTGTCGAGGACCAGTATCCATATTGTGTTTTTGCTAAAATTGTCAGAAATTAGTTCCACCGCGACTAAGAAGTTAATGTTTATAAGCGATAAAGTTCTGAAATACAAGCAATGGATAATGCTTAAAGCACTCTTAAGAAAATTAATTTTTCAGAAAACTGTACATAAAAATGAAATGTTTGTTTTCTATGAAGGTGTAGAAGTTTAGCAAATTTGGTCGAAGGAGATGAATTTAAGGAATCCCGAATTTCAAAATTACCTAAGACGGGGAAATATTACACACACTTCTTGGCTCTAATGATATCCTCATCTGATATTCTTTGTACTTTTGGTCTGAATCGTATGTGATAGCCGGGATATATTTCGCGGTATCCTCTTGTTCAACAGATTCCTCAGTTAAAATGAACTTTTCTTCCCATTGCACTGGTTAACTGGTGAAGGCCGATTTTATTAGTCGGGTGACAGCTTTCGACAAAACGATTGTAGGAAATTAGAAGCTGAAGAATCTAGAAAACCAGCTTTTATGACATGATATTGAACTGCGCTGTAGAATGATTTTCTGTATAGGTAGTACCACAAGTGAGGCTTAGACTTAGAGTTGGACCTGAACCTGAACTTAGGCTTAATGCTTACTTTGTCGTTATGTACAGTTAGATGCCGAGTTGTTCGCTAAGTAAGCACCACTGAAGATATTTTGAAGTGTATGACTAATTCACGGTGCTTACGCTTTCCTTTCTCTTAACAACAAGATGACGTCGAACAGGGCAAGCTGACATCAGCAGTGTGTTATTTTTCAGTGTGACTGTCTTGCTTTATATGAAGTTTATGGGAAATGACATTAAGATATTTACGTAATTGTAAATTAATGCATAATATAAATTAATATGTACGGAATTCCTTATAAAAATACCTAGAGTTAGTTTGAAGCTAATGTTATGATATTGCTAATTGAATTAATAAATAATCCAAATTAGTGTCAACCTAAATCTGTTTGGCCACACTCTATAATATGTCGTTAAATGGTTCCTTTTTTCGGCGATGAGTGTGTTTGGGAAGATATTTGGTAGTGGTAGAAAGCAACAAGCACCATCAGCAACCCCCCAAGAATCTATACAGAAATTGCGGGAAACCGAGGAAATGCTGGTGAAAAAGCAAGAGTTTTTAGAAAAGAAAATAGAAGCTGTAAGTTTTTCAGCTTTCCTTTGGAACTTGATGTTTATTTTTTTTCATAAATTATCATATCAACAAATGTAATTACGTATGGAAACTGCTGTGAGATACTCTTTGAATTTAGGGAAAGCTAAACCTATGGAATCATCTAGAAAGCTAAAGTTCTTGTTGAGTCCTGTAAAAGTTCAAGGAAGGATTTTTTGCAAGACTTAAGACTAGTTTCAGGTTATACATAACAAAACGTTTCTGCTGCTACACAAGACTATTTTAGGAAATTGCATCGGCAAGAAAACATGGAACGAAAAATAAGCGCTTGGCTTTGCACGCCCTGAAACGAAAGAAACAGTTTGAGAAGCAGTTGCAGCATATTGATGGTGTTCTTTCAACGATCGAGTTCCAACGAGAAGCTTTAGAAAATGCATCAACGAATGCTGAAGTGTTACAAGTAATGGGTTCTGCTGCAAAGGCCCTTAAAACAGCACATAACGATATGGATGTAGATCAGGCAAGTATTTTCTTCACTGTATTGTTTCTGTAAATGGTTTCTATAAATTTAGATATCGGGCATCGTTATCGTTATCGTTCTCGTTGTCTCTGGACTGCCTAGACATATTGATGTGTAAGATTCCAGGAATAGCAGACATGAAGTATGCAGAAAGAAGTGTCTTATCTGGTTATGGAAAAAGTAAATTTTGTTAACAGGTACACGATTTAATGGAAGATATTGCGGAGCAACAAGAAGTTGCTAATGAAATTGCTGAAGCAATTAGTAATCCAGTTGGTTTTGGTCAAGATGTCGATGAAGACGAATTGCTCAAGGAACTGGAGGAATTGGAACAGGTCGTCTCGATTTTCGTTCTTTGTTTATTTTCGTCTTCTCTCATATTTTCTCTCATCATTAATTTCTGTATTTTATTCAACATTTCTATTTAAGTGGAGTTCCATTTTTCATGACTCGCATTTTATGCAACTGTGGATAATTTCTGACTAATCATCAAAATTCCTTGCAGGAAGAGCTTGATAAGCAACTTCTCGATGTTGGACCGACACCAGCATCTGTATCAGCTTTACCTGAAGCCCCAACTGCTGAATTTCCAGTATCCGGAAAGAAAATTACTGCTAAAAAACAACAAGAGGATGATGACTTAGCCGAATTAGAAGCTTGGGCAAATGCTTGATCAACTGATAACTAACTGTTTGTTTCTTATATTTTGTTATTTTCCAGTTTTCCACAGTTATCGTTATCACCAATGTCTGCTTTTCCGGTCACTAATGATAGTTCCAAGTTTATCTTTTTTTTATATCACAAAGTCATAAAATATGTAATTCTGAGTGAAGAGTAAGTTTTTGTAGGTAATGCATTTTGAACTGGTTATAATTATTCTTATTTTTCTCGGATATTTTCTAGTGCTTGTTTTAGCAGATACACACGTTTTTCATGTTCATGTCGTACGACTATCCACTATGTCTCGTCTGCTCGATTAAAGTGACATCATTTGTGAATCATGTCGTTTGTTAATACAGTTTGTAAAAGAGGAATCTTATTTTGAATAGTTAGCACTCATGATTAAATATGTAGCTCTGTGAAGCTTGATTTTTAACGTTTCTTTGTTGGCATAAAACAAATGAAAACTAATATCTCAAAGTTTAGACTGATGTGTATAATCTTCATATACATCTTGTTTTCTTCGTTACGTCTAGAATGCAATCAATGTGGTATTTCCTTTCAGTATAATTGTATGCTTTTTTTTTCATTCCAGATTTTTTAAAAATTAAAGTGACTTTTATCAATAATTGTATACTTTTACTGATCATGTGTAGCAGATTATAACTTGCTGGGCTATTAGTTCCAGATTATTTCTGCAACCTCTGAATTAGTGCACGTGATATCTTTATCTCTTCAAATGATACATAAATTGCATAGCTTCTTTTCAAAATCCCAAATCATTAGATTTTAAGTTAAATTTGGTATTGTAAATTATTTTTTGACCAATAGAATAGTAGCTCTTTCCTTAAGAATTTTAGTATGCAGTGAATTGATTATGGTTCTTTTCAGAATAGCTTGTGACTGCATGTTTGTGAATTACCTTCTTTATTATAAACAAAAGGTGAAGGGCCATTCTTTATTATAAAACAAAAGATGATATGATATGTGAAAAAACTTTTATACATTCTTATCTTGCAACTTACTTTCAAAGAACAGAAGGGGAAAAGAAAAGATGATAGGAAGATATACGACTAAAGAAAATGTAGCGGATGAGTTTTTGCATCGTCTTAGTGTTTTCCTCATTTTTAGAATTATGGTGAAATGTGTTATCATTGTTAGTTCTAAAATTAGTCTTACATGTGTGTTTTAAAGGCAACTAAGAGATTTTATGGGATGATGTTATCTTTTAAGGACATCATGTTTACAGTGTAATCAATTAACATGACAGTTTCTGAGGAGAAAACATTGATTAACTTCGAATGAACCACTTTACTCTTGGAGACTTCAATATTCATGGATTTATCCCGAAATTTATATCTAGTGCTTAGTGAGATGTACTCTGACCAATAATACCCTTACAGAAACAACAAAGAATATTTTGGAATTTTGACTTATCATTTTAACATGTAGACGAGAATTTCTTGAGATTTTCTATTGAAACGCGTCCAAAGCCATAACAATCGCTTTCTTGATCAAATATAATATGAATCATCCATTTGTCCAGCATATCGTTAGTAAGAGTAACAACCCAAAATCCATAAAATCATTTTTATTAACAAGTCTCTATAAATGATTTCAGTTGTAGCAATATTCGTTCGCTCATGAACTTCAAAAAACAGAAGTTTTCTTGATTCCGAGAAACAAAATTTGAAAGCAGCTGTTTCTTGTCTCAGACAGGAGCAAAGTATCTTGTGCTACTGTTTTTACGGGTAGAAACAAAATCATCCAATAACCACTTTGTTATTTTAAAAGATATTTTTTTAAATTAAAGTCATGAAATTTTGTAATCCCAAAAGTAACGTTTTTCCTAAATCTCCAAGTTCATCATAAAATCAACATAATGACTTGATTCTGTCATTTCAAATTATTATTATTCTAGTTAGTCGAAAGTGGTTGATGGACTAAAAAGAGTGAAGCTAAGGTTGGTATAATTTAAAATCACCAAATTGCTCAAGACAAAAATCTTCATTCTAAGGTTGGGAAGTAAGATTTTAATTTTCAATTCGGTTTTAACATTTTTAAGGGGTCGATTTTAACAATTGCAAGTCAGTGATTTTTTTTACGAAGATTACAATTTATAATCAGGCGCAATGTATTAATTTATCAGAAAATCTTCAAAGTCTGATTCGTTTAACAATTTTGATTCGATTTCAATCAAAAAAGCAGATATTTTCCAACTACTTAAAGCCTACGAATACATTTCTTTGATAAGATTAGGATGTGAATACGAATGAAATCAAAAGATTAAACTAAAATAAGCGATTGCTTAGTGCACCATTAACTTGTAACTCTTGTTGTTTGAATAAAAATTTAAGAGACAGTAACTGTACAACAAAACTAGTATCAGCTATTTGTACCATTCCCATAATATGTCCTGTTAATTGGCACCACATTAAATAATTATAGCGTAAAAGCTTCTTCGAAAGAAAGAGAAGATTCCGACTACGTTTTTGTCAACAAAGTAACGTTTTACTAATTAGTGAAATAAAGCAAGCAAATATATGGCGCACACCCGAAAGGTCCTAAATGGCGTAATGCATTTTGAATTTTCTATCTGTCTACTTCGATTTTACAACTACCAATATAAATGGTCTCACCTGCTTTCTTTTCACTTACATATTCAGAATTTTTTGCTTTATTCTAGATGGATTCTTTTTCAGACATTTCTAGTCCATACTTACCAACTACCGGACAAAATTGTTTTTTCTCTTTTTTTTTTAAATAAGTAGAATAATTTTTGCTAACAATTAGTACCTGCTTTCACTAGCTACCTACTTCTGTGTGATTTAAAAATAATTAATTGGTGAAATGATCATTCTGAAAAGCCATTATTTATCGCATTTCAAACATTTAGATGTGTCATACAATCATCAGCTGACGATATCACTTTGATAAGCATATATTTTATGTTATATTTCTTATTATGTTGTATTTATTACTGATTGTAGCTTACATCTTACAGAGTTTCCTTGGTATATTAAAGACTCAGGCAATCAGAAGGTTTTTAAAGAAGAAGGTTTCAATCAAACCAATTAACAATTGAAACTCTGAAAATCTCGCTTAACTATTTCAGTAACTATTTCAAGCTTCTCCCAATATTAAAAACTAATATTATCATTTTTGATGAAAGATAAAAAGCAAAAAAGAATATAACTGGCAAAATATGAGCTGATTTTGAATTCTGCATCGGTAAGTCAGAGCAAGCACAAGTTTTTGCTTTCTTTTTATTGCTGCATCAAAAGCAATCTTCGCAAGTAATATATCATATTCGGATAATATAATGATAATAATCAGTGAAGACAGCACCAGTAGAGTTCTGTATTAAGCCAAATGCAGCGAGGTTGAATAGTCAGCCTATTACTCAAGTTTAAATTTCATCTTTTGTTGCACAGATATGAAGCCTTGTAAAGCATTAGATAATGAATGAATGTAGGCAATTTCTCATCTTCTGAATATAGCCATGTTAATTAACATTCGCTCGATCGCTCCTTTTCTTTCTCACAGTTATTCAAAATGTAATTTTTACGATAAAAACACTTTTCATTTTAATTTGTCACCGTTGCTTCAGTGCAATCACAAATTAGTTTTATCAGTTTTTCTTGTTAAGTATTAGTAAGCTCTTCTCCATCTCTTTTTCTAATTTCTTAATAATTAGGAGAAAGTGTCTACTACTCAGAGCTTTCAATTGAAGAGTGAAACAGCAGATAGACAATGTAATCCTCGAAACAATCAGCAAAGATTATTCATTTCCATACCTTAATTAAATGCACTTTTCATGGTTTATCAATGATTATCAACAATTCCCATCTGAAATAATGCCAGACTACACTGGACTGGAATGAAATGGTACAAGACAGTGTTATGCTTTTATCACTAAGCAGTTTGCAATTTTCGATCACTAATCATAGGAATGTCAAACAAATTTGTTCTTTCAAAACATGCATTTTTAATTGCTCACTGAATGAGACATGAAAAGCTCAGAAGAAATCCTTAGTGATTCTGATAGATGAATCTCTAATGGCGCATTTAGACCATTTAATAGGAGCTGATTTCGTCTCCTATACTATAATTCCAGAAATTTCAGGAAATACAAAATATTGCTTTCATAAACTTTATACTAAGTTTTACAGATATAATTATGCTATTACCACCAACTCAATATCCTTTATGTACTTAATTGTTCAATTGGGTCTCTTGTAAAACTTTCATCTTTTTTTATCTAAAATTAAACTTCTCATCAACTCTCAGATTTTTTTAACTTAATTTTCACAGCATTCTTCGCTTTTTTTTGTTATCTCTACTCCCAGACTTTGTTCTTTTTCAGGAGGCAATGAGATTTTTATTTAAAGGAATACAACAAACTAATTTTGCACCTCAGTTACAGCCACTGGATTGCATTTTACTAATGTGCTGACAAAGAAGTTGATGGTTGGAATTGCCTTCAGTTCTAAATGCGGGAGGAATTCAGGAAACATTTTAAGGCTAATTTAAATATATATGATTCTTTTGTTCCTGTTTTACATCTTTCCCAATATAGACAATGAAGAATTCTCTTCAGACAACGTATCTACAAATATAAAATATAAGCCAATTGATTACATGTACAGTAATTCATAATTAAAAAATAGATAATAAACGAAAGACTAGACTTAACAAATATTTCTGTTCATGTATACACCAATTTAAAAAATCCATGAAGAACTCTTTAAAACAAACATTTTCACGGTGTTTTTCGATGTAAAGAATTAGCAACAAAATGCTTCAAATTATAATGCAATTTTCTGCATTGTTTAGATGTTTTTCTTTCTTCATTATTATTTTCCAAATGACAATCTCTTCAATCCTTTCCATTTCTTTTCTTGGTGTGACAAACTAACTGATCATTTATTGCTCTATTAACAGAAACCAAATTTTAGCTAATATCTTAATAATTATCAAGCGATAACCATGGAAACATTACAGGACAATTCTCTCTCAAAATTTTTTAGTGGAATGAGCAGATGACGTCAAATGCGCAAAAAAAACGTGAATATTTCTTACGAAATGCAGAAATGTCACTTAGTGTACCAATCCGAAGAAAATGGTACAGAAAAGGTATATGATTATTAGTCCAAAGTTTCATTTTCTTTGCTCACTCAAAATTTGAATAATTGAAAATTTGCAGTGCCTGCAATGGATTTTCAAAAAAATACCGCTCAAGGGAGCTGTTCTGATTTGGTGAGTCAGTTTTTCGGCCAAATCACTTTTTTCCTTGAGCACAAAAACAGGCTTTTAACTCAACACATGATTAACTCTGGTGAATAGACAATTCAAATGTATTGCTGACAGTAGAATACATGTCGGTAATGTCTCTATGGACTTCCACATTTTCTAAATCAGATTACCTTATTGAAGTCGGCTTTTTTAAATTTTTCCTCTTGAGCAAAAATTAAATTCTCATTAAATTTTAGTTTTATAATACCATATATAATATATAAAATACTATTTTTGTTTGATTTAATTTCGACTCATAGCATAACAGAGAAAAACGGAAACTGAAAATTAATGTTTAAGTAACTGAAAAAATTGACATTCTCATTCAGCACATAGCAATAAAGTGTAATACAACCAGCTAAATATTTATCAAGATGTTCCTAAGACGATTATTGCCGATCCTTCCTTCACATGTTGGGTGAAGTACTGCTAGAAGTCGTATTTAATAGGAAAACGATATGTTAAAAGCTGAGATTAGTACTGTTCAGAAAGTCAATGTTGCAGAGGATGAGCACGACTTCTAATCAACTGATCGGAGCAGTAGCAACCTGGCATAGCATTCATGCAAGCTTGATGAAACTTGGTCTTTCAAGTGACTATGTATCATCAGGAAAAGTGATGAAAGCATCATCCAAATCATCTACCTCATCGAGTAGCAGATATTCCACCGATTCATTCATCAGCTATATCAGCGATGACTGTATGCTGAAACATACACATATCAAAATCAGATTTAGAAACCGGAAGAGACCAAGAATTCCAATGTTTACTATATTTCTATCATTCCAAGCTTAATGACCAGTGCAAAAAATAATCAATTCATAAATTGCATTGCAGCATTGAATGGAAATCAAACCAGCGATGAAAGTCTGGATGATGAAAAATTATTTAATTGCCGACCGAGACTATCCGTTTCAAATCTAGAACTTCGAAGTTCACAGCTGAAAGAAATGTTTCCGGGGTTGTCGGAACACTGGAGGTGTTTTTAAATTTCATTTCTTTTTTTAGTTTCATGTTTTCCCCAAAAAGAAGAAAAAGAGAAGAAAGTTGACAGATTGCAAGAGCAAGCGCAACTGTATTAGTCAGTCTTGATAGATGTATAATAAAATAATTAGCTATATCACTGCTAAGATTTATTGCCTTTAAGCATATACAGTTTATGAAACTTAAAATAATCTCTATTATCAAATTAGCCTAGAAAGAAAAGAATAAACAATTATCGAACAAATAAGATGAAATATGTACACAAATCTTTGGCTTTTTCAGAAGGTTCTCAAGACATACTGATTCATTTATGCAATGCCATAAAATCAGAGATGATTAGGACCTTTATTACTAATTGACCCTCCTTAAAACCTATTACAATACTTCTATGCAATTTTTTCTTCGATTCATAGCAAAGGAAAAGAAGACAACATTTTGTCGTCACTTTTTACTTTCCATTTAATGAGCCTTTTCTATTACTCTTTTTTCCATTCGTTCTTCTTACCGCTTAATCAAATTATCAAAATCAATTGAAAATCACAAGCATTATGAAACGGAAAAAAGTAAATAGACCTAAGATTCGAAGAAAATGGAAAAGGCATAGGGGGTTTCACGAAATTATGCATTATTAATGAAATTCAAATTTAATTAAAATTTTGGAAAAATTCTTCGAATTATAACTCTATCAACAAATGGTCGTATCTATTTTTAGAAAAGAAATGAATTTCTCACTTTTTATTTCGAGAGAAAATCAATGATACAATTCTATTCCTCAATATATAAAATGAATGAATGGACAATATGAAAGAATGAAATTAAAGTTTTTTTCTGGCTTGTGATTAACTGACTTCCTATATCCCAAATATCATTTCAGGACACTTTCTGAAAAAAGGGAAAGAATCCCTTGCACGAAGTGTTAGGAAAAATTCGAATTTTAACAATAAGATAAAATAACTAAAAATGAAGTTCATCAAAGTGGATGAAAATGCCAAATATGTACGTTTTTAAACTTTCATCAGGTGGAAGAGAAAATTATTATTGGTTTAGTGATTCACAATATTGCATAAATATACTTGTACCTAAATTAGTTTAGTAGAAATTTATTCACGTTCCTCACGTCATTAATGACAAACAATACTGCTACGTCCTGATGACACCTTGTTACTGTCAGTAGGATACTTTGTGGATAATTGTATTGAAGTGTGATTAACAGTATAAAAAAGTGTTTGAATGAAGTGACCTAATTACTTAATTAATTGGGGAAGTACAAAATTGCTCTAAAAAGATGTACAAGCAAGGATGACTGGAGAGGAATAAGAGCGAAATAGTAAGAAGATAGATGAAGGAAGAGTTGTCACCTACACTACCCAACCCACATTCCATTTCGCTTTTCTCTGTCGCCCGCACTACCCAACCCAACCCAGCACTAGCAACCACCCACCCGTCCTCTGCTGCACCATGCACACACTCACACCTATCCTCGGTCGTCTCCTCATACAACAGCACTCTGAGTCGCACTATTCCATTCCTGTGTTGTTGTGTCGCCACGCCACGCCACACCACACCACGCCATGCTATGCCATCCCGTCCCGTCCCCAGCACCGTTGGTGTTGCCTTCAGCAGCACGCCAACCACCCTCACGCCTACCCGTGTGCAACTGTGCAACCGGACTGCTGCACTGCTCAGTACTACCCCCGCCTCTGATCCGTTATCGCTCCTCTTAGAACAGCCAAACATTCAATATGCAGACTGTGCTGTGCAATTCCGATGGCTTAAACCCTATTCCGGTGGTAGCATTTCGTCATGCTTTCAGCATTCGCTACCATTTCTATTAGAGCATCTTTCATACCGTCTCACTTATTGTAAATCCGGAAAACTCTAATATTATCGGTGCTTATTTTTCATCTTCATTGAAAAATGACCGTTCATTAATATCGTTTAACTGAAAACTAATCGTATCGCAATTTGATGTGCGTGAAATGAATATACTCTCGATGAAAATCCTCTCAACATTGCTGAATTCCTGATATCCTGTCAATATTTATTAAACCTAATCAGGAACAAAGCGATTAAACATGGAGGAACATAGCTGCTGCACACCTTATATTCCGGATCACATTTCCACAAAACCTTTAGGCGGAACTTTTGGGGCGGAAGAAACGGAAATTAAAAGTTCTTCAGTCACAGATTCCTCGACAAAAAGTTTTCAAATTGTTAAGAAACCGACATCCGTAACAAATCCGTCATTTTCCAAAGTGAGTCTTTCGCGGACTTGTTTCTCTATCGACAGTTCAGATAATTTATCGCCACCAAAAACACAAAAGAAACCGCTGCTGATCCGCGCTGAAGCAATAGATCTGTCCAGTATCCCATCTGGCAACAACAATAACAGCAGTATCAGCACAAATTTAAAGATGAAACATGACGTGCGACCTCATCTACTTGTTTCATTTTTTGCGAAACATTTCGAAAAAATGCACAAAAGGATGACGAAAAGACCGTTAGGATCATCACTGTCCTTTGATTTGGATGAACGTCAAAGAGTGCAAACTTTGCAACACGGACGTGATTCGCAGGAAGACAGTATCCTCTCACTACCTACTAATAACATGAAATATCCCAGCTCGTTGTACACCGGTTTGAATTGCTTTCATTGTCTCATTAACGCATCATTACGTGAGCATGAACTTAACGGACTGGATGATGGGATCCGATTATGGTCCAGTTCCGATATTCCCAGCGTAGATTGTACCGATTCAAGGCAAATTAATTCCGAAAAATTGAATACCAACTGCAAAACATCACTTCACGACAGCACTCGCTTTGTCAATAAGTGACTTTTAATTCTTTCACTTTTTCTGCTAATTTCAAATCTGGGCAATTATGCCACCTATAGCTGAGTTCGAAGTTAAATATTTCTTAGCTTAAGTGTTATCCGGAAAGAAATTTGCACAGGCTTATTCACGGAATGTGCCATAAGAAAAATTTGTCGCATGTTCGAGCCGCTTGATTTTCCTAACCTCATTTTACTAATTTGGGGATGCCAACATTTTTTGATTTTGATTTTCATGATTTATTAAAATTGAAGTCGGAAAAGCTTTGATTTCGACCCTGTTCATCGGAACCTCGGGAGTTTTGTAATTTGATTCTAATATATGGTACGACTGTGTTCTTATTGCAATTGTAAGTAAAATTATAATGTTTTACTGGTGTTGATATTATGATCAAATCTCAACTGTTTTTGGTCCAATCCTGCAGGTACCTCACTATGTTTTTTTTTTTTTTTTTTTTTTTTTTTTGGAATTAGCAGTAATCTTTTAAATATAATCAAAAAAAGAACATGTGAAATTTAAAACTCTTGCACCAACTTGTTTTACATATAATTTTCTGCTTATACTCATCGTTGATTTGAATTTGGATTTGCTGTATTAATATTTAATTAGTGCCTTCATCGATACTCCTTTCACATTATCAGAGCTTGTGTCTTCTTTCAAAATCTCACAATTCTATTGGATAAAGGCTAATAGTCCGATAATCCTTCATTTTTTGTCTTTATTAGATTTCATAATTCCGTCGGATAAAGACTGACTGTCCGATGACTTGTCATTTTTTGTCAAATATGAAGTTCTGGTGAAATCAAACTTATCGATATATAAGGAAATGGTATGAATCGTCCTGAGCTTTTGAAATACGGCTAAAAAATTTGTTAGACTTTATTTTCCTTTTTCAAAAGTGCCGTTAATTTTATTGACAGTTGATTTGTTGGACAATTAATTGTTTCAATTTCGAGGAAGGTTGGGGATTATTGAGGTATGATTCATCATCAGCTACTTCATGTTAAATCGTTTCGATTAAAACTTTTTTCTTCACTTATTAATTTTTAAATATTCAATATTTTTCTGCGTTAGTGAGTGAAGTAGTCACCTTTCTTTTCCTCTTATAATCTTCTTCATTTAATTCAAGGCTTCAATGCTAAGTTGATTTATGATATCCGAAGTTGATGATTCATCAAAACTTGTTAATATTCGAAATTTAGGTCAAAAGCCAAAGCAAGTAGTCCTGCTGTTTCTGTATGAGTGAAGTTTTTAGAACTCAATGAAAGAATGCGAGAAGCGCTGCAGAGATGGCTAAGTGCCATAAGTTGTAATCATTCTTCCGGTTAATTAATCCAAAGTGTTAGAATTATTAGGAAAATGGGAGTAAAGGATGGAGAGGGGAAGAAGGTGTAAATTTCAAATGCAGAAGTTTTAAGACAGCACAATTTGATCTGCTCGGCCGAATTACATTGTTGTTAAATGGAAAATAGAAAAGAAGAAATTTAAAGAACAAAATTTGTAAGTGTTTGGGCTTAAGAGGTTATTGACGTCATAAATTGAAGCATTTGCTTGAAGTGTTGAGGACAATAAGAATAGGATAAGTGGACATTAAATTCATCGGAGAAAAACGAAATTATTGAGATAAAAAGGAGCAGTAGAATAAAAGCAAAGACAAACATATGGCCAAATACAAAAAGGAGATTTTAAATGATAAGGATCTTAATCTTAGGGAAAATTTTTTTCATTAAAAATTAATTGAATCTACTAATTTGAAAAAGATGATAAATATTCTAGTAATCACTTGAATGCTTTTAATTCCATTGGACTGCAAATATTCCAGTGCTAATTTCTTCTCACGTTTTATTATTTTCTTAAATATGAGCTGAAAATAGTAGTTGAAAAACATTTATGGAATCTTCATTTATTAAGATGGTATGACTGATGATAGATGTGACATTTGCAATTAATTATTCATAAGTGGATAACTAATGTGGATAACAACATTTGTACTGGGGGTTGTTTTGTCTTATCATATGACAGCTTTTTTATCAGTGATTGATGGAGAAGGCATATATGTTTCCTTAAACGAGTCAAGATTATGAGGACAGTCCAGTAGTAGTGAGCCTAGCAGTAATCTTGTAATAATGCGAAATATCTCTGCAAACTTCTCTTATCTTATATCTGAGAATAGGGCTAGTATAAGTTTTAAATGATAGTTTTTATGTTAATTTTTGAAATATATGTTGTTAACAGGATAGTCGAAATCGATTAACCAATTAGTTAAAGAGTGATGTGCTGAAGCTTCTTGAGATTGACGATCTTGATTGATAGGAGCAATTAGAACTTTTCTAATATTTTCACTCACTGCTTATTGTCTTTTTTTTTGCTGAACAAATAAATAATAAATGTATTTGCATTAGCTTCAAGATTTATGTAATATTCATTGTTTTAAACTTTTTGGAAGAAGAGAAAAATATATATTTCTTCGTTTGGCGAGAATTCAAAGGAGAAATTTTTTCTTTGCAATAGACTAGTTGTTAGTTTCATGCTTGATGAAGCAGAAAGACAAATATTGATAAATTTAAACGTGTGAAATGAAGTAAATAAGCGGAGAGAAGTTTATATTTGTTTATTTAGTACTGATCTAATATTTTTTAACTACTAATTGTGGATGGAAATATTTCCGCTTGATCAAACACTTTTTAGTTGGGAAGAAAAGCAAGATCGCATCGCTAGTTTATAAAATCCTAAAAGATGCAAGAAATCTTATAAAGTTTCAAATTTTTAACAGTTTTTATTGTAGATCATATAAGTTCACCCTAGTAAGTCTTCTGTAAGACTTATAGGTTAATATATAATCCCGCATTTAACATAGCAATTTAATTTTGTCTGCATATCCAACCTTCTTCTTGCTTTAAGATGAGAAAATAAATTTCGAAAGTTAGTTTCTTGTGGTTCTGGTTCAGGAATTAAAACTGGTTTTCATTTTATCTATCCAGCAGTGTCCAAATTAATTGCCGAATTGTAAACTAGGAAACTAGGGAAAGTTCTGTTGGTTCAGCAACTGGTAAAATTCTGCTGTATTTTAACTGATTTCATTCTGTCAGCGATAAATATGGACATATTTTTGATTTTTCAAAATATTTGTTTCATACTAAAATCACTCTTTATTTAATCTGTAGCAATTTAAGTAACAAATGGGTAACATCCACCTCATCCAGTGGTAACTATCTCTTTCTGTTTTCATATCGTTTAAGCGTCGAATTCTATGGAACTAATGGTTTAGGGAATGAGATAAAATTAGTAATTCGCTGGTCGTATAGACTGCAAGTCATTTAAAGTTTCCCAAAAGTAGCACTTCAAGTTGTCAATATCCAAATTAATTATTCAGTTGTGAATCTCTTGTGCCAGTAGGCAACGTTAATTAATTACGACCACGTATAAATAATGCTTACGTTTGTCGCGGCAGAAACACTTTCAGTGAACACGAGATTTGTTGACATGCAAGTAAACCGTACAGAACAACCACTGTCCAGATTAATGACGTCGTAGGACTTAATTTCGCTTGAAAGTTTGCAAATTGACATTAGAAAAGAATCTTACTGTATTGCAAAAAATATTGTGTTTCTTCTAAAATTTTAATGTAAAAAAAATTCTCCATTTTATAGAAAAAAAAAAAAAAAAAAAAGAAAGATTATACTAATCTCAGTTTGATACAGGCGCGCATTAGCTAAATCAGCAGTATCTAAGCGACTAGTAGATGTAAACTCAACCCAGTTTTATGGTATCACGGCGGCACTGTGCAAGCATCGTACGAAAAATTATTGGTTCGATCTCAAGGTTAGCGTTTCTCGTATAGATATAAGCTAGATTGACTGGAGCTGTATATCTTTTCGACTGAACCAAGTTAACAACAGAATG